GAGGTGTTCATACATCTCCACTAATCTCGGTTTTTGGTGTTCTGGATCATCTCCACTGTTGATATTCCTCCACGCCACTGTCTTAAGCCATCCACCATCATTTCTCTTGGTCTGCCTCTACATCTTCTACCAGTGATTTACCGATATTTTTCTAGTGCTCTTTTTCTCTTTACTTGACCAAAGAACTTTTGTCTCCTTCTCATTGTTGTGTATGATGTTCTACGTTCATTAGCCATTTCCAGGCCACCATTGTTAGTTAATCTGGCAGTCCAAGTTATTCGCACAGACTTCTCAAGAGTGTACGGGACCACACGAAAGCATGCACAGCAGGGGTCCACCGTCATCAGTAGAAAGATCCCTCGTCGACGACTGTTTCGGCGCATTCGTTCCTTTGCAATCTCGGAAGGTGGGCTGACCTGGGTTATGACTTCAGGCCAAGACCTACTGCACTTTATCGAACTCTCGGACAGGGTCAAGACGATATGGTGTCTTTGCAACAGGTATTAGTAGTAGTATATTTTACCCCCACCAGGACATCACACAAGCGATAAACACCCGGTGACACAAAGTGCCACCATGTGGATGGGGATCCCTCGACGTCTGAAGGGGTCAAAACCAGGGTATGGCTGGGGTAAGCCAGACAGATACCCTCGGTGGAGTGTGACCCCCCGTAAGGTGTGACTGATGCTGTGCCCACCGGCGCTTGTATATGTCCCGATCCCCACTAAGGTCACACCCAGAGAGCCCACCCTGGATAATCAAAGGCGGAAAAGGGAAACTCCTACAACCTCTGATTTCTGGCAGGCAGTGTAAGGATGAACCAGGAAACAGATGGGGAAACTCCGTAACTTCCTCCCACCGAAGACATACATGTCCGCCTGAATGGCGTGGGCACCAAGAAATGGAAACGGACATGAACGCAATTTACGGTTAATGAGTATGCATAGATACGTACACCGTTATGGGGCTGCTCCTGTGGACTACTGCCAGGCGGGAACAGCGCCGGATTCTGAGCCCCGAAGGAATCCACCCCAAACTACTGATGGTAGCTCTACGCACCAGCGGTCCAGGATTAGGTTCCTCGCCAGTGTCCTCCCTTATTATAGTAAAGACATTTCCTCTTTTCTCCTTTATCTCGGTGTAACACAAGTCTTCAGACAACACAAGACAAGTCCTCAGACAACACAAGACAAGTCCTCAGACAACACAAGACAAGTCCTCAGACAACACAAGACAAGTCCTCAGACAACACAAGACAAGTCCTCAGACAACACAAGACAAGTCCTCAGACAACACAAGACAAGTCCTCAGACAACACAAGACAAGTCCTCAGACAACACAAGACAAGTCCTCAGACAACACAAGACAAGTCCTCAGACAACACAAGACAAGTCCTCAGACAACACAAGACAAGTCCTCAGACAACACAAGACAAGTCCTCAGACAACACAAGACAAGTCCTCAGACAACACAAGACAAGTCCTCAGACAACACAAAACAAGTCCTCAGACAACACAAGACAAGTCCTCAGACAACACAAGACAAGTCCTCAGACAACATAAGACAAGTCCTCAGACAACACAAGACAAGTCCTCAGACAACACAAGACAAGTCCTCAGACAACACAAGACAAGTCCTCAGACAACACAAGACAAGTCCTCAGACAACACAAAACAAGACCTCAGACAACACAAGACAAGTCCTCAGACAACACAAGACAAGTTCTCAGACAACACAAAACAAGTCCTCAGACAACACAAGACAAGTCCTCAGACAGCACAAGACAAGTCCTCAGACAACACAAGACAAGTCCTCAGACAACACAAGACAAGTTCTCAGACAACACAAGACAAGTCCTCAGACAACACAAGACAAGTCCTCAGACAACACAAGACATGCTGGTCAGAAAGGAGCAGACATTGCAGCCTAAACCACAACACAACAAAGCCAACTGCTCTTTTAATACTTAATGTGGAAGAAGAAGGAGAAGAAAACCTCGGTAACTAAATGTCCCTGTTCTCCTTTATTATGCCGAACAAGAACAAATTATCATATGATCACTTCTGCACCAAGACATTACAAAACAAAATGGGATGATACAACAGCTTGCTTCTAGCAAATTTGAGTCCTAAACTTGTGGTACAAATGCCTTGCTAAAAACATGAAACTTTCAGGTGCTGTTTAATTTACAATCAATGTTGCCCTTAGAAAAACTGCTACTCTTTCAGATTGCTGGGCATATTTGATGAAATAAAACCTCTATCTTGTCAAATTTCTTGTCAAATTGAAGAATAGTTAGTTCAATAAATCTAACCTATCCGACTGTAGGACACATTTAGTTAAATAAATATTCTGACCTATCAGGTTGCAAGATACATCCATTTAGTTCAATAACTCTTCTACCCTATCTCATTAAAGAACATATTCAGTGAAATGAAACTGCTGTATCAGATTACAGGATTCATTTAGTTACATAAAACTTCTACCCTATCAGATTGCAGAACACATTTAGTTCAATAAATCTAACCTATCAGATACCAAAACACATTTAGTTCAATAAATCTAACCTATAAGATTGCAGAACACATTTAGTTCAATAAATCTAACCTATCAGATTGCAGAACACATTTAGTTCAATAAATCTAACCTAACAGATAGCAGAACACATTTAGTTCAATAAATTTAACCTATCAGATTGCAGAACACATTTAGTTCAATAAATCTAACCTATCAGATTGCAGAACACATTTAGTTCAATAAATCTAACCTATAAGATTGCAGAACACATTAAATTAAATATATCTAACCTAGCAGATTGCAGGACACATTCGGTGAAATAACGTGGGTCAAAGTGAAATGCAAACCTGTGATTTATGTTGTAACAATTGAAAAAAAAAAACACATGCAAATCAATCATTAATATTTTGAGACAATAATTTTAGCCCTGACAAATTGGAAATCATTAAATCATTTCTAATAAATTGTCAAACACAGTTACATGAATTTCTGCATTAAAAAAAAATAGCAGGACACATCTATTAAAAAAAAAATTTCAACTCAACCAAATTAGTATTTTGCAAACCACAATTCGTTCTTATATGCCCAAAAGGTACAAAGAGAGTTATTGCACAATTTGCAACCCTATCAAAATGCAAATTGGATTTACTTAAAATATTTATCACCTGTCAAACTGTAGGACACCGTTTAAAAACAATATCCAATCAAAATGTAGGACACATTCAATTTTTAAAATACCCAATCAAATTGCAGTACATATCTATTTTATTACATATATATCTATCCTATCAAACTAGAGAATAGTTTATACACATATTTCTATCCAATCAAATTGTAGGACACAGTTTTGAATAAACATTCTATCCTACAAACAACAAGTCATAAAGACTTTACAAATATTTCTATTCAATCCAACGGTAGAAAACATGTAATTGTTTTACATACATTTTTATCCCATCAATTTGTAGGACAGTTTTTTTTTTTTTTTTAAATTTCATCCTATCAAATCGTAGGATACATTTAGCAAAACAACACGCTGCAATCCAACCAAAATGCAGAACACTCACTCAACAACGGCAGCCCTAGTGAAGTCTAAACAACAAACTATTTATGTCATGGGAAACAACAGAACAACTACTACTTTATTTTCCGAACTATAAGACGCACTTTTTTTCTTCGAAACTGTCGCCACCTTTCTGACTTTCCACACTTCTGCATTCAGCCTGAAAAAAATGGTAGGCATAGGGTGTTGTGGTTTACAGCTAGGTTGTAATGTCTAGCTCTTTTGGCCCAAAACATCAGATTAAAGCAAACATTTGCAGTTGCCTTTGGAGTGTGGGGGGGGAGGAGAGTTTATTCTCCAACCATTTTAGCATCAATTCAGAGGTCCCGGGTAGTTAGCGTCCGTTGGACATTTTCTCCAGGTCATGCTGGTGTGTTGGGAAATGAGCAGGCAGACAGACTGGCCGGCTCTGCAATAATTCGTGGTGAATTCACGCATGACAAGCTGGGGCCTTTATGAGCGAGTGAACAGTGCAGAGACACAAACAAATAGATCACATAGGTCTGAGAAGAATGCGCTGCAAGGAGTTACCAGGGGATCTGGCAGACACTCAACACTCAGAGAAAATGGATATCCAATTTCCAGCATTCACATTAAATTCTGTTTTCCTGATATCGCTGAAAACTGGTCGCTATCTGGCAATTCACTCAACTCGCAAAAAAATCTTCCTGGTAAACAGACATGTTTTTGTCAAGTTATAGAACGCAGCAGGCATTCATAGCATTACAGAGATCTCAGTGGTCAAATTTTGACATAAGTTAATAATGAATTTGAATATCAAATGTTATTTTTCAAGAAAAAAAAAACTGTTTCAATATTTGAGTGAGTCTTCATCATCATTATCATCAAGTGCCCTGCCAACTGTGTGGACCATCATGCCTCCCCACAACCTATCTTTTTTAACACAATGTATTAGTTAAAGTGCCGTCACCCCTATATACTATGAAAAAAGACTGTCAAGAATCTTACAGAGTCAGTCCTAAAAGGTAAGATGATCAACCTCATTTGCAGCGGCTTTTATACAATATGGCTCAGTCTCCCTCCAGACAACAACTAGCCAAGTACATCACACAAAGAACGAATCCTGTCACTCCAACACCCCCCCCCCCCCCCCCCCCCCCCCATCAAATTCATCAACTAAGAAAACAGCGGGAAAACTCTTAACCTTCAGACTGAAACATCCAAACTCCTCAGCCATCTTATAGTCCACAAAATACGGTATTTAAAAATCAGCCGTAATTACAACAATGTCCGTCCCATATTAATTTCAAACAAAAAAATTGACCTTGAAAAATGTGACAGCTGACTGAAGGGGTGTCTAGTATTACACAAACAATATCTATACAGTGAAACGGCTACATGGTAGAACCAACCTGACTTGGTTTTATATTTATATAGAATGGAATAACTACACACAGTTCTATGATTGCTCATCATCTTTATCTGTTGCCACAGTTCCACGTACTTGACCTTCAGTTCGTTGCTGTGAAGAGAAGACACAAACAAATATTTAAAATTTTCGCCCCAGTAACTTAAAAAGCAACAAAGCCAAGCTCTCATACTTTCCATTTTTATGATATTCTTGACAAAAATCCTGAGAAAAACTACCATTTTATAAATGTCATAAAAATAAAAATAAATTTGTCATCAAACACAAATACTGTGGTCTCTCAGGGAAATAATCAATAAAAACACATGCAGCATAGAATCAACTGGCTTACATTGCTAGAACCCTGTAAACCAATAATAATAGCTCTAATCTAAGTCAACCCTGTGACCCAGCTGCCCGGTAATCTATTCTTTACGTCTTCTTTTACTGCTTCGGGCTTCGAGAGAGATATTGCTCTGTGCTCTTCTGGCTGCCTCGACCAGTCACATCGTAGTGCTGTAAAGTTTCTCTGATCTTCTTCCCATCTTGTTGTTAGTCTACATCTTTCTCTACGTCCTTCTCCTCTTTAGGTATATGCCTTGTGTGGTACAGTATCAAAAGGCATTCTCTCCAAGTAGGCAAACCCTTTGATTTGCTGTCCTTTTATATAATTTAGAATTGGTTCTGTGCCGATTTTATCTAGTATGACCTCATTCAGGTCACTCTAGTCTTTCTCAGACAACTCATTTCCATGGTTACTAATTTCTTCTGTTTTGTTTTAAGTGACCACCTCTGGCACTGATAGCACAGGGTGGCAATCAATATGTTTTGTATGAGATGTTTTGCTGCGCTGACTGGGATTGCCTTATGCTATGGGGGGGGGGGGGGGGGGGTGGTGGTTACTACCCCAATACTTGGCCTGCTTTACTGCATTGGATGTTTTTGTTTTTTTCATCAAATTTACCATCTACAGTGAAGAATATTGCACCAAGATATTGAAACTCAGATGCCTGTTTAATATATGTATGCTCTAATGCTATATTTAAATTCTGCTTCTTTCTTCCTACTGCCCAGTAATGACTGTGATCAATGGGAAAATATGACTTTGAAATTTCTATAAATAAAGCTATATTTTTTTAAAAGGACCCCCCTGCCTCCCTCCCCCCTAATTTCTTTCATTCAAGTTTGCCATCCCTTGTCATGCTGAATGTTTGTGCATATACAGATTCAATGACTGTGTTAGCCAGATATCTTGTAAACGTGTCTATATAGCGAGCTGAGAAAGCAGTTTTATGGGGGAAATTATTCGAACCTTGGTTTCTTGCCTGACAGCCCTAACGTTCTTAACCGTTTGACCAGCCACTCCGGCCAAGTTTCCCCATTAGAAGGTGTAAGATTATTTCTGTGCCAATCAAGTAACAATGACATTTTTGTAACTTTAGGTACAGTAAGGTAAAGGACATATTTCATATGTCAGTGCTGTTAGTTAGTTAGTTGCGTATCATTTACAGGACGTTGCAGAACCAACCCCGGCTTTTTTTTTTTGGCTGTTGTGGTTTTTCTTGGCAAATCGTACGTTCAGTAGTTTGCCATTGCTTCTGAACGGTCAGGTCTTGGTACCACTGTCAAAACCAACGTATAACAAACCGTCCACAGCTGGGATCGAACCCAGCACCCTGGCATTACAAAGCGCGTTCGCAATGCTGTACTAGGCATATCAATGTTAGAGACACATGTTTTTTTCCATAGACCTATCAACACTCACTGGAAGATTTGGTCAACACCATGCCAGCTGCCTTTACTTCCCATGACATTTTTCTAGTGCCCAATTTAGGCTGAGTTAACTTGGAAGCCAAGGTCCATTTTTTTTCAAAATCCACAAAGCGCCCATTCCGCGACTAGTCAATATCATCATCTTTATATAGCAGGTTCTTCAGATCTCATCACCGTCTGCCTGACAGAAAATCAGTCTCTTGCCAGCTCTCCCGCCTCATGCACCTTATACTCAAGGAGTCACTTGCATTTTGTGCCCATCTTCATGTTGGTTGGCCATTGCCCCTCCTTCTTTCCTAGTACCATACCTTCTGCTATTACTTTTTCCAACTAGCAGCAAACCTAAAATATTCTGCTCTAATATCACATCAGTAGTGCTGTTCCCCGTGTTGGTTCCAGGGCCCCACTGTGGTGAAAACAAGAATAAACCCACTGCCTCCCCAACGAGCATGTTGTAAAAGCTGACCAACTGGGAAGTCGTAAGAGTTGACTAACTGGGAGGATGTAAGAGTTGACCAACTGGGAAGTCGTAAGAGTTGACTAACTGGGAGGTCGTAAGAGTTGACTAACTGGGAGGATGTAAGAGTTTACCAACTGGGAAGTCATAAGAGTTGACTAACTGGGAGGTCGTAAGAGTTGACTAACTGGGAGGATGTAAGAGTTGACTAACTGGGAGGTCGTAAGAGTTGACTAACTGGGAGGTCGTAAGAGTTGACTAACTGGGAGGTCGTAAGAGTCGACTAACTGGGAGGTCGTAAGACTTGACTAACTGGGAGGTCGTAAAAGTCGACTAACAGGGAGGTCGTAAGAGTCGACTAACTGAGAGGTTGTAAGAGTCGACTGACTGGGAGGTTGTAAGAGTCGATTAGCTGGGAGCTTCCTTCACAGTCAGAGCACATCTGCCTGAGAGGCAAGGAACCAACAATCTGCATACAATTAAGTCAGATCTGTTAAACAGATGTGAAAGCAACACTCAGGTTCTGGAACAAAAAACTAAACTCCAGAGGGGGACAAACAACCAGAACATTACTCTATAACTGTAAGAGCAGGAGAGAATTGTTACCAAGCATGTCTTAAGAAGCATTCAAGAAGGGTTAGAAACTACCTCTTCCAATGACAGTATGGAAAACAAACACTCAGGTGACAATATGGAAAACAAACACTCAGGTGACAGTATGGAAAACAAACACTCAGGTGACAGTATGGAAAACAAACACTCAGGTGAGGTTATGGAAAACAAACACTCAGGTGACAGTATGGAAAACAAACACTCAGGTGAGGTTATGGAAAACAAACACTCAGGTGACAGTATGGAAAACAAACACTCAGGTGACAATATGGAAAACAAACACTCAGGTGAGGTTATGGAAAACAAACACTCAGGTGACAATATGGAAAACAAACACTCAGGTGACAGTATGGAAAACAAACACTCAGGTGACAATATGGAAAACAAACACTCAGGTGACAGTATGGAAAACAAACACTCAGGTGACAGTATGGAAAACAAACACTCAGGTGACAGTATGGAAAACAAACACTCAGGTGACAGTATGGAAAACAAACACTCAGGTGACAGTATGGAAAACAAACACTCAGGTGAGGTTATGGAAAACAAACACTCAGGTGACAGTTTGGAAAACAAACACTCGGGTGACGGCATGGAAAACAAACACTCAGGTGACGGCATGGAAAACAAACACTCAGGTGACAGTATGGAAAACAAACACTCAGGTGACAGTATGGAAAACAAACACTCAGGTGAGGTTATGGAAAACAAACACTCAGGTGACAGTTTGGAAAACAAACACTCAGGTGACAGTTTGGAAAACAAACACTCGGGTGAAGGTATGGAAAGCAAACACTCAGGTAAGAGTATGGAAAGCAAACACTCAGGTGATGGTATGGAAAAGAAACTCAAGTTTACAGTATGGAAAACAAACACTCGGGTGAGGTTATGGAAAAGAAACTCAGGTAACAGTATGGAGAGCAAACACTCAGGTGACGGTATGGAGAGCAAACACTCAGGTGACGGTATGGAAAAAGAAACAGGTGACAGTATGGAAAACAAACACTTGGGTCAGGTTATGGAAAAGAAACTCAGGTAACAGTACGGAGAGCAAACACTCAGGTGACGGTATGGAGAGCAAACACTCAGGTGACGGTATGGAGAGCAAACACTCAGGTGACGGTACGGAGAGCAAACACTCAGGTGACGGTATGGAGAGCAAACACTCAGGTGACGGTACGGAGAGCAAACACTCAGGTGACGGTATGGAGAGCAAACACTCAGGTGACGGTACGGAGAGCAAACACTCAGGTGACGGTATGGAGAGCAAACACTCAGGTGACGGTGCGGAGAGCAAACACTCAGGTGACGGTATGGAGAGCAAACACTCAGGTGACGGTATGGAAAAAGAAACAGGTGACAGTATGGAAAACAAACACTTGGGTCAGGTTATGGAAAAGAAACTCAGGTAACAGTACGGAGAGCAAACACTCAGGTGACGGTATGGAAAAAGACACTCAGGTGACAGTATGGAAAACAAACACTCAGGTCATGGCACATAAAAGAAACAAAGAGGTGATATAATAACCAACAGAGATGACAGGATGGAAAACAAACTTTTCGGTGACAGTACGGATAACAAACAGATGACAGTTTGGGACAATATGGAAAACTCACAGATGACAATAACAGGAAAAAAAGCAATCAGAGAAAGTATACAAAAGAAAAGAAAACAATTGTGAGACATCGACTCTCAAACTGACCCTATCCAACTCTTCTTTCACTTCAGCTTCCAGGCGTCGGATGTCATCCATGGTCATGTCATAGTAGTTGTCCAGCCAACAGACAACTTGGCGATGGAAATTCAAGAACAATCGCTGCTCTACCTGGCCAGCAGAAGCATTAGAACATATGATTTAAAACAATCTAGTGGAGAAAGTTAGGGAAAGGGCAATGTGGATTAAATATGAGGGAAATAGACAAGGGTAACTGACTTGCTGTGTTGTGGTTTACAGCTAGGCTGCAATATCTAGGTAATTTGGCCCAACACATCCGAGTACAGCAAAGCTTTAATCATTTGTATTTTATAACAAGCTTGGTCAGGAGTGGTCGGCCGAGTCGATAATAACGCTGGACTCTCATGCGGGAAGTTCTGAACCCTAGGTAAGGTTCTGAAATTTTTTCTGTTCATGGCAACAACAAAAAACCCTTACCTGTACAGTCCATATCAACTGCACTGGAAAAGTTTAACAGAAACAATTACTTGGAACTCAAAGAGCTGAGGCTAATAAAAGTCAAAATACTACTACTTAGTCCATGCCATGTGGCGTTGGTGGTAAACGTCTATCCACAACCTTCTCTCTGATAAAGATGATCCTGCATGCACTGTTGTCAAACTGTCCAGCATCTTTTCTCTCGGGTTCCCTCTGCCTTCCCTCCCTTCCAACTTCCCTCCCTTCCAACTTCCCTACAGTCACGATGTAACCTGTTTTTCTCCTCATGACATGACCACAGAATGTGTCTCCTTCTGATGTTGGTAATCACTTCTTTTCATGAGTAGTTTCTTAAAAAAATCTTCATTACTCTTTTTATCTGTCCAGGATATTTTCATCACTTGTCTATAAGTCATATTATTTAAAGTTACAACACAACAACAATGTCCCATAAGGATGTAGGTATATTTTGTATACAGGCTTCAATATATCTATGGGTCCCACCACCAATTGTTTCATTGATTTAAAAAAAAAAAATGTGCAACAGGACGCTGCTGGTCTCTGATGCACGTCAAAAGTGAAGCGGCTATCCTAAAACTATCATATGGCATCACTGTGTTTGTCTGTACTGTGATGTCATATACTTAACTCCCCTGACCTCCTTAACAACAATACTGTCAGGTTATAAAACAATGACATAGTTCTTACAATTTCTATCATGGCTTTCATGAAAAAAACGCTGACAGAAAAAGAAAATGTCAACTTACATTTAAAATAAAAGACTCCATTCTCTTCTGAAGTCCAAACCATTTGAACCAGACTTTTACTAGTTTGTAGCAGCACATCACAGGCTTCACATTGTTCTATGCAGCAGAAGAGTCAATCAATCAATGAATCAATCAGTCAATTGATCAATCAGTCAATCAATTAGTCAAACAATCAATCAGTAAGTCAATCAGTCAGTCAATTAGTCAAACAATCAGTCTATCAATCAATCAATCAGTCAATTAATCAGTCACAATATCAATCAGTAAGTCAACCAATCAGTCAGTCAATTAGTCAATCAATAAATCAGTCAGTCAATCAAGCAGTCAATCAATCAATCAGTAAGTCAATCAATCAATCAGTTAGTCAATCAATCAGTCAATCAATCAATCAATCAGTTAAGTAAGTCAATCAATCAGTCAATCAATCAATCAATCATCACCATGTGTACAGCAGGCAGTGAGGCTGTGGCTGACAGATTTACAAAACTATTTCACACTCAAATCCTCCAGGTGCATCTTCATCACGTTCACCGAATGTACTCTGCCAGAAAGTTCTGGTTGTTCATCTACCTCTGGAGTTTAGTCTTGGTCCAGAGCCTGAGTGTTGTGTGCACATCCATTTTACAAATCTAGCTCATTTGTATGCAGACTGTTGGTTCCTTGCCTCTCAGGCAGAATCACTCCGACTTCAAAGAAAGTCCCCAATTAGTCTTGTTGGCGAGGCAGTGGGTCTATTCTTGTTTCCCCACATGGGGACCCGGAACCCACATGGGGGAAGTGCTCGGAAATGATAACCTTCTGGGGATGGTCAACACCAGTGGTTCCCAGCTGGTGGCCTGGCGACTCACAAAACAAAATTAAGGGGTCCATGATATCATTAACAATTTAAGCCCTCAAACCCCACCCCCACCACATTTAAGTCACCAAGGACTGTAAGGTTAGGATGCTTATTTTTTGCCCACTGACAGAAAAAAAAATATCCATCACCTCACTGGGGATTCAAACATGGGTCTTCCAAATGAAAACCCAGTGTTCTTAACCACACAGCCAGCTGCTCATTTTCATTAAAGATTCCCACAAAAGTAAATTATGGGAAATCACACCCAGTGCTGGAGCATGCTGTCCGTGAAGTATAGACCTTTGCCTGTCTTATGCTAAGCCCTTATGTTCCCTTGCAGATCCTCAATTTTTGGGTCCTGATAACATGTTTATAAATAAGGTGAAGAAGATAAGGATATGAGGTGAAAAAGCCCGCAACAGCAAAGGATAGAACGACATTACATGCATCAGTTGAGGGGGAATGCAAAAAAGAAAATAAAAAGACAATGAAAAGAAGAGAAAGGAAAAATGAAGAAGAGGAATAGGAGGAGCAGAAGAAGCCATCATGAAACAAAGGGAGATCTTACCATCCATTCCCCAGTCTTGTCTCTAGGCAGAGGATTCCTTCCTGCCTTGGGAGATGCTACTAAACACGGATCCCATTCCGGCTTGTAATCCTGAAACAATAACAAATTGCCCAGGCACACAGAATGAAAACAAAGCATGGATAACAAATGAAGTGATGACAAAATAGATTTTTTTTACAAAACGAAAAAAAAAAAAAAAAGATCTAATCTATAGCAAATCTTCAAGCTGTCTCTTTTTTTTTTTTTTTTTTTAAACGTAAAAAAAAAAAAAAAAAAAAAAAAAGAGAGACAGCTCGAAGATTTGCTATAGATTAGATCTTTTAAAAAAAAAAAAAAAAAGATCTAATCTATAGCAAATCTTCAAGCTGTCTCTAATAAGAGACAGTGAGTAACATTGTTTAATGTGTTTTAAACGTGTGAAGATAGACTGACATGATATTACTTTAGACAGGTAGACTAGAAGTGTCAGTGCAGCAGTAACAAAGCTTCAATTTTAAACCCATGGATTTGTGCCACAGATGAATGCTAGCTGTAGACAACAAAGGTAAAAGGTATCAAGATGGGTGTGAAACAGTGCTGGCTATCTATAACCCCTCTTGCTCATCATTCAAAACTTAAAAGACCATTTTCCACGCCTTCAGGGGGTATATAGGGCTAGACCTATATTTTATAGACCACACGGCACTCAATGGGTGATGTGGTCAGCCAGCCGTCTGATGTTTTCCTAATATGTGTTTTATCCAATGCTCTTCACCTACTGATTCGCTGGAATGTTTAGTTTTCTCCCAAAGTTCCATATCAGTGATTCTATCATGCCCTTTAATTCCCTCTGTTCTGTACTAGTTAATGACTGAGACCTGGACAGTACATGCGGACAAAGGGAGACGATTAAAATAAACTAATTTAAAAAACAAAATTACCTTTGCTGGTACTTTGTCATTGGCTATATCAATTTTAACAACTTGTCTCACACTTAAATCTCTGCCTGTTAAGCCGTGAATCTGTAAGGAATTAAAGCGATAGATATAATTAACAAATAAAGAATTAAAGTCACTGAACTAGGGACAAAAACATTTACCACTCAGTCTCATCCAGCTACAGTCAAAATGATGTTAAGTGTCCTTGTGAGCTGGTTAGCTTCATGTTCACTTTGCGGTATTTTTAAATCAGTTACTTACAGCAATCCTTAACCCTGCAGCATGCAGGTCCTGTTGGTCAGCCTTCAGGTCCTGTTGGTCAGCCATTAGTTCTGGGATTATTTAGTGTCAAGCCTTCAGGTCCTGTTGGTCTGCCATTAGTTCTGGGATTATTTAGTGTCAAGCCTTCAGGTCCTGTTGGTCTGCCATTAGTTCTGGGATTATTTAGTGTCAAGCCTTCAGGTCCTGTTGGTCTGCCATTAGTTCTGGGATTATTTAGTGTCAAGCCTTCAGGTCCTGTTGGTCTGCCATTAGTTCTGGGATTATTTAGTGTCAAGCCTTCAGGTCCTGTTGGTCTGCCATTAGTTCTGGGATTCTTTAGTGTCAAGCCTTCAGGTCCTGTTGGTCTGCCATTAGTTCTGGGATTCTTTAGTGTCAAGCCTTCAGGTCCTGTTGGTCTGCCATTAGTTCTGGGATTCTTTAGTGTCAAGCCTTCAGGTCCTGTTGGTCTGCCATTAGTTCTGGGATTCTTTAGTGTCAAGCCTTCAGGTCCTGTTGGTCTGCCATTAGTTCTGGGATTCTTTAGTGTCAAGCCTTCAGGTCCTGTTGGTCAGCTTTCAGCTCTGGGATTCTTTAGTGTCAAGCCTTCAGGTCCTGTTGGTCAGCCATTAGTTATCGGATCCTTTAGCATCAAGCCTTCAGGTCCTGTTGGTCAGCCATCAGCTCTGGGATTCTTTAGTGTAGAGCCTTCAGATAATGTTGGTCTGCCATCAGCTCTGGGATTCTTTAGTGTAGAGCTTTCAGGTCCTGTTGGTCAGCCATCAGCTCTGGGATTCTTTAGTTTCAAGCCTTCAGGTCCTGTTGGTCAGCCATCAGCTCCGGGATTCTTTAGTTTCAAGCCTTCAGGTCCTGTTGGTCAGCCATCAGCTCTGGGATTCTTCAGTTTCAAGCCTTCAGGTCCTGTTGGTCAGCCATCAGCTCTGGGATTCTTTAGTTTCAAGCCTTCAGGTCCTGTTGGTCAGTCTTCAGGTCCTGTTGGTCAGTCTTCAGGTCCTGTTGGTCGGCCTGCAGGTCCTGTTGGTCAGCCTTCAGGTCCTGTTGGTCAGCCTTCAGGTCCTGTTGGTCAGCCTGCAGGTCCTGTTGGTCAGCGATTAGTTCAGGGTTTCTTTAGTGTAGAGCCTTCAGATAATGTTGGTCTGCCATCAGCTCTGGGATTCTTTAGTGTGGAGCCTTCAGGTCCTGTTGGTCAGCATTCTAACTGTTTAGCCAGCGGCTCCTCCTGATTTCAGCAAACCTTTAATTAGCTGCCTGCTCTGAAAAGGGGCAGTGGGTTGGAACATTTTCTCTGCTGTCAAAGATGGAAAAAGGGGGGGGGGCAGTGGAAACGACACTGGGAGTCTGAAAAGTAAAGGGTTTGTAATTACTGGATGCGCAGGGCAATTAGCGATCTGATAGACTGGCTGCTGCTGCTGCTCTGAGCAGTGAGCTACTTTATAAAATGGACGTGGTGAAGGCTCTCTTGAGGAGTGGCTGGCAAAACGGTTAGGACGCTGGGCTTTCACACGGAAGACCCAGGTTCGAATCCCCGGTAAAGCTGGGGATTTTTCTGTCGTTGGGAAAAAAAATACCTCACCTGCACAGTTGTGGCGACAGTACTAGCCATGCGGCCGTAAATCCGCAGGCTCAAAGACCCCCCTGCCGACAATGCAAAAGTGGTATATAAAGGCAGTAATCAGCAGTTATTTTTTTTTGTTGGCAGAAGGCTCTCTTAGATAAACTGGACAGTGCAACAGGACAGACAGTGAAACCATACATTAAAAGACTATTTGGACAGAGGGTGAGGGGAAGTTCCTGAAGATATTCAACAGGTAAGCTTGTAATAAGGCTGCAGCTATCCTATTAGCATGTCAACTCTTCGTTGACTACTGAGGAAGAAGGAGACGGAGCATGTGTGGGAATGTCTCGAGCGCAGTGATCTCAGGAGGTCTCCGCGGTGAAGTGGTCAAGCCATTTGCCTCGCGCTCTGTAGGTCATGGGTTCATTTCACGGCTGCGCCCTCAAGTTCACGAGTGCAATTTTTACAGAGATTCTTGGGGATTGTCGCCTGAGCTACAGAGTTCGTGCTTTGTGTAACACTCTTGGCAAGTGGCTAGCTGTTCTGAAGAGAGACATATAACAAAAAAATCCGGTGCAATGAAGTAAATCCTCTTAACTCTAACCTTTAGCAGTGATGAAAATTCTGTATTAATTCATTCACGACTGGGTTTGGAAAAGAACAAACGTACTGACTTACATTGGGGCTATTTCCGTTGTCTGGTGCATGGAATGACTCTATGATGATGTAAAAGTTGTCCTTCATATAATCTGGATTCTAGGGAACAAATTAAAACATCGTTGATAAAGCGTGGGCTATGACTAGAAGTTCACGCTGAATTTTATTTCAGCCTAAACATGTGAACCGATATATAAACAACAGAGGTAGGTGGACATATTCAGATAAATTATATGGGTAGACAGACATGGATAGGCAGGCGTATATTTAAAGATAGATAAGTTGCCCAGATAAGAAAGAAATGGATGACTGGACAGACAAATAGAATAAGGCAGGCAGATCGGTAGATAGAAAGAATTGTAGATGGACAGGCTGAAGACAGACAGATGAACAGACATATAGACAAATAAATGATAATTATTAATGTACTAGGGTGGTTTGAAAAGTAATATCTCCAAGGACATAACTTTGTTAATCTTCTTCTTCTTCTTCTTCGTGTTCACTGGCTGTGAACTCCGACGGAAAGTTCTGGTTGTTCGTCCACTTCTGGACTGCAGTCCTGTTCCAGAACCTGAGTGCTACGTGTGCATCAATTTGACAGATCTGTATGCAGACTGTTGGTTCCTTGCCTCTCAGGCAGATGCACTCCAACTTCGAAGGAAACTATGTTAATATACATAAAGTATACATGAAATGTACATTTTCCGAAAGCTGGGGATGTTCTCTAACTCTTTGTGCCCCAAACAGTTATTGTTTCAACTCTTCATATTCCAAGTGCTGGGCTTAACTCTTTGAGTCCCGAGGAACACATCATACGTTCATAGGTTCCTACTAAGAAGCCCAATGAATGCATGATGTGCCAATTTCATGTCTCTTTTCACCACCTCTTTGGCCTGCGATGCTAAACACCCTGGGACTCAATAAATACTTAAGCCCGCAGGATTTCAGCAAAGACACTTTGGGACAAAGGAGTTAAACTAATAATTCTCATACAAAGGGTTACAATACGAATTGTCTATGATAGAGGAAGGCAATGATATCCTACTATCTTGGGACAATCAAGGAACGTATGGTGAGTTGATTGGTGCTGAAAGAGTTAAGTAAGGTGCGATCATTTTTCAACAGTCACCATCACGTTTTACACACACTGGTGAAACAGGTTTTTGAAACTCGTTGAGAAAAAAATTGAACGAATTTTCACGAAGCAAAGAACGTGCATCAGCTGCCACATCCTTGTCAGAAACATTTACGAGTTCCTTGAGAGTTCCTTGAGCTTTGGGGACAGGAAAAAAGTCACAAGGTGCTAAACTGGGACTATATGCTGGATGCGGCAAAATGTCACAAGTTGAAAAGCTCCAATGCTGCTGTTGTTTGTCTACTCGTGTGTGGATGATCACTAGCTTAACCAGGACTGTGTCCGCTCCACTTTGCCTTTAAGACAGTCATAGATGTTTTGTATGATTTGGGCCCAGCATAGCGTCATCAGTGGCCGAGTGGCCCATTGGCTCGCTGGTAGATGACTGTCGCCGGTCAGGACAGTAACTGGGCCTGACTCCTTTGATCACATCAACACTCAGGAATCGAGAATCCTTTTCAGGGCTCTTGGTGGCGTGCGCTCAGCTATTTTATATGGCGTAGTGCTGGAGAGGCAGGGAACAAGAACTCCACACAAATAAGCCAGTAAAATGTATGTGCACGCAAAACTTAGGTCCAGATAAATGGAGAAAGTCCAATGGACGAACAACCTGGACTTTCTGCCAGAATTTACAGCCGGTGAACAAGAAGAAGAATAAGATATTGAGTACATAACCTAGTCCCAATTATACTCTAAAGCATTCAGAGATGCTGGTTGAATGTGACGATTTTTGTGTGTGGAGCAAAGCAAGGAACAGGCTCAGCACAGGATTTGATAAATTACAGAATGATCCATTTTCTGTAAAGATAAAACTGCAACTAACCAACAGCCTATCAATGATCTCTGTACTGTGTTTAAACATCTGAATGTGAAGTCTCTGTTGGCTACGAAGGAGACTGAGCACACATGATAATATCCCTAGTGTAATGATGTTAATTATTAACTCACTCATTTACCCACCCACACATCTGCACAAAGCAAGCAAGAAGTTAAACTACTCACTGATATGACTGTTCGGCAATAAGGATAGGCGTTCCATGCTTTTTCATGAATTTCCAGAGCTCCTTTAGGGGCCAATAACCGGACAAACCCTGGAACTTTCCTGGGGGGAAAACAGGAGATTTTTTTAATACCTGACAAAACTCTGAAACTTTCATGAATCTTCTTCTTCTCAGCATTCACCGCTGCAAACTGAGGTGGAAAGTTCTGGTAGATTGTAAACTTCTGAACTTTGGTCTTTGTTCCAGAAGTCAAATTTTGTGTGCAAATCCATTTAACAAATCTGGTATATTTGTATTCAGACTATTGGTTCCTCGCCTCTCATGCAGATGCACTCTGACTTCAAAGGAAATACTCCTCATTAGTCACCTTTTACGATATGCTTGTTAGAGAGCAGTGGGTCTATTCCCCCCCCCCCCCCACAATGGGGCCTCAGAACTCATGTGGCCTCAGAACTCACAGTGGGTGAAACATTCTAAATAAACAGGAGAATATGTTTCTGGGCCTGACAAGCCCTGGAACTTTCCTGGAGAAAAGAGAATATTCTCCAATGTGCTGTGAATCTCAAAGCTGATAATACACTAGTAGAATCTAATGCAAAAGACTACACATAGCTCCTTTTAATCCATGCCATTGGTTGTCAGGTCTATCCGTGGACTTTTGTCTAGTGTAGTTCGTTCATTTCTGATATGGATGTTCCTCTATACCATTATTTTTCTTAGTCTTTCACTGCCTCACTTCACCACCAACTTTTCTGTTGTCCCACTTTTTCCCTTTCATGTGCCCAAAGAATGTATACTGTCCTCTTCTGATGTCTTCTTCTGCCTTTTATTCACCAATGAAGCATAGTCAGCCAGTTCTCTGTATGCCTAGTGGCACGTGAGGCTTCAGAGAAGACTCTCCATGCCTTTCTGTCCTTTGCAATCTTCAGTGCAGTTTTCCGTGTCATAGGTGCAGCATTCAGTTCACTTTCTATCGTTCGTCTCCATTTTTTTTTGGCATCCTTTCTGGTAATTCTCCAGCATTCTGCTCCATAAAGAAGAACTGGCAAAATGATGCTTTTGTAGAGTCAGAGTTTTGTGCCTCTGCAGTAACTGCTGGATTTCCAGATTTGCCTCATCCTTTCAAAAGCGGCTCTAGCTTCGTTCAAGCGTGACCGTATGTCTTTCTCTGTTCCTCCCAATAGGGACACCACACTGCCAAAATATGTTCTACACTTTTATGCAGCACAGACCCTCAGCCAACTCACCCCAAGCCATTCTATCCTTCACTATTGCATGCAGCTCACCCCATTTCCTCCGTATCCTTTTAACTTCACCATTAAGCTCCTTTCTTCCTGTGTTTTTGGTCTTCCTTTATTTCTTTGCCTCTGTGGGTTCCAGTGCAACAGTTCTGATATGGGTAATCAGTTCTCTTTCTGAGTTCATCTCTTTCTTCTTCTTCTGTCCTTTATTCCCCCCCCCCCCCCCAATGGAGCACTGGGCCGCTTCCAAGTCACAAACCCCTGTGTTAGCACACAACTTCTTCTTTATGCTTTTCTCTACTCCCGGAATGCGTCATGGCGTCAGGATAGAAAGAGATCTCTGGAATTGGCCCTTATGTTGGCTTCATATAACGTATTTTTTAATGTCTCTGATATTTCTACGGTCCAACTTCTGCGTGGATGACCTCTGGTTCTGTTACCGCTGTATCTGCATAACTTTGCTCACTGTGGTGTCCCGTCTGATACCAATCATGTCACATGGCCAAACCATTTGGTTTATTGTCTACCTATAAATTTCAGTATTGATTCTGTGCCAACTTTCTTCCTGATATCATTGTTCCTAAGTCAACCTTTCCTCGTTACACCTAGCACATTATGTAAACATTTCATTTCTGTCGTGACTATTTTCCTTCTCTCTTCTGATGACAGTGTCGATATTCGACACTGATAGCATACCAATGGTAAGAATATTGTGTTCTTTAAGTGTTCATTTTCACATGCTTGCATTTCAAAATTGGTGCTATTTGGCTTAAAACTTGATCGGATTGACTGCATCTTTGTTGGATTTCTGTATTAATTCTTCCGTCATCCGGAAAAGAAAAACATGCTCCCCAGATATGTAAAATCCTTTGCCTGCATTAATTGGTGTACATCAATTTTGATATTATGTGGTTCTTCACACTACACCTGCGCGTATTAAGAACAAAAGAAAGAAGAGACCAAACTTACGAGGACAGGTGGTAAATTTTGTGCGTATACTGCCCAGTTGTGAACTCTCTGCCGCCGGCCTGCAGTTTGGGAGATGGCACATGGTTCCTCTCGTCAAACGGTTCGTTGACCAGCACCTCGACTCCCTCGCCACCTCCCGTCTCATTCTTACTGGCTTGTGCGACTGACCAGAGTTGCCCTACATGATACTGGAAACACACATGTAAGTTACTTGAAACACAGTCAGATGTAATAAGCAATGGCTCATTTGATTAGAACAGTAATAAATACTGGTTAATATATCATAACAAAGGTAACAAATAATGACTAACTGTTTTAGAACAAAGGTATTAAATAATGACTAACTGTATTAGAACAAAGGTATAACTTAATGACTAACTGTATTAGAACACAGGTAATAAATAATGACTAACTGTGTTAGAACAAAGGTAATAAATAATGGCTAACTGTGTTAGAACAAAGGTATAACTTAATGACTAACTGTATTAGAACAAAGGTAATAAATAATGACTAACTGTATTAGAACAAAGGTATAACTTAATGACTAACTGTATTAGAACAAAGGTATAACTTAATGACTAACTGTATTAGAACAAAGGTATAACTTAATGACTAACTGTATTAGAACAAAGGTATAACTTAATGACTAACTGTATTAGAACAAAGGTAATAAATAATGGCTAACTGTATTAGAACAAAGGTATAACGTAATGACTAACTGTATTAGAACAAAGGTAATAAATAATGACTAACTGTATTAGAACAAAGGTAATAAATAATGACTAACTGTATTAGAACAAAGGTAATAAATAATGACTAACTGAATTAGAACAAAGGTAATAAATAATGGCGAACTGTATTAGAACAAAGGTAATAAATAATGACTAACTGTATTAGAACAAAGGTATAACTTAATGACTAACTGTATTAGAACAAAGGTATAACTTAATGACTAACTGTATTAGAACAAAAGTAATAAATAATGACTAACTGTATTAGAACAAAGGTAATAAATAATGGCTAACTGTATTAGAACAAAGGTAATAAATAATGACTAAGTGTACTGGAATAAAGGTAACAAATAATTGTGAACTCTAATGAAACAAAGGTAACGAATAATGGCTAACTGTGTTGGGACAAGGGTATTAAAAATGGCTAACTGTATTCAAGTCTATTTTATTAAAAATGTTAATTTTCTGAGTCTGTTAGCTATAGACTCGGAAACTACTAAACCGACTGCTTTCAAATTTTTACACATGGTTGCCTTTGACTCAAAGCCTGTTTTTATGTCAGAAAATCGCACAAACCATGAACGACGTAACTCCAGTAACGCGCAAATCAATATTTGTTTCATTGCCAGCCCGAATTTGTTTTCAGTATATTAGCCATTTTTTTCTGCTGAGTAGGGCTGCCAATAAGTGTCTTATCCCCCATGATCCAGATAGTTTTATGACGCCTTGGGTTCACATTTTGCAGCGTTGTTTACTTTGCTGTTTAAATGTATTCTTTTTTCCCCCACAATATATACTTACACAACAGTGGGTAAATTGTTCCTGTCGTTACTACAGATTTTATACTATTTATCATTCTTGTCTTTTTATTTTCGTTTTTTTTTTTGCTTGTGTTTATTTGGTCACCTTACTGGGATGGGGGGGGGGGGGGGGAGGAGGCGCGGGGCGGGGGGGGGGGGTATGCCAGACACTGTTAGCAGAGAGAGCTTAAAACATTATTTTCAAGTTCTCATTTCCCAACTATTTCTATTTTAATAATTTCGCCAGGGATGATTTTTCAATCCTTCGGAGAGGGAGATATGAATGGGGGGGGGGGGGGGGGGGGTTTATGACAGACACTGTTAGCTCAGAGCTATTTTCTTTCTTTTCCATTTCACCATTCTGAGCCACAGCAACTCGTTGCCGGGTACAGCTAGTAAAGGTAATAAATTATGACTAACTGTATTAGAATAAAGGTAATAAATAATGGCTAACTGTATTAGAACAAAGGTAATAAATAATGGCTAACTGTATTAGAACAAAGTTAATAAATAATGGCTAACTGTATTAGAATAAAGGTAATAAATAATGGCTAACTGTATTAGAACAAAGGTAATAAATAATGGCTAACTGTATTAGAACAAAGGTAATAAATAATGGCTAACTGTATTAGAACAAAGGTAATAAATAATGGCTAACTGTATTCGAACAAAGTTAATAAATAATGGTTAAGTGTTTTAGAACAAAGATATTAAATAATCGCTAATTCTATTAAAATAAAGGTAATCAATCTTCTTGTTCTTCGTTCACCAGCTGTAAGCTCTGGTGGAAAGTCCTGGTTGTTCGTCCCTTTGGTCTTTGGCTTTTTTGCCAGGGTCTAAGTTTTGTATGTGCATCCATTTTACTGACTTATTTGTGTGCAGTTGGTTGTTCCTTGCCACTCAGGCAGATGCACTCCGACTTCAAATGAAGCACCCAACTAGCTGACTCCTACGACATGCTTGTTTGGGAGGCAATGGGTCTTTTCTTGTTTTCCCCACAATGGGTCACCGGGACCCACACGGGGAAGGTAATAAATAACAGATAACTGTATTAAAACAAATGTATTAGAAAACAGGTAATGAGAATACCAGGAGTGGGGTACAAGTTTCAAAGCCTCACTGTAGTGGAAACATCTACTTAGGTTCCCCTTCATGCCAGTAATGCACTGGGCTTATGATGCTACAGCAATGTTTTTTACAGACCAACTGGTACATGATGACTGATGTGGTAAAATCAAACCAGCTGTATTCAGTCTAGGAATTTTCTCATACCCATTACAGGCTAAACTACTGGGGGGCAGTCGAGGAAGAGGAGGGCAAATCTGGAATGACAACATCAAGAAATGGACTTGAGTAAGCTATCAAACACTTGTTCCTCAGGTGGAAGACAGAGAAAGATGGCGGGTTTAGCGTGTTAGTGCTTTCATCAAAAACACCTACACGATCCTAACAGGTCTTGCAATACCAGAAGGTTAGTTAGGAGATCCTAAGGAAAGATTATCTGGAAGCTCTGGAATGACAACATCAAGAAATGGACAGGAGTAAGCTATCAAACACTTGTTCCTCAGGTGGAAGACAGAGAAAGATGGCGGGTTTAGAATGTTAGTGCTTTCATCAAAAAAACCTACACGACCTTAACAGGTCTTGCAATACCAGAAGTTTAGTTAGGAGATCCTAAGGAAAGATTATCTGATAGCTCTGGAATGACAACATCAAGAAATGGACAGGAGTAAGCTATCAAACACTTGTTCCTCAGGTGGAAGACAGAGAAAGATGGCGGGTTTAGCATGTTAGTGCTTTCATCAAAAACACCTACACGACCCTAACAGGTCTTGCAATACCAGAAGGTTAGTTAGGAGATCCTAAGGAAAGATTATCTGATAGCTCCGGATATGTGGTTTTATAGATGAATGATGAGAATACCATGGACATAAAAAGAGCAATGAAGATGTGTTGAAAGATATTCTTACGAAGAGAACTTACTGCCCACATCAGAAAGAGACAATTCACATTCTTTGGTTCCTGTGATGAGGAGAAGAAAACTGGAATACATTGTGACAGCAGAAAAGTTGGAGGGGAAGAGAGGCAGAAAGAGACCGAGACAAAAGATGCTGGACAGTTTCTTTTACTCCAACCACTCATCTCTTCCTTGGTCAACCTCTTGCCCTGTACTCTGCTATTATCCTGTAGTACTCTCAAGCTAGTTATATCACCAAACAAAAAATATATGTATCAACATTACACGGCAGCACTGTCTTACCTCATCAACTAGCATAGGCAGGATGATTCGACTGAAAAAAATGAGTAAAGAGGTAATATTATTTTCTCAGATATCTTGTTTCAAAATGTCACAGGACACTAGAAATTTTTATATCCACGATCTTCTTATCTTTTTGAATATCAAAGAACTCCCATAAGTTCCTTCGTCTTCTTCTGCCTTCTATCCCTCAGTGAAGCATAGGTGTTCATTCAAACAACCCTACAGCACCAGACCAATGCACATGTTAAAAAAATGTGTACAAAAGTCACTATGTGTGCGAGTTTCAATCTGCTGATCTTTATTTCAAAACTGATCACAGGTAATAACTTCCTAAACATCAAATCGTACCCAGCAGATGCTCACGTGTGGATTGGAAGGTTATGGGATTGCTCCCTGGTGGAGCCGGACTTTTTTCAAAAATGAACTTGACTCCCAGGTCGACCCAGCCTTCAGTGGGTACCAGGTGCAGTCCCAGGAAGTAAAGGTGGCCGGCGTGATGCTGACCACATCACCCATCTTGTGCCGATTGGTCTATAAAAATATAGGTCTAGCCCTAAATACCCTATACAGGGATCTCAACTTTTTGTTTTTTTTTGCTTTACTTACTTAAACATTAAATCAATCTTGCTAAATGTATAGCCTTGTATATGTTCAAACAATGCTTTTGACACAACAAAGGGAAACACTGTGTTTACAATCTTGAAAAACTACAACTAAAAACGAGACAAAAATCCTAATTCAATGAATTCTGTTAATTCTCATTGACACAATGGGTGGTAATCATCCATATCCCACACTAGCAACAATCACTTCTAGCAGCGTATGAACGCCCCCCCCCCCCTTTTCTCCACCAACCTCAAAACAAAACTATACACACAATCATAACCCATATCTTCTTTAGATGTAAGTAATTATACTTACAGAAGAAACTAGAAACAGTACATGAGCTATTTCACTTACACGATGGGTGGCAACCAGTGTGAGTGTTAGCAGTCACTGAGTCAGTGACTGAGTGAGTGACTTCATTCAGTTCATTCACCAAATCAGAAACTGAAATCAATTTGACGACTTACCTGGTTACCAGGTTAAAGTTAAAAAGTAACCTTTTGACCAACACGCAACATTACTATTATTTTTTTAATCTGGATATTTCCAAAGCAAAACGCAAAACCTAAAACTATCTGATATCAGATATGAACGAAGAAGTCACAAATCACACAATGGGTGGCAACCACCACTTGTCGATCCAACCATCCCCAAATCCCCACGGCCGACCCAGCCATTCTCAAACAAACCAATATACTCAATCACAACCGACATATTCTTTGAATTCAAGTATATCCGTGAAAAGAAGGGTAAAACTCACAATTCTCTAACAGTATGCTGCATCTTGTCGTCTGCGACCAAACACACACGGGAGGGATCGCTTCTTAATGACGTCAATTCATGTGCCTATCCCCTTTTGGTTTCGTACTCATCTTCACAGACCCACTAATAATTAAAACTTTATGATAATTATGATTTAATGTGTTTTATTAAAATAATTTACTATAAACAGTCTTTAAATGTGGGTATATTTTGTTGTTGCGTTAAATAGTACGAATAACATGTAAAGCTGTGTATATATGTAAAGAAATGTATATTTTAATCAATTAATAAATCAACATATCTATCATCATCATCATAAGGTGCCTTGCCAACTTGCGTGGGCGATCATGCCTCTTCACAATCTGCGATCTCTTGCATCATGTATCAGTTCGTGTGCTGACACACCTCCATGCCATGTAAGAAGACTGTCAAGAATCTTCTCTCGTTGTCTTCCTCTATCCCTCCTTCCACAAATCGTTCCAGCAGTCACAACATGTTCTATTTTCCCTCTTCTCATAACATGGCCGAAAAATGATGACTGTCTCCTTCTGATGTCTATGATAAGTTGTCTTTTATCATCAATTTCCACTTCTACCGATAAGCGATATGGGGGATGAACAGTTGCGATCCATTTCTTGATGAACAGCAATGGCTACTGGCACTATGCATCGATGTAGAAGCTCTTTGATGGCATCAAGCGATGTTCTCCTTAGGCGACATATTGCTTTCAGATCAGATCTTTTCATGTGTAGCTCCTGCGTTATTAGTTGTTCCGTCTACATCCTTAACCGATGACCAAACCATTCAATCTTCTGCTGCTCAATGAATTTGTGCATAATGTTTTTCCTATAGTCTGTCTGATGATATCATTTCTAGCCTTGTCTAGGATGTTAAGTTGGCGGAATTTCTCAGGCATCTCATTTCACAGGTGTTAATTTTACGTAGGTTAGCGTTTCATAATGTTCAAGTCTGACACTAGTATCACAATACTGGTATGCATACGATGTTTATAATCTGTTTCTTGGCGGTTGCGCTTACGTTTGGATGTCTTTAAAAACGGAGTCAGTTGACAAGTAAGTACACGTTTCCCAATCTATTCTTCCCGTCCTCCGAGAATCCAACGTAATTCTTATTTATTTAAATTCGTTAACTTGCTTCAGAAAGTATCATTTAATCCTGTGTGTAACCGATTAGGAATTCTACCATGCATTACTTTAGTTTTAGTCGTATTTACTTTCAAGTTATATCTTCTGCATGTTGAACTTCAAATAGTATTGTAGTCTACTTGCCTCATTGTAGACCAGACACTAATCGCCTGCAAATAGTAATTCATTTATTGCGTGTATATTTAATTCTTCCTCTTGAATGCAATGTTTCTAATTTTCTAGATTTTTCTTTTAAATCAATCAATTAATCCGGTAGATTCATTTCCAGTCCCATGCTAACAGTGATAGACATGGTCACAAACGACAAGCCATAAAAGAAAATTATTAATTACAGAATGAGAATTTTGAGAAGTGCTGCAGGAACGACCAGAAAATATAAAATCAGAAATGAGGTCATAAGAGAAAAAGTCGGCACAGAAACAATTCTAAATACAAAGCAGATTAAGGTGGTTTGGTCACTCAAAGAGAATAAGAGAAAAATTTGCGACACCGTACCATACAAGGTCTACAACAAGAAAGGAGAAAGACGCAGAGAACAAGGTAGACAAAGAAATAAAGATAGCATCAGAGAAAGTTTAGGACAGCACCATGTGTCTGGCTTGGGCGTTGCGAACACGCTTCGTAATGCCGGGGTGCCGGGTTCGATCCCAGCTGCGGGCCTTGCGCATTACGTTGGGTTTGACAGTGGTATCAAGAAGCCGGCAGTCCAGGAAGCAATGACAAATTACTGGTTCTGCAATGTACTGTAAAGGATGGGCAACTAACTTTTAAAAATATGTATCTATAGTCGAGCCACGAGGCAGACGAAGAAGACGATGGAGAGATAATGTCCAGGCAGACCTGCAAACACTTGGTGTCACCAACTGGAAAGAGAAGGCCAACAACAGAGATGAGTGGAGGCGGGTGATATCTGCAGCAATGAACCTAGATGGCTCAGAATGCTGAAGAAGAAGAAGATCTATAGTCGAGGTGACCAGAAGAGCAACAAACGGAACCCTATTTCCCCCTCTACACCACATCACCCATCTTGTGCCGATTGGTCTATAAAACTATAGGTCTAGCCCTATATGCCTTATACGCCTAAAGGCGTGGAAAAGGGACCTTTACTTTACACGCGAAGAGATAAAAGAGGAAGTGACGAAGGGTGAGAAAAAGAAGAAGAATCAGCACGCGACGGTTGATGTCACTAACATAATAAGGCAGCCATTACTTTCTCTGACACTTCCTAGTACCCATTTAGGCTTTGACAACCTGAGAGCCCTTGCTCGGTTTTATATATATATATATATACGTGTGTGTGTGTGTGTGTGTGTGTGTGTGTAATTTTCGAACAATGATGATTCAACCCTTTTGAAATTCTGACCGGAAAGACCGATGTCAATGCAATCTTTTCTTTCGTATTCAGTGTGAAATTGCTCGAGAGGCAACGAACCAACTAACATTTCGCCTACAAATAAGCCAGATAAAAATCCTTTTCAGTAAAAGACAAATCGAAGTCATGGCGCTCAGAACTTCACAGAAATACTCGATCTCTTCCAAATTATACATGGCATCATTGACTAAACGATTCGCTAGAAGTACGGACATAAGTACACACAAAACTCAAGTCCTGGAGTAAATTCAGAAATGAACGAAGAAGAAAAAGAAGGAATGCAACGTGATCCATTTTTATTCTGCCATGATATTTCCTCTTCACTAAAAATGAAAATCCCCAGCCAGATCTTTCACCCCGATGAACAGAAACATCGATGTACACTACCGCAGCTGGATCTGCACCACTGGGTGGTGAATTGATACATGACAAGGCAGATGTGGTCAAGGCCCTTCGGGAACAAGCAAAGGAATCAGTAGAGAAGCAAGATTATTATGGCCTGGAGAGAATGAGGCACCTGGGTGTAACCAGAGGGTCTGGCCGACTCGCTACACTCAGAGGAAAGACAAGACGGACATATAACCAGATTATGACCGGTATTATAACTGCGCTGGCTGCTGAAGATGTGGACGGAACACGCATAGGAATGCCTCGAGTGCTGTAATGTCAATTCTTAACTCAACTAGCCTAGCGTTTTCATCTATCAGTTGTTAACGCCGATTACAACGTAACAATGATTGCAAGACAGCCCGGAGTAATACTTAAAAGTAATACTCAAGCTGTGGCAGTAAAGTGGTTTAGTCGTGCAAACACATCGGCCTGACAAGTAGGACAAGATGAGTCACCTGACTAGTGTGATCCGGGACTATAGTAACACCCCCCCCCCCCCCCGCAGCTTTCTTTATATTTTCCTGTGAGGGGGAGAGGGTCTAAGTTGGTTGTTTAGGAGCGCAGTAATAATAATGATAACAACAATAAGTATATCATCAAAAATATTTTTTAAATAACCTCTTTTAAAAATAACTTCTTCTTCTTAGCGTCCCCCGGCTAACTCCAGTTATAGTTTTATAGTTATTCGTCCACTTCTGGACTTTGAACCAAAACTTGAGTTTTGTTTGCATATTCGTTTTAAAGATCTCGCTCATTTATATGCAGACCTTTGGTCCGACTGAGGGAGATGCACCCTGACTTCGAAAAAAAAAACAAACACCCTAATTTTTGTGTTTTTTTATGACATGCTTGTTATGGGGCACAGGGCCTATTATCCCCCCCCCCCCCCCGGGGGGATGAAATAATAATAAACGTTTAAACAAATACATACAAAGATTTTTAGGTTTAAACAACGGATCAAAATCATTACACAAGGGTAGTAACCCATAAGTGATCCGTTCTACATCGAACTCGAGCCTGATTCCAAAGAATCTCAGCGGAGTGCACGTCCGATCTTACTACCCGAGACCTGGGGAAATTACTAGAAGTCGACGTAAAAAAAAAAAAATCTCAGCCTTCACCGAAGCTTGAACCCAGGACCTCCAGCATTCGAGGCGGACGCCATGCCCCGAGACTACTTACCCCACCCCCACTTACAAAGAGAACGTTTATACATGGTTTGGAGAAAACTACTTCTTCTTAAAGTCCATGCCGTGTGGTGTTGGTAGTCATGTCTATCCACCACCTTCTGTCTGGTGTACTTTCAGTCAACTCTGTAATAGATAATTTTCCATGCCATGATGTCAGACTGTCTAGCATCATTTCTCTCGGTCTCCCTCTGCCTCCCCTCCTCTCCAACTTTCTTACCGTCACGATGTACTCATCACGTGACAAAAAACAATGTAAATTGTCTCTTTTTGATGTGGGCAATGAGTTCTTTTCAGAGTCAGTTTCTTTCAAGACATCTCTATTACTCTTTTTATCTGTCCAGGGTATTATCATCATTCGTCTATAAAAACCATATCTCCGCAGCTTCAAAATAAGTTTTCACTAATTTACTAACTGTCCATGATAAACATCCGTATATCAATATAGGATTTATATAATTTGTAAGAATTCTCTTTTCCGTGAAACTACTCACCCCCTGGCAAATCTTGTAATGCTACCCCCTCTCCCCCACACTTACAAAAAGAACGTTTATACGTGGTTGGGGGAAAACTACTTAGCCCCTAGCAAATCTTGTAATGCTAACTCTCACCTTTCCCCCCAGAGGAAGGGGTATCTGGTCCCACATATGTTTGAACGCTCCTGGTTCTCAAACTATCTTGCTGTTGGAGTACTTTGCTTATCCTTCATTTTAGGGTGTCTCCGTGGCCAAGTTGTTTGCCTGGCGCTCTAAAGGTCGTAGGTTCTTTTCACGACGGCGCCGTTCACTTCACATGTTAAATTGTTTACGGACCTACTGGGGGTCGTCGCTGAAGCTTAGAATGCTCTCGACAGGCAGCTAGCTGTTCTGCGGAGAGAGAATGAGCCATGTGGGACAAAACCCGGTGCAATGTAGTCGATACTCTCACCTTTACCTTCCTTCTTGGCCATGATCTTTTCTTTTGTCAATTTTTCTGCGTTGTGCCCCTAGGTGTCAAAGGTTAACATATGATCAGTTTCAGGGCTAGGGCACTGCAGGTTACCCAATCTGCTGTGATGTCATGAAAGTCTCCAGATATCAGTGACAGATTCTTTATTAATATCCTACCCCAGATGACGTCACAGGACAGTCCTACATTTTACAGGGTGGTAAGACTGGGTTTCCAGGCTTTGTGATGCTTTTAACGGGCCCAAAACATTTAGAAATGACCCTAACCCAAACCCACCTATGTCCTACGAGAGAGTGCAGCTTAGGTCCCACGAATGCACGCAGCCTAGGTCCCACGACTGCATGCAGCCTATCTACCATTCCCTGAAATATTAGACTGTCCAGTGACCTGTTAATTTCCCCTGTTTGGGGTAGGATATTAATAAAGCACCCAGTGACGCCTCAGCTGCATCTTCTTCTTGGTTATCCCCTACCTCTTGGTGTATCTAATTTCAAGTTGTATGCTCTCATTGCTGCCACCACTGGAATTATTCTCATTTAATGGCCAAACTATTTCAGTCTTTGTTTTTCAATGAATTTAATTATAGGCGATGTTCTTGTAATTTCTTAGTTTCTCACATCATCTCTTCTAGTTTTGTTTAAGGTCTCATTTCGCAGTGGTTAGTTTTCTTTCGTGTTCTTTAGTCAATTTCCAAGTCTGACACTGATAGTACAAGGTTGGTATAAAGACTGCATATGCAATTTGTCTTTTTTTATCTCTAATGGAATAGCCAGATATTTCAAAATTAGGATCCATTTTTATTGAGATCCCTGGGGATCATCAATGGAGCTACGGAGGTTGTGCTCTGTGCGCCGCTCTCGGCAGGCAGCTGAGCCATATGGGATAAAACCTGGTGCAATGAAGTCATGTTCTGCCTTTCAACATCAGTTCTTGAAGGGGCATGAGGTGCGAGTCTTGGTTTGTGCTACGCAGATGCTGGGACATATGGCCTCTGATATTTAAACTATCCATCGTTTATATGGTCGACCTCCAGCTCTGCTTCCAATGTGGCTAAGTGACAGGGCTCTCTGTGATGGTAGTCTTGATAATGCCTGAACCATTTGATCTGTTATCTCTTGACGTTTACTGGTTCGGTCTTTTAGTTATCGTCAGGATTCAAAGCATAAATTTTATTTCTGTTGTTCTTATGATCTCTGACAGTTGAGTTGAGTCAAGCAAGAATCGACATCACAGCACTCGCGGCATTCCCATGCATGCTCCGTCCTCATCTTCAGCAGCCAGAGCAGAGTTCCAATACTGATGGTACCGGTCACAATCTAGTTATCTGTCCGTCTTGCCTTTCTTCTGTAAGCAGTGAGCTAGCCAGACCCTCTGGTTACACCCAAGTATCTCATTCTCTCCAGGCCATAATGATCTTCTTTCTCTACAGATTCCGTTGCTTGTTCCTAAAGGGCTTTGACAACATCTGCCTTGTCATGTATCAATTCGCCACCCAGTGATGCAGATCTAGCCAATCTGTCTACCTGTTCATTAACCACTACGCCGACATAGCCTGGAGAAAAGATCTCAAGTATGCTCACTACCCATGACCTTCCCAGTGAAGCTTGCCACTCTGCTCGAAGCATCCCTGTCTTCACCTTTCTTGGCATGCTTTCAGAGTCTGTTACAATTATGACATGTGTATGCAGCTTGTTCTATAGCTACCTGAGAGCTGCAGTTACCGCCTCCACCTACATTCTCATGCTAGATGTTGTGATGTCGTATGCTAGGCTGTCTTGCACTAAAGATTTACCACTGGCTTTCATTATGAACCCCCAGGCACTTCTCTTTCCTCTCACCACCGAACCATCTGTATAGATAATCACATCACCTGGGTGTGAATTGTCGTAGATGAACTGTTGGAGTTCCACCTCTGTAGAAATTTTTTTCTGACTGTAGTAATCCGCTGTAATTCTGATATTAAGGCACTGCCATCTGTTGAGAATTACAGAAAGGCCTATTTTTTGGAAATAAGGCTTTGACTTGTTTCTGCTATTTAATGGAATTGGTACTGTTTGTTACTGTGCAGTGTTTGGCTTGGTTTAAACAATAAGTCAACATCATGGCACAAGGGTAGTAACCCATTTCTCCGCTCTTCTTCTAACTCAAGCCTGAGTCTGAAGAATCTCAGCACAGTACATAAACTCCGTAGCATCAGCGAGGATCCTGAAAGACACTGGGTAGATTTTTAAATAAAAATGTTTCTGGGCAGCGCCGTTAAGCTATTTTTTAATTTATTTCCAACTGCAAAGGAATTTTTTACGTGCACCACAATACACACGGGCATCAGGTATTACTACTCAGAGACAAGGGGAAATTACTAGAAGTGCAAGTGAACAAATCCCAGCCTTCACCGGGGCCCGAACCAGGGACCTATAGCAATCGAGGCGAACACCATGCCTTGAGACAACTTAGTCCCCTTTGGTGAAAACAGTGTGCAGAGTTCAGATGGGTAGGACAGATTCTATTTCTAAAAAATAGCGAATAGGGAGGTTTTGCTGTGAAAAAAAGCCTTTCGTAGTATTTACGGGGAGTCGCCGTGGGGTAGCGGCTAGATACTCACAAGCGGATCCAAAGATCACTAGTTCAAATCCTGACACAGCCAAGACATTAAAAAAAAATAATTGACCCTGACTCCCAGGTTCACCCAGCTGTAAATGGGTACCAGGTAAAATCCTGGGAAGTAAAGGTGGCCAACATGATGTTGATCACATCATCCACCGACTGCCAACTGGTCTACAAAATATAGGTCTAGCCCTATATGCCCAATACACCTCAAGGCAGGAAAAGAGTGCTTTACTTTACTAAACTTTAGTCATTATGAGGTAATGATGTGCCTTTAGTAATTGCTTAGTAAAGCAGGTCATGGTGTAAGTCAGGGCTATTCAACTGGCGGTCCGCGGGCCAAATCTAGCCCACCAAGGCCTAGCAAGTGGCCCGCGGATCACTACTACTTATATTGCATTTATGGTCTTTCTATGCTGGGGCTGCGGCTTCTGGCCCGTGACGATGCCCATTTCTGAAAATGTTGGCCCCCGAGTCAACTTAGTTGAATAGCTCTGGTTTAAGTCATCGTAAATATTTTTTTTTCAGGCTCAAGGGCAGGTAAATCATTTAATCCTAGTTCATATTTTAATGATTATTCCCCTTGATGTATTTATAACAACATTTTTTAAAATGTGTATGAATACATATGTAATAAGTAAGGGCACACAATCAGACTATTACTGGAACAATCTTCTTCTTCTTTGCATTCACAGGCTGTAAACCTCTGCTGAAAGTTCTGGTTGTTCGTCCACCTCTGGACTTTAGTCTTGCTCCAGAACTTGAATGTTGCGTGCACATCCATTTTATAGATCTGACTTATGTGTGTGCAGTTTATTGGTTCCTTAACTCTCTCAGGCAGATGCACTCTGAATTTGAAGAAAGCCCTCAGTTAATTGACTTTTATGACATGCTTGTTGGAGAGGCCGTGGGTTTATTCTTGTTGTCCCCACAATGGGGCCTCAGAACCAAAACAAGAAACTGGTACCATCAGCACCTGAACTCTTCACTGGCTGCTGAAGATGAGGACAGAGGACTTGAGGGAATGTCTGGTGTGCTGTGATGTTAATTCTTAGCAGTACACAACTCTGTAAGTTTCAAATGAAGAATTCTTCTTCTTCTTTATGTCCTCTTTGACCACTTCAGGTGTCAAGGTAGATATACGGTCCTGCTTCGCGCTCTTCCTGCTGCTTCGACCATCGACACATTGTGGTGCTGTAGAGTTTCTCTGATGTTATCTTCCCATCTTGTTCTTGATCTACCTCCTGCTCTACGTCCTTCTCCTCTTTCAGTATATGCCTTGTAATGTATAGCACCAGAAGGAATTCTCTCAAAACGGGCATGCCATTTGATTTGCTGTCTCTGTATGTAATTTAGAATTGGCTCTGTGCCGACATGATCTTGTTTGACCTCATTCCTGATTTTATCTCCTCTGGTCACTCCTATAGTCTTTCTCAGACACCTCATTTCCATGATTACTACATTTCTGTTCTGGTTTGTTGTGAGTGACCACGTCTGGCACTGGTAACATTGGGTCGGAATGTTTTGTATGAGATGTTTCTTTGAGCTGATTGGGATTGCCTTATGCTGTAAGAACATAAACATTCTTAGCGCTACTCAACTCAACTTTGTTTAAAATGAAGAATTCACCCTCATAAATGTATTTTTCAAATGAAAATTTCACACAGATAAATAAATGTATGCTTCAAATGGAAAATTCACACTTATAAATATATTTTACAAATAAAATCCTTCAAAATTTAAAGCTGACACATTCTGTCGAGGAAGTCGCTCATGCCACTCAGCAAGAAACTTGATGATGATGTTATCACATGGCAGCAGTCTGTGCTGTCTCTAGTCATAGGTCTGTTGAAATGATGTCTTTTCTGGTGTTCTCTCGTCTGCTGAATCTGCATACAAATATATTGAAAGACAAAATCTGAATCTGCAGACACAAATCTATTAACTGTTTTTCAGCTGCACAAAGTCAAAGTACGCTCGCATGTGGATCTGGTCCTGAGGGAGCCAGAATTTACTGAAAAATAGACCTTGGCTCCCAGGTTGACTCAGTCTTAAATGAGTAGCAGGTAAAGTTCTCGGAAGTAAAAGCAGCTGGCGTGATCCACCAAGCGCCGACTGGGTCTATAAAATATAGGTCTAGCCCTATATGCCTAACATGCTGAGGACGAGGAAAAGGGTCCTCTACTTTACTTCTCTTGTGTGGTTGTTGCTTAGAAGGTCACACTGTTGCTCAAATGATGCTTTCCATGTGGGTCCCGAAGTCCCATTTTAAGGGAGAAAGAATAGACCAACTGTTCCAAAACAAGCATACTATAAAAGGTGATTAATAGGGGGACATACATCCCGTTTTCAACAGGACGGTTCCATTTTGTGTGTCCTGGCTGCCCTGTCGGTACGAGGAAAAAAAAAGAAATATAACTGTCCTGTTTTATAAACATCTAGAAATAAGCTCGAGAGTTCTACATACACTTATAGTTATACCTGGCGGCATTGTTAGATTTCATAGTTGTAGATACAAACTTTGAATATTTAGGCTCTATAACAAACAGCAATGGAGACTGACAGAAGTCACAATGAGGATGACCATAGCAATACAAAGATTAAACAGCATTAAAAGTCTTTGGTTAAGCACCAGCAAGGAAATAAAAATTAACATTTTTAAAGCATGCGCCTTCATTGTAGCAACATACGGATGTAAGTCGTGGACTATCTCACAGTACTTAAGAAAAAAGGAGATTTTGAGACGAAATTCTATAGCAAATGTCTCAGAATACCAAGGAAGATTGGCTAATAAACAGCATCTTGAAATATTTTGGTCATATCAAGTACAATGGCACATAAGAAAAAAAAATAATAGCAGAAGGCATAGTGTATATAACAAATATATTGAAGTGTGAGAAAAAATTCTTTTTCTTTTGTGTTTGCTTTCTAAAGGGGTAGTAGACACATAGTATGGTGGTTTATAGCTAGGCTGTGATATCTGTGCCTTTCAACAAATCAGATTTAAGTGAATCCTTAAGCAGTGGCCTCTTATGACATGTGTGTTATGTGTGGAGGGGAAAAACCAGTAAGGAATGGGACTAAAAAAGGGTCAACAAAATGATTGCAAGAAAGGTTGAGAGCTGAGCATGTGAGAAGCACACTAAATAAATACAAATGATGGCAACAACGATTCTTAAATCCCATGCTCTGACGATGGGAGACTTTTCTGAATGCAGGCACATCTTGCCCATCACACTCACCATGGTCTGTGATCCCCATGTCTCCCCATTGCACAATACAACACTATCATCTGGAAAGTTATGGAGCAGGGTGTCTTTTTTCTCCAAAAATGGGGCCCTGGAATCCCCATCATCAAGTGCCAACTAATAGTGTAAACTAATAAAAATATGCCACTGTCTTAAGCCATCCATCTTTATTTCTCTTGGTCTGCCTCTGCCTCTTCTTGCTCTGCCTCTTCTACCAGTGTTCCTTCCAGTCATCACAATATTTTCTTGTGCTCCTTTTCTCATCACACGACTGAAGAATTTTGTTTGTTTCTTTCTTAATGTTGTATGATTTTTCACTTTAAAAAAAATGTATTTATCCAGAAACCATGAGTTGTAAACCCTTTGGCTCGGTACTATGAATATCGCAACCCTTCGGCCTTGATTCCGTGATAGATTACCGTAAATCTGGGAAAATATACAACTTTTCTGCCTACCCCCGAGCCTGAACTCGGACCACAAAGAGTCTGTCACCCGGTCGCCATGCAGCTGGTTTAACCAACTAAGCTAGCATGCCAGGCTCAATGCTGCATCGTCTACTTTCATTAGCCATTTCCAGGCATTCAATGTTAGTTATTCTGGTAGTCCAAGATATTTGCAACATTCCTTTCAAAAACCAAATCTCAGTTGCCTCCAAACTCTTCTTAACTCTTTGAGTCCCAGGGGGTTTAGCATCACAGGCCGAGAGGGTAGTAAAAAAAAGTAATAATATCGGCAAATCATGCGTTCAGTGGGCTTCTAGGTAGAAACCTATGAATGTATGATGCGTTCCTTGGGAAATTTGTTTGCTCACATTTCAAGATTCACTACCACACAACAGAAGGAACCCACTTGGGAAGGGTAAATTAATAACAAACCTGTATCAGGCACACAGGCCTGCAACAAAGCCTGCAAGCAGCGTCTCTGGTCATCAGATGTTGCTGACGATTCTAACCTCTGTAGATGACCTCTGACCTTCTCCAGGGAGGGGATGTCACTCTGGACTGCAATAACATAATTAATAGGAAATGAGAAAGTCGACAACCAGGGAGGGGATATCACTCTGCCCTGCAATAACTTAAATAATAGAAATGAGAAAGTCGACAACCAGGGAAGGGATGTCACTCTGCCCTGCATTAACTTAAATAATAGAAATGAGAAAGTCGACAACCAGGAAAGGGATGTCACTCTGCCCTGCAATAACATAAATAATAGGAAATGAGAAAGTCGACAACCAGGGAAGGGATGTCACTCTGCCCTGCAATAACATAAATAATAGGAAATGAGAAAGTCGACAACCAGGGAGGGGATGTCACTCTGCCCTGCAATAACATAAATAATAGGAAATGATAAAGTTGACAACCAGGGAGGGGATGTCACTCTGCCTTGCAAAAACACTAATAACAGGACATAAGAAAGTTGACAAAAAGGTCAAAGAAGACACAGGCAAACAACAGGTTCCAGGTTAACAGATGATCAGTATCTAATATCCTGCGAGGTTGTGGAGTCTGAAAGTTTCTGTGTTCAATCTTCTTAGTCATCTCCTACCTCTTGGTGCTCCTACTTTCCTGTTGTACGCTCTCATGAGATCACTGATTCATTTTCTTTAAATGGATAAACCATTTCAGTCTTTATTTTTCAATATGTATAAGTGTTGTTTAAATATTTCTTGTAATTTCCTCGTTTCTCACATAACTTCTAGTTTAAAAAAAAAAACTAGTTGCATATCTTTTAAAGGACTCTGCAGCCCGGCTCTCTAGCGCAGTTGGCTAAACCTGACTGCGCGGTGACTGGGTGACAAACTCCTTGTGGTCCGAGTTCATAGCCGGGGGTAGGCAGAAAAGCCACATTTCTCCCAAATTTACGGTATCTATCATGGAATCAAAGTCGAAGGGTTGCGATATCCATAATACCGAGCCAAAGGGTTAACAACTCATGGTTTCTGGATACTTAAATAAAAAAAAATAAAAAAAAAAAGGGACCAACCCCAGCAATATTTGGCTGTTGTGGTTTTTCTAGGCACATTTTTTTTTTTTTTTTACATTCAGTAGTTTGCCCTCCAATTGGTGGAGAGTGGGAAACACACTACTGTGTGGCTAACGCAGATATGAGGACCGAGTATCCAATGGAATAAGTGGATCACTCCACAGCTGGGCAGAGAAGGGTGCCCACTTGTCCTGACAGTCGGAAATTACTGTCAAAGGTGCAAATTAAAAAACCCATGTGGATGTGGAAGACAAAGGGAAACCACCACATTATATTTCCAAGATATCTCATGAAGAAACATAGTCTGAATCAAGCTAACGAAAGTAGATCTCTATATACAACAATAAGAAAGAGACAAACAGGGATGATGTGGATTCAAACTCAACACCTTTGGGCGGACAGGCGAGCAACTAGCCAGTATGCCACAGCTGCTTCCCATACCTGCTGATATGTGAAAAAATAATTTACCAGTTGGTCAGAGAATCGCAAAGGAGAAGAAGAAGGAGTTAATGAATCTTTTCTGTCTATCAAGACCGATCTCCACAAAGGCAAGCTTCAAAGCACCTCCAAAACCCTGTCTCTGCCATTGTTATACATTCTGTTTGTCTACATCTTGTCATTTTAATCACAAAACTGGATATGACACAGCAGATGCCCTGGCTGGCAATGCGACTGTCAAGAACAGGTCATCTATGGACAGGAGAGACATCATCAGTGCCTAAGAGACAGTAAATGTGAGGCTTTCAATTTCATGAAAAGTGATTCTTCACTGAATAGACTGCATACCCAGTGTGCACCAGTAGGAGCGGCAAGACATGGAAACCAAGCGGGAGCCAGAATTTGAGTTTTTAGCCTAAAAAATAGAGACATACCCAGGAGGAGATCGGAGCAATTATGGCCATGTCAGATGTGCAATGAAGATGATCTTTAAATGAACAGTGAAGAAAACTGGAAATGAAAGAACCAACAAACTGGCCAAAGATACAGACAAACAATAAGAACCAACAAACTGGCCAAAGAAGACACAGACAAACAACAAGAACCAACAAACTGGCCAAAGAAGACACAGACAAACAACAAGAACAAACAAACTGGCCAAAGAAGATACAGACAAACAATAAGAACCAACAAACTGGCCAAAGAAGATACAGACAAACAACAAGAACAAACAAACTGGCCAAAGAAGATACTGACAAACAACAAGAACCAACAAACTGGCCAAAGAAGACACAGACAAACAACAAGAACAAACAATCTGGCCAAAGAAGACACAGACAAACAACAAGAACAAACAAACTGGCCAAAGAAGACACAGACAAACAACAAGAACAAACAATCTGGCCAAAGAAGACACAGACAAACAACAAGAACAAACAAACTGGCCAAAGAAGACAGACAAACAACAAGAACCAACAAACTGGCCAAAGAAGACAGACAAACAACAAGAACCAACAAACTGGCCAAAGAAGATACAGACAAACAACAAGAACCAACAAACTGGCCAAAGAAGACACAGACAAACAACAAGAACCAACAAACTGGCCAAAGAAGACAGAGACAAACAACAAGAACCAACAAACTGGCCAAAGAAGACACAGACAAACAACAACCAGATATTCCAGCTAGATATTTCATCTATCTTTGGTTACACAAAATGGTTGCTGGGTTCTTCTTCTTTTTCCTTTTCAGCATTCCAAGCCCTTGAGGTTCACTGCTGCAGATATCACCCGCCTCCATTCATCTCTCTGGTTGGTTGTTGGGTTACCGTGTTAATCTTGACTTTTTTGACTCGCCACAGCTGCCGATATGTGAAATTATGATTTATCAAAGAGCTAGCCAAAAAAAATAATCACAAAGACCTGCAAGATTTGTTGTCAACTCAATGTTTTAGCACTTTATTTTTTCTTTGTTCACTCTTGCAAAAAGGTGGTTGGCACAATGTGTTGTGGTTTACAGCTAGGCTGTGATGTCATCCACTTTCCCCAAACCTTTAATTGGTCACCTTTTAAGTCATATTTATTAACATAGGGTCTATTCCTAAACTCCCCACCCCCTTCCACAGAACCCACATAGGGAAGGTGCTTCAGCACAAAGTCTCTTACCTTTCTTAGCTAGACGAAGCTTGACATATTTCTCCATGAATATTCGGAAACTGTGCCCCTTGATGTGTACTTGCTGTGACAGTGCGCTCAGGTCTGCCAGTTCAATCAACGACGTTACATGCAGGACCGCACCACAGAGCTGCCAAAAGAAAAAGGCCAATAATTAAAAACAAAACAAAATTTGATTAGTCAGTGAGAGAACAGGATGTGTGAGAGTGATTATGTGTGAGAGGCAGATTTGTGAGAGGGTTATTATGAGAGGGTAATGTGTGAGAGGCAAATATGTGAGAGGGTGATATGTGAGAGTGATGTGTGAAAGGGTGATTATGAGACGGTGATGTGTGAGAGGCAGATGTGTTAGAGGGTGATGTATGAGAGGGGTAATGTGTGAGAGGGTGATGTGTGAGAGGGTGATGTGTGAGAGGGTGATGTGTTAGAGGGTGATGTATGGGAGGTTGATGCGTGAGAGGGTGATGTGCGGAAGGCAGATGTGTGAGAGGGTGATGTGTGAGAGGGTGATGTGTAAGAGGGTGATGTATGTAAGTGTTGTTCTTAAATTTGGATATTCACTGCTCTTAAGGTTGCAAAACAGTGGTAAGTGAAGAATTATTTTACAAAACTTTGTCGCTGTAAAACTTAACACCTGCTAAATTCTTTTGTGTGTGTTTATTTTTGTTGACTTACTATAACAGAACTAAACACTGATATATCATTCAAATTCAAAGCTTAAATTAATTTCTCTTTAAAAAAAATATAACTTGTGTTTAGTGATTAGAAATATACTACATTCTCTATTGCATTTACTTTACACCACACCCTCTGTCATTTTTGTTGAGGGAAATTAATGCAAGCCAAGTCTGTCAAAATTCATAGGTCTGAAAGAGTTCATGTCTTTATTCTGGGCTACTAAAACTCTTAGGTAATCACTAGGCTCAAAAGTTAAAACGCACAAACTTCCAGAGCCGTCACACCCAACCAATAATTTTAGCCTTAGTCGAGGTTTCAACTTCACTGCAATCAGGTTTCCCCATACTTGCTCCGTTCCTGTGCCAGTGCAAATCAAATGAAATGTCCCTCACTGTCCCATTAAAAAAAAAAAAAAATGGTGAACAAACAATTTTTCCAGAATAATCCAGAAATATTGGCACTCAGTAAATGCATATAGCAGTTGCTAGAGGCTCCAAAGCCAATAGTCGCTACCAGAAATGCAGTCTGTCCTTGATGGAAGTGGTTGGACACGATAACCTGGCAATACACAAGTAAAACCACCACATGAGGTATTTCACCAGCTCAAACGTAAACCGGCCATACTGAATACAAATCATACTAATTACAAGGCAAGTAACGTACATGTTCTGTCAAACTATCTTTGTACTTGTACTCGGCAAAATTGTTGATATTTTCGGCCGTCTCTAAGGCCAAGACCAGGCTCGCCCAGACATTGCTGACTGTCTCTGGGGACCCATAACCCTGTCTTGCAGAAGGGGCAGATAATCCCAGGGCTGCATTGATTCGAACCTGCAATATAAACAACAATTAAAACACTGCATCTATTGGATGCAACTGTCTAAGGGAAGTAATGCGTAACTCTCCTCTTCTTCTTCACATCCACTGGCTGTTACAAGTTAAAAAAAAAAGTAAAGGACCCTTTTCCACGTCTTTAGGCATACAGGGCTAGACCTATATTTTGTAGACCAATTCGGAACAAGATGGGTGATGTGGTCAGCATCACGCTGACTGGCTGTTAAACTCCGATGGAAAGTTCTGGATATTTGTCATCCTTCTAGACTTTGGTTTTGTTTCAAAACTGGAGTTTTGGTTGCACACCCTTTCACAGATCTGGTTTATTTGTGTGCAGATTGTTGGTTCTTTGCTTCTCAGCCAAGTTCACATTGAATTTTATACCCCTAATTAGTAAACCTCTCCTTGTGTGGGTTCCAGGGCCGATTCTAGGGGAAAGAAAAGAATGTAATCACTGCCTCCCTAAGAAACATTTCGCACAAGGCCATAAATTAGAGTAGTTTCCTTTAAAGTCTGAGTGTATTTGCCTTTGTGGTAAGGAACCAGCAGTCTGCATTCAAAGGTCATGCATTCAAATCCACACTTAGTTGAATTTGTCTCAAAACTGATCTTGGCTACCAGCTGGATGGAGCCTAAAATGGGCACCATGAAATGTCCTGGGAAGTAAAGGCAGTCAGCATGATGCTGATCACAACATCCACTGAGTGATAAGTGATCTATACAAAATATGAGACCAGCATCACATGATCAATGCACCACAGGCAGGAAACAGATGCTTTACTCACACTTACACTCAATTATCTTTTTCTTCTTCTTCGCATTCACCAGCTGTAAACTCAGGCAGAAAGTTCTCAGTGTTTGTCCACCTCCGGACTTTAGTCTTGTTCCAAAACCTGAGTGTTGCATGCACATCTGTTTTCACAAATCTGGCTTACCTGTATGCAGACTCTTGGTTCATTGCCTCTCTGGCAGATGTCCCATCTTCAAATGATGCCCTCTATTAGTCGACTTCTATGTCATACTTGTTGGGGAGGCAGTGGGTCTATTCTTGTTTTCCCCCACAATGGTGTCCCAGAACTCACACAGGAAACATTATCAGCCAAAGGGCTACCTTCACAAAATTGGCAATTACCTTGAAGTTTGTGCAGTTCTGCACCACCTTGCTCAGCATGTTGAGAATGTCTGTCACCCACGTTCGGTCCATCGGAAGCTCGGGATTCTGGAAGGCATTGCTGGCAGCATAACAACTGTTCCAGCGAACCTACAATATAAGAAGAGGTAGTAGTTTATGAGTCAGCATGTTGTGGCTTAGGAGTCGGCATGTTGTGGCTTAGGAGTCGGCATGTTCCAGCGAACCTACAATATAAGAAGAGGTAGTAGTTCATGAATCGGCATGTTGTGGCTTATGAGTCTGCATGTTGTGGCTTAGGAGTCAGCATGTTGTGGTTTAGGAGTCTGCATGTTCCAGCGAACCTACAATATAAGAACAGGTAGTAGTTTAGGAGTCGGCATGTTGTGGCTTAGGAGTCTGCATGTTGTGGCTTAGGAGTCTGCATGTTGTGGCTTAGGAGTCGGCATGTTGTGGCTTAGGAGTCGGCATGTTGTGGCTTAGGAGTTGGCACGTTTCAGCAAACCTACACTATAAGAACAGGTAGTAGTTTAGGAGTCGGCATGTTGTGGCTTAGGAGTCGGCATGTTCCAGCGAACCTACACTATAAGAACAGGTAGTAGCTTAGGAGTCGGCATGTTGTGGCTTAGGCAGGTTATAATTTTGAAATACCTGGTTTGATTCTCTCTGCAGTTGATGTGGCAGCTGTTTCTGAAAATGATACTGAGTGCGGATGTCCCAATGTGGGTTCTGGTATCCCATTGATGGGGGGAAGGGGGGGGGGAGGGGCGACCTACTGCCCCTTAAGAAGCATGTCGTAAAAGTCGACTAATTACGGGTTTTCTCTTCAAAGTCAGTGTGCATCTGCCTGAGAGGTGAGGAACTAACAGTCTGCACACAAAGGAGCCAGATCTGTTAACAGGGTGTGCAAGTTCTGGAATGAGACTAGTCCAAAAGTGGACAACATACCAGGACTTTCTGTCAGAGTTTACAGCTTGTGAACACAAGTGCTGACCATTCAGTAAGCAATGGCAAACTAATGAACGTACAACTGCCCCATATTACCAGCCAACAAATGTTGGGGCTGGTTCTACAGTGTCCTCTAGAGGCCACACAACTAACTTTGGAAAATTACAAGTCTTCGCCAGGTCTTTTTTTTTTCTTTCTTGGTGGCATGCAATACCGGCACCTATTTTGAGCCTTGTTTGTTTTGACTCTACTGTAATAAACAATTTGTTGTAAGTGCTGGAACCTTTTTTTTTTGGGCATATAGACAAAAACGCTGGTCTTTACCAAATAGATACTAACTACAGTTACGAGGGTTTCCGTGGTCAAATGGTCAAGTCATTTGCCCCGCATTCTCAAGGTTGTGGGTTTGTTTCACGGACATGTTGTTCAGTTCATGAGTGCAGTTTTTTGTTGTTGTTCAAGATCCATGGGGAACTGTCACTGGAGCTACAGAGTTCATACTTTGTGTGATGACCTCAACAAGTGGCTAGCTGTTCTGTGGAGGAAAACCAAGCTATACAAGATAACCTGGTGCAACAAAGTCAGTTCTCCCGACTGCATCTGCGGTTATGAATATGCATTCCTGAATGTAAAAAAAAAATACTCCTGCCTCACGGCGTCAAGGCAGGAAGAAATCTCTAGAACGGGCCCTTCTGTCCACTTTGTATATAGTACTTTCAAGTGTCTCTGATATTTCTGCAGTCCACTATCTACATGTTCGACCTCTGGCTCTGTTACTGTTGAATCTGTATAACACTGCTCTCTCTGGTACCCTGTCTGATGCCAGTCTTGTCACATGGCTAAATCATTCGATTTGTTGTCTAGCTATAAAGTTCAGTATCGGTTCTGATATCATTGTTCCTAAGTCAATCTTTCCTCATTATATACCATTGGCATTTAAGCCCCAGGTCAACCAAGAGTTAAACTGGTACTAGGAATTGTCCTGAGAAACAAAAACGGTCAAAATGATGTTGACCTGTCACACACTGAGAGCCAGTTGGTCGATTAAAAATATGGGTCTAGTACAATATGTCTGATGATTTCCTCCAACTTGTACGATTGTCTACCTATTGCTATTTTCCCTTTGACTTTTCTCCTATAGCACGATTTAAAAAAAAACAAACAAAAAAGTCTTATGTCTTTTAATGAGGCCAAAATATTTAAAGCGTTATTTTTAGAACAAAAATGTCTATCAGCAACTTTCTTTTTATTCTCACTCTTTTCAGAACCTTTGTATTTCTTCTTCTTTATCACACATTTGAGTGATAGAATTGTAACAGTAAACATCCACAAGACCCCATCAGCAGACTCAACAGAAAGCAACATACAACAATTTTCTGTCTACAAACAGGAAACTGCAGGCTCAACTACCACATGCATAAAATAAAGATTGTACAGACCCCACAGTGTGTCTGTCAGACAGGACCATAGACACCTCAGCACATTCTGCAGACCTGCCCACTCTACATACAACTTTAAAAAGACACCTGGACTCAAGAGCAAAGTGTGCAGAGCAAGCTATGGGGAACCATGAAGGACGTGCTACTGACATGCAAGTTCATAAAAGGCAACCCATCTGATGGTCTGATCTGAGCATACGAAACCCAACGCAAAGAAGAAGAGTGACATAATTGTGTTGTGCCTGTTTACAGCTTGGCTGTGATATTTGCACCTTTCGGCAGATGCATTCAACTTCATTGAGCATTCATTCGCCAGGTTAGTCTTTTCAGGAACCAGCCAGGATTTTTTCTCTTCCCTAATAGCTTTGCGCTGTCAGATCAAAAGTTCAAATTGTATCTTGATTTCACTGCTTATGCTGCTCCCTCCCAGCCCCTTCCCCCTACGTGCCTCCGGATGCGGCCGCTTCTCTGTATCATAGCACCTTTCATACGACCTACATTTCTGACCTATTCTACATAACTACTCACCTTCATAGTTCCACTATTCATGTTTTTAATCAACCCCCTTACTGCGGCCTCAACCGCCTTCTCCATGTCTGACTGCAGGAAACAACGAGTCGGCATGTACCTCACCAAGTTTCCTATAGCCCGGACCGCATTGCAGCTGATTTTGTCACTCTCCTTCGTGGACGACGCTGCACACTGGACCAGCTGCAGAAGTAGGTCATGCGGAAAGTCTGTCACAAAGTCCTGAACTTGTTTATCTCTAGGTAGAAAGAAAAAAAAAAAACAAGTCTTGAACGTGTTTATCCTTGGAAAAAAATAAATAAAAATCATGACACTTTTGACAACAACCAAACACACAGAAATATAGAGGCAACACAAAATGCTACTGGCTAGAAAACAAAAGAAGTAAATTGAAACATTTCATATTCTGGTGCAGATTCTGTGGACCCACTGGGGGAGAGAGAGGGAATAGACGCACTGCCCCCCTAACAAGTATGTTTGCCTCGCGCTCTGAAGGTTGTGGATTCATTCCATGGCTGTGCCCTGAGTTTACGAGTGAAATTTTTCCAAAGATTCCTGGAGATCATCACCGGAGCTACAGAGTTTGTGCTTTGTACAGCACTTTCTGCAGGGTGAGACCGAGCCATATGGGATAAAACCTGGTGCAACAAAGTTGATCCTCTCAACTTTAACCTTTAAACAAAGATCAAACATCTTCTTCTTCTTCTCATCCACCTTGGACCTCATTGAAGTGTCGGGGGGAGATGTTCGTTGATGACCTCTGTCAAGAGCACTATTAAGACTGATGTTCATTTCTGTAAGGCTGTTCTTAATGCCATCACTCCATATTTTCCGAGGTCTTCCACTCGCTCCATACCTGTTGTAACATTTTAGTATGGCTCGCTGTGGCAGATAGTACCAGGGCATTCTTGTTAGGTGTCCAAACCACTTTATTTGTTGTTATTTGATGACCTGTAAGACTGGCTTTATTCCTAGCATTCGTCTGATTTCATATTTTGTCTTTCCTTGAAACTCCTGCAGCTCTTCTAAGGCATTTCATCTCTGTTGTCACAATTTTACGTTCATTGGAAGATGTAAGTGTCCAGGTTTGGCATTGATAGCATAGTGTGGGAAGTGGTCCATTTAAAGCTTCCCCCTGTTTGTTGGCTGGTTTGGTTTGTGTTCACCAGCTGTAAAACCAGGTGGAAAGACCTGTTTGTTTGTCCATTTCTGGACTCTGGCTTTGTTCCAGCACCTGAGTTTTGCATGTACATTTGTTTTTATAGATCTAACTTATTTGTATGCAGACTTTCCTTGCCTCTAAGGCAAATGCACTCAACTTGGAAGTAAGCTCCCATTTAGTTGATTCTTAACGACAGGCTTTTTAGGGAGGCCGTGGGTCTATTCTTGTTTTACCCACAACAGGACCTCAGAACCCACAACGGGACCCCTGTTTGTGTTTACTGGTTAATCCTTTCATGAATCTTAAAATATTTTGAATTTGTTAGTCTTCTTCTTTTCGCTACTCCTGGAATGCCTCGCAGGGTCAGGGCAGGAAGAGATCTCTGGAATGGGCCCTTCTGTTAGCTTTGTATATAATTTCGTTGTTTTTGATACTTCTGCAGTGCATCTTCTGCGTGGTCGACCTTTGGTTCTGTTATTTTGTCCTATCTTCTGCATGGTCGACCTCTGGCTCTGTTATTTTGTCCCATCTTCTGCGTGGTCGACTTCTGGATCTGTTATTTTGTCCCATCTTCTGCATGGTCAACCTCTGGCTCTGTTATTTTGTTCCATCTTCTGCATGGTTGAACTCTGGCTCTGTTATTTTGTCCTATCTTCTGCGTGGTCAACCTCTGGCTCTGTTATTTTGTCCTATCTTCTGCGTGGTCAACCTCTGGCTCTGTTATTTTGTCCTATCTTCTGCCTGGTCGACCTCTGGCTCTGCTATGCTGTATCCGTACAACACTGCTCTCTGTGGTGCCAATCCTGTTACACGACCAAACTGCTTGATCTGTTGTCTACCGATTTATTAGTGACCTGTGTAAAAACTGCTGTTTTTGTTGTGTTTCCTGTGTATGCTTAAACACAACATAAGAATCCAGGATCTATATGTGACACTCACTTGTTAAGGACCAAAGTGTCACACAGATTTGCCAAGGCCCAAGCGGCCTTGAACCTGACACAGTTGCTGGGGCATCCCATACAGGATAAGATTGCCTTGCCCGCATCAAGCACAAAGGCTACATCCTGAAACAGTTAACAACATGGGATCCGATGAGTGTGAGAAATTAAAAATAGGACCGGAGAAATGAATGGAACAAACTTACTGGAGTCCTGTTCATATTGCTGCGGCAAATCTCCAAATTGCTCTATCTCTTGTTTTAGTTTTACTCTTTCACAGACCGCTTCCCATCTATCTCTTGATGTTGTCCTTCCACATGTATCATTTTCTACATCTTGCTGGGAGTCACCATGGCGTAGTGGCTAGACGCTCACGTGCAGATCGGAAAGTTGTGGGTTCGCTCCCTGGCGGATGCCAGACTCTTTTAAAAAATGACCTTGACTCCCAGGTCGACCCAGCCCTGAGTGGGTACCGGGTGCAGTCCCAGGAAGTAAAGGCGGCCAGTGTGATGCTGACCACATCGCCCATCTTGTGCCGATTGGTCTATAAAAATATAAGGTCTAGCCCTATATGCCTAAAGGTGTGGAAAAGGGACTTTTACTTTTTGTGTTTGTGTGTGGGTACATCTCACTTTCTAGCAACTCAACCTTTCCCTCCTTTACGATTTTTAAAAAATGAGTTATGATAAAATTAGTTTAATGTGGAGAAAATATTTTATCTCTCCTTTAAAAAAAAAAAAAATTACAAATTATAATCTTTACCAAGCCAAAAACTTATGGACATATCCACAAACAATTAAACTGAAACTATAAAAAAAAAAAAAATATGCATAACAGAGAAAAGAAGCCTCCTTATATTCTGGCTTTCTACTCCACATGGATTCTGGTAGTCGAGCAAGCATGTCATAAAAGCGAATTAATTAGGAGTTTGCTAAAATCAGATGTGTTGGGTTGAAAGGTACATCTATCACATCCTAGTTGTAAACCACAACACATCTAGCCAAAACGCCCCTTTAAACCTGTCAGTCTGGGAAAGCTATTTTTCAGGCACTAACAGCTTTTTGATTACATGAAGTCATTGGGCACTTTGCTCCAGCAGGCTAAGTCAATAAAACTACGCTTATCATGGCAAAGAGAAAACAAGCAGTTCTTTCCCCGGTTTATATTTAATTATATAGTTAATTCTCTTTTTAAAAATGTAAAAAAAAAAATGGACTCACAAAAGTGAATGTAAATTATTTTACTTATTTGACAGCTACAATACTGCAGTGGCTTTTATGCTTGCCTGTTTGCTTGGGGTTGGTAGATTTGAACTCGCTGGAGTTTGATAAAAACCGACAGAGTCCAATTTCTTCTGCTTCTTTTTTCCCTCTAGTTTGTTAGGGTAGTGTTTCAGAGAATTATAAAACTGCATTTAAAACTCCTACTGTGTGAAAGAGTTAAGGACAAACAAGGAATAAGAAGAAGATATTCCTATTTTCACTAACCTCCTTCAAACCAGAATACATGATGTAGACGCCAAGAGCCCTGACGGCCGAAGCTCTGATCAGCTTGTCCTCATCGCCAGCCAGTCCCAAGACCAGGGTAACACACTGCATCTGTCGGGCTGTCTGTGGGAAAGGAAAGACCAGCAGACATTCTATAAAATGACATTTGTAATGACAATGTGCGGGGTTATCTCAGGGAGGCCAAAATTTTGGACTAATCAATCGGTCAGTGCGTCCCCTGGGCTGCTATCTAAAGGATTATGATACTATCTTTCCCTGTGTGGGTTCAAGGGCTGCACTGTGGGGGGGGGGGGGGCAAGACCAGACTCACTGCCTACTCAACGAGCATGTCTAAGTCAGAGTGCATTTGCCTGAGAGGCAAGGAACCAACAGTCTGTCTACAAATGAGTCAGATCTGTCAAATGAATGTGTTATGTAGCATTCAGACTCTGGAGTTGGGAGGCGGATGAATACCCAGAACTGTTTTTTCCCCCCAACATTTCTCTTTTTGTTCTCAGTCACTTTAGAACAACCCCTAGCTAAGGCGGCTGGCACGATGTTGACCTCAAGATCAAATGAGTGCCGACTAGTCTATAAAATATGAGCCTAGTGCCATCTGCCTGATGTGGGGCCACCGATCGTAAAAACATCCTTTATTTTATTATATTAGCATGTTTAGATCCTGTCTCGAAAGCTGAACTATTTTGGTCATATCAACCCCCATGGTGGGTTGGAAAAAATAATAGCAGAAGGCATGGTACCAGGAAGGAGTGGCAGGGGACGACCAACACGAAGATAGGCACAGAATATAAGTGATTTCTTGAAATATGAAAGTACACGAGGGGGAGAGCTGGCGAGAGACCGTGTTTCTTCTGGGCAGAACATGATGACAGTGACGTTCGGCAAAGGACCTGCTACAGAATGATGATGAGCATTTTTATAACGTTTCACACTATGGCTTGAAAAACATCTGTAACAGGTAATCAAGTACTCAACTGTTCCAGCTTCCCAGAAAACGAGTCACCCTCACAGTTGCTCCACTCTTTTACCGGTGAAAACCCCACAGTTGCTCTGTTCTTGTACCAGTGAAAACGCCACAGTTGCTCTGTTCTTGTACCGGTGAAAACAACACAGTTGCTCCAATCTTGTGAAGTGAAAACCACACAGTTGCTCTATTCTTGTACCAGTGAAAAGCCCACAGTTGCTCTGTTCTTGTACCGGTGAAAACCACACAGCTGCTCTGTTCTTGTACTGGTGAAAAGCTTACAGTTGCTCTGTTCTTGTACCGGTGAAAACCTCACAGTTGCTCTGTTCTTGTACCAGTGAAAACCTAACAGTTGCTCTGTTCTTGTACCGGTGAAAACAACACAGTTGCTTCAATCTTGTGAAGTGAAAACCACACAGTTGCTCTATTTTTGTGCTGGTAGAAAGCCAGCAGTTGCTCTTTTCTTGTACTGGTGAATAGCCCACAGCTACTACGTTCTTGTACTGGTGAAAAGCCCACAGTTGCTCCAATCTTGTACCGGTAAAAAGCCCACAGTTGCTCCATCCTTGTACCGGTGAAAAGCCTACAGTTGCTCCGTTCTTGTACAGGTGGAAACCGAACTGAAGCTCAATCAGTGTCCCTAGTGGGGGAAAAATGGACATAGACTGCAGCCTCTGCATAACTACTGACATACTTTACTACTTACTTAAGTCGCTCCTTTTGTAGAGGTTTGCAAGAGAGATTGCCAGATTTCTCTGTTAGTAGTTTTCTTTCTGGCTTTGTTCCATTCTAGTCCTCTGTCAGTCAGATCTTGCCTTCCCAGCAGACCCTGGGTCACCCTGGAGGTCTGGTCTCCTGGTTCTTAGCCTCCTATGCCTGCCATGGTGGTCAATTTTCTCTTATTCACTAGTGTCATACACCTGCATTAAATGCGTAGACAGCTGTCAGAAGTGACAACACACAACGTCTGACACTAGAAATGCAGTTCTTTATTGATGGAAGCATCAGTTAAGCAGATCAGTAGTTGCACAGGCAATTTATCGCATAAGGCATAACCAGTTATCTCTAGCAACAAGGCCATTTTCTGAAGGTGCAGTTCACAACACAAACCACACTAGGCACCATTGAAAAGCATTCCAAATGAAATCCCTAGTTCCCAGTGTCAAGCCATGCTGGGCAACTGTACCAGAAATGATTGACAGTACATGAGACAGAAGGCTGAGGCAGACATGACTACCAACACCACACAGCTCAGACTAAAAGCTGTTAGCAACAGCAAACAAAATGGTAACTTACAGGTAATTTTGCGAACACCTCCTCTCCTATGTTTGCCATGCACTCACAAGCTCCGGAACGCACCAAATTGTTTCCCTCTATGGACATTTCGGGGTTAAATTTCAACAGCTCGGGCAACGGGCCTTCCAGGAGGTACAGCCAGAAGTCTAACACCTGATCAGTCAGAGAAATTAGTGTCAAATGTTTTGTTGTGCATACTTCACATTGATTCAATTCTTATTCTTAATTTCATCATCTGTCGTGTGTGTGGAGCCGCTTGCATTACTTTGTAAGACCCAGATCAAGGGCAGATCATGGGTTTTCTGTCCAGGAAATTCAGACCTGCGAGGTAACAAGCAGGCTGACAGATTAGCTGCTGCCACTCACCTGGGCGGTGGGCTACTATATGATAAAGCGGATGTGGTGAAGGTTCTATGGGATGAAATGGACAGTGCAAAAGTACAAATAAAGAATCCATACACTGACAGACTAATTCAACGGGAGGCGAGCAGAGGTTTCGGAAGGTATTCAACATTGAAGGAGAAACAGAGGCAGGCTTTTAATCAGGATGCAACTAATACTATTAGCATGTCAACTCTTTACTGGCAACTGAAAAAGGGGACGGAGCATGCGTGGGAATGTCAAAAGGGCAGTGATGTCCATTCTGCACTGATTGATTGATTGATTGAACATCGTCATCTAACAAAAACTAAATAGGTTACATCGTGAGCGGATAGGGCCAGCCAAAGTCTCTGAACCGTTAGCTCTTGGCACCACTGATCAAACCAACGCAAGACAAACTGTCCGCAGCTGGGATCAAACCCGGCATAATGAAACGGGCTTACACAAGCCAAAAACGCCGACAACAAGTTTAAGCAAGAATTTATTCCACCCATTATTTAAGTCAGACACTGTAAGGTCAGCCTAGGAGTGGCCACATTGAAAACAGCACCCTTTATGGTGTAAATCTTTCTCTCTTCTTTTTGTTGCTGACGATGATGGATATAAGAAACTGAAGGTTAAACCAGTGATGGTTAATAAAAGTTTTACTGTTCAGTGTACTGTTGTACAAAGGAATTTGAAGCATCCTTCCGTTAAAATATTATACTGGCTGAAACGGAATGAGATAAGGTTTGGAGAGATGTAAAACCTGACACCTGGTGAAAAGGAATGAGATAGGGTTTGCAGAGATGTAAAACCTGATAACTGGTGAAAAGGAATGAGACAGGGCTTGCAGATATGTAAAACCTGATACCTGGTGTAAAGGAATAAGATAGGGTTTGGAAAGATGTAAAACCTGATACCTGTTGAAAAGGAATGAGATAGGGTTTGGAGAGATGTAAAACCTGATACCTGTTGAAAAGGAATGAGATAGGGTTTGGAAAGATGTAAAACCTGATACCTGTTGAAAAGGAATGAGATAGGGTTTGGAGAGATGTAAAAACTGATACCTTGTGAAACAGAATGAGATAAGGTTTGGAGAGATGTAAAAACTGATACCTTGTGAAACAGAATGAGATAAGGTTTGGAGAGATGTAAAAACTGATACCTTGTGAAACAGAATGAGATAAGGTTTGGAGAGATGTAAAACCTGATACCTGCTGAAAAGGAATGACATGGTTTGGAGAGATGCTGGCATCAGCAACATCCTTCTGTAGAACTTGTGTCAGCTCATCTAGAACCTTCACTCCATGTAGCTTGACAATGTGGTTCGGATCCTCCAGGCACTTCTGTACCAAGTTTTGAAGAAGATCAAAGCTCTGCCTGTAAGAGATATTTGCAAATATGAAATGAATTGGACAGGTCACCGCTTTCTGTGTCTGTACAGTAAGCTGCCATGTGGAGCAGCTAGTTGCTCGCATATGGGATCGGAAGGTCATTAGTTCAGATCCTGACGGAGCCAGACATTTAAAAAAAACAACAACAACAAACACCTCAGCTCCCCAGTTGACCCAGACTTAAATGGGTACCGGGTAGTCCTGGAAAGTAAAGGCACCCAGCATTATGCTGACCTCATCACCCCGTCAGTGATGATTGGTCTATAAAATATAGGTCTAACCCTATATGCCGAATACACATGAAAGCATTAAAAACAGTCCTGCACTGTACAGGGTACAATAGATGTAACCGATATATCCACAGGCTCAATATGCACAGGCTCAATATGCACAGGCTCAATATGCACAGGCTCAATATGCATAGGCTCAATATGCACAGGCTCAATATGCACAGGCTCAATATGCACAGGCTCAATATGCACAGGCTCAATATGCACAAGCTCAATGTGCACAGGCTCAATATGCACAGGCTCAATATGCACAGGCTCAATATGCACAGGCTCAATATGCATAGGGCATATTTTTATCACTTACCCGGGTTACATGTCTGTTGAGTCAAAAATGGGCAGCAGAGAATGTTTCAGGAAATAAAAGCAGGCAACGCGTTAACCATAGAACCTACTGAAAGCATTCATTCTTTTTCCCCCCATCCATTCATCCTACTGCAATAACGATAGATTCTATCCTGTTTCGGTCAAGGGTTTCCAACACATTATGCCTCTCCATTTCTTACCCTTGTGACACAGGTGCACAGTTACCACCAAGGGACATACACAAATGTCTGCAGATTAACATAGCAGAATGGCATCCAGGTTCCGCGGTAAATTCTGAGTTTTATTATCTTGACTCTGACAATTTGTTTGGGAGGCTGAGTGGTCTCAAGGTATGGTGTCAGCCTCGAGTGCTGGAGGTCCTGGGTTCAAGCCTCGGTGAAGGCTGGGATTTTTTTAAATGTGGAATGTCAAAGTCAGGTTACCAGGCATCCAAAGGTGCATCAGAGTACCATACGTCGACTCTGGCACTGGTTCCAAGCCACTGGTTTAATTTAAGACCGGCATCGCAGTGGACAACTTAGAGTGACAACAGCAGTGAAGGATCACTTTATCTGGCTGTGTCATATCAAAAACATTTTTTTACAACAGCTTCTTTAAAAGCCTCCTCAAACGTGCAGTCACTGCCTCCAGGATGTCATGTGTCTGGTCAAACTGTTCAGAACAGACTGTAAGATGCTAGACTTTGGGCACAACAACTACACCAAGGACCTGAAGAGAATGGAGGAAAAGACTGCGAGCCCAATGTGACATATAACAGTATAACAGGACAATGTAGTACTATGTATTTTTTGTTATAGTTTGTTATGAATAATAATATAGTTTCCCCGTATGGATTTTTGGGCCCTATTATAGGGAACAAAGAATAGACCCACTGCCTACCCAAAAGCATGTTGTAAGAGTTGACTAATTGGGAGCTTCCTTCGAAGTCAGTTTGCATCTCCGTAACACTCAGGTTCTGGAACAGGACTGCAGTCCGAAAGTGGATGAACAACCAGAACTTTCTGCCAGAGTTTACAGCTGGTGAACACGAAGAAGAAGAAGATGAATAATATAGTTTGGTTTAGTTACCTCCGTGTAAGTGATGCAAAAAATGATGCTGAAAAAGCCCTTTACTGTTTAAAAATACCCCGCGCATTTACTCTAGCAGTCCTCAAACAAACTTCATACATCCTTACCTGATAACAGGGAAGTAATTCCTGATAAGACAGCTCAAAACCTGCAGCGCCTCCAAGCGAATAGGCAGGGGCTCAAACTTTTGGAAGGCTTCCACTCTTGCGTGACTTTCTTCACAAGGAATATCTGGTTGTCCTGTAAAGATTTAGAATCATTTGATTAACATCCCTGTGTGGGTTCCAGGGCCCTGTTATAGGGAAAACAAGAATAGACCCACTGCCTACCCAAAAGCATGTCGTAAGAGTCAACTAATTAGGAGCTTCCTTCGAAGTCGGAGTGCATCTGCCTGAGAGGCAAGGAACCAGCAGTCTGCATACAAATGAGTCAGATCTCTAAAATGGATGCACACACAACTCAGGTTCTGGAATAGGACTGCAGTCGATAATTGGATGAACAGGTGTTAATTTTATGTAGGTTAGACTTTGATAATGTCCAAGTCTGGCACTGGTAGCACAGTGTTGTTATGAATATGCTGTTTATAATCTGTTTCTTGGCGCTCATAGATACCAGTTAGGTACTGGTTGCAAATGCACAGCATGTAGACAGGTGAGTATGATTACAAGTGGTTTATAAGTACACACAATTTTTGTTTAAAAGAATATTATTTGGGTGAAAATATAGATTTTTACAAACTGTCATGTCAGCATGACGTCACATGATTTTAATATTTGGTGCTGTTCACGTTTCCAGGCCCAAGATTAGAGTAACTTCCCTTGCCATTCATGTCTCCTTAGGTCACAAGATCTCTCCTATGTTGCAAGGAAGTCATGTTTCCCTTATTGTGAACGGTTTAATCGTTGCCTTCTTTCTTGTCTTCTCACCGCTTGCCAGCAAGATTATTTTCATGTTCTGCTACCTGCGTGAAAGCTTGGGAGTATGGAAACAGCAATATTTTTCTATTACTGTGCTCCTTGTAACTGCTTTCTTTCTCTCAGGGTGAAGCAACCGCCAACGAACATAGAAATACAAAAACATCACAGTATCGATAGCCGAGTTCGGTTGCGCCTGCGTCGCCCCCCCCCCCCCCCCCCACCCCCCCCATACAGCACTTCTTACTTATACACAGAAGAGAAATATAATCACAACATCAAAACCTCCCACAAACATTACATACACAGAGCGAACACCAAATCAAGCCATATCATAACACCTCCCCCCCTCTACCCCCGCAACATAGGATAGGTCCAGAGACCTATGGAGGCATGAATGGCAAGGCAAGTTACTCTAATCCTGGGCCTGGAAACGTAAACGGGACCTAAAATTCTATCATTCTGCTCCTTGTGGAAAAGCGACCAGAGACACTTTCAGATAGTAAAAGAAAAGGGATTAAATTACCTCTTTGCTCCATTTTTATTTAGTGATTATCAATTAGTTTCATTTTTGTAATAGAACACTCTGGGGTAAGAGGCAGTGAATGAGCAGATTGGCTTGCTGGCAGGGCCAAGGTAGGTACAGCAAAAGCAATGGACCGGGCCGACATTCGCAGTACTCTCAAGGAGGCAGGACGAGAAGATAACTCAGAAAACGACGTTGAATCGGCAACACTCAAAAGACTACAAGAACTTCAGGTCTGCAGAGGTGTCGACAAACAAGAAAACTTTACAGGTAGCCAAAGAAGAATAGTAAACCAAAACAGAACCGGTGTTATCAGTCGTCACACACTGGGGAATATACTGAAGATGGGATCCAAGCGCTTATGGACTTATGGAATGGGTAATCATCAACAACAATGTCTGCCACTTACACTTGAAAAAGAGAAAGAGGCTCACTGTAATGCCAGGATGATAAACACAACTAAAGAAATTTACCATGATTCTTCTTTTTAATGTTCATCGGCTGTAAACTTCAGTGGAAAATCCTGGTTGTTCATCCACTTGTGGACTTTGGTCTGGTTCCAGAGCTTGAATTTTGCATGCACATCTATTTTACACATCTCGCAGTGTACAAAAGTATGCAGACTGTTGGCTCCTCCCCTCTCCGGCAAATGCACTTTAACTTTAAAGGGGACATCCCTAACAAGACCTCTTATACCACATGCTTGTGTGTGTGTGTGTGTGGGGGGGGGGGGGAAGAACCCATGAGGTCTTCCACACACCCCCCTTCCCCTTTCAGAGATGGGAGCCTGGAATCCACAGGAGGATTCCATGGTCCAAAATAGATAATAATAACAACAGCCTACCTGTTATATTTTTAATACACAGCTTGATCACCCAGGACGTCTCCCTGGCATGTTTCTGCAGCAGCTGATCCAAGAACACAGGAGTTGCCATCCCTGAACTTGCCCCTAAAACTGGGGTCGTGGTATCTGTACAGTACCCTGACCCGAAGCTGGTCTCATTTATCTGTGTGCTTTCATCAAAATTATTAATGGGATGTTCGATTTCTTGAACTGGTCGAAAAGTTTCGGCATCGGGGTTCAACTTGGTATTTGTCAATGTCAGCCCATTTTTCAACCTGTCATTTAGATGGAGGTCACCAGTGTCTGGTTTTAGAATAGCTTGAGGGCCAACAAAACTGGACGTGTCATTGGAATCTGCTGCATTCTTCTCTGCTGCGGCTTCAGAAAGATCAAGGCATCTTTGAGCATCCCTTGGGTTGTCAGTCACCTTCTGGTTCTCCTCCAGTGCAGTGAGGACTTGGGCTGTGCCAAAACTAGGGTACAGCAGGTAAGAAGCATCCTGAGGCCGAAACAGTGGGGAATCACTAGGGTGGGCAGAACTGGCCACCCCAACTGGGTTGTGGGGTGGCTTGATGAGCTGGGAGACTTCCATTAGCGGTGGTTTGATTCCAACAATGGCTCCTATGCAGGTAAGACAGGCTGTGCGCACGTTTGGATCTGTGAAAAATGTGGTGTTACAAGTGTTACCATGATGCATTCTTGACTGAAAAAAAAGTGTTAAATAGTTATCAAAGTTTTGATCACAAAAACACCTGGCTCTAAAGTCCCAACATATGTACCACTTTAAAACTTGCAATTTCATGGAAATATCTTAAAACTTACAATTTCCTGAAAACAACTGTAGGATTAGCAAAACAATTTCATTGAAATCTTCTTCTTCTTCTTTGCGTTCACCAGCTGTACAGTAAAAGTAAAAAAGTAAAGTAAAGATCCCTTTACACGCCCTTAGGCGCATTGGGCATATGAGAAGAGCACCCATATTTTTACAGACCAATCGGCACCCGGAGGGTAATGTGGTCAGCATTACGCCGGCCGTCTTTACGTCCTCAGGACAACCATCCTGGTACCCATTTGAGGCTGGGTTGACCTGCGACGTCCCATAACACGATAAAAATCCACGCAGCCCGCAGTGGGTTTCGATCGCGGTACGTTGGATTACAAGTCAGACTCGCAACGCCTTAGCCACAGACGCCGCACCAGCTGTACACTCATTCAGAAAGTTCTGGTTGTTCGTTCTGAGTGTGCGTGTGCATCAGTTTTACAGATCTGATTCACCTGAATGCAGACTGTTGACTTCTTGTCTCTCAGGCAGATGCACTCTGACTTCAAAGGAAGCTTCCAATTAGTCGACTCTTTGAACATGCTTTTGGGTAGGCAGTGTCTCTATTCTTGTTTTCCCTGCAATGGGGTCCCAGAAACCACACGGGGAATTTCATGGAAATATACGCACCACTGAAACATTTACAGTTTCATGTAACCGTTGTAATTACCACTCACAAACTAACGATTTCATGTCACTGTGGTAAATGCACCACTAAAAAAACTGAATAATTTCATGTAACTGTGATAAGTGCACCACTGAAAAATGTATGATATCGTTCAGCTGTGGCTAAGTGTACCACTGAAAAACAAATGATTTCATGTAACTGTGATAAGTGCAAGCTGAAAAACTTACAATTTCATGTATCTGTGTTAAGTGCACCACTGAAAAATGTACGATATTGTTCAACTGTGGCTAAGTGTACCATTGAAAAACAAATGATTTCATGTAACTGCGGTAAATGCACCAGACAAGAACTTATGATTTTCTCAAAGGTTTTCTGAAACAACATAAAGCTGCAACGGCTGAAAATATAAAATCCTACCACACCTGGGGAAGGAGGAAGCTCCATGGTCCTGGCGGGCAAGTGCAGCAATAACTATGCCTTAGCAGCTGAGATAACACTTCATCATCATCGTGTGCCTGCCGATAAGTGTAGATGTTACGGAAAGCCATCTCATGTGATCATCAGAACCACAAAGGAGGCCTGTTTTGCCCCTGCCACAATCGAGATCACTACCAATTTATATAATAACACTGTCCAAATTGGCATACTTTTTTGGTTTATAGTCTCCACTAATAACACCGTCCAATCTGGCACACTTTTTTTTTTTTGGTCTTCACTAATAACACTGTCCAACCTGGCATACTTTTTTGGGGGTCTCCACAAGGGTTATGTACATCTGCTGCTGTCTTTGAGAGAAATTACGCTGAAGTTAAATTCTCTTCCACAGTGTGACTCTCATATGAAAACAACAAGAATATTCTTAACATTACATGTAAACTTACATTTGTTTTTATAAAAACAATAAACCATGTCTATATTCTAGCCCCTCCTGTGTCCAAGATTACTACAATCTTCTACAATTATAATTTCATTCTATATACTGACCTTTATGATTATAGAAATGACGAATCTGTTTCAGCACCCGTGATAAGAGGCCAGGATTTAGTCGGTGGTAGGGAACATTGCTGACTAGGTTGGCCAAACACTGAAACAGATCAACAGAAGGAATATTCACACACAGTGTTCTCCCATTCTGTATTTAAATAAGATATCTTGTGTCACTTTGTATCAACAATTGTTATTGTGTCTTCTTCTTGTTAGCATTTACTGGCTGCAAACTCCAGTGGAAAGTTCTAGCTATTTCTTCACTTCTGGGTCAAAATTTTTTTGAAGGTGACAGACCCCAGCCCCATCACAGAAAGATACAACTGGCTACGATCCATGGGCCACTTGATAGGCCACACAAGAAGCGCAAGACAAACACATAAAACCCCAACACTGGGCTATACAACCTGGTATCAGTAAGACGACAAAGTAGAAGAAGAAGAAGAAGATGGTATCAGGTGTATTTCTAGGCTCACATTTGTACAGCTCAATCAGGGTTCGACGGGTTATGTGGTCAATATCATTTTGACCATCTTTACTTGGCAGGATGTTATCTAGTACCAATTTCCAGCTGGATCAACTTGGCAGTAAAGGTCATTTCTGAAAGGAACAAATCTGACCTGTTGCAAGACTTTCGCGAGTGTCGAGCCAAAATGCTCCCAAATATCCTTGCGCAGGGCTGTAATGTCGTAGCATCGACTATATCAATAACATAGTTTAGTCCAACACAGAAATATTTGTGGGTCACTGGATGTCAGACCCACACAAAAAAAAATAAATACTATGGGTTCTTGGATCTCGGACAACTCACAAATATCTGTGGGTCCCTGGACTTCAGACAAAAAAAAATAATTGTGGGTCCCTGGATCTTGGACAACTCACAAATAACTGTGGGTCCTTGGACTTCAGACAAAAAAAAAATAATTGTGAGTCCCTGGATCTTGGACAACTCACAAATAACTGTGGGTCCCTGGATCTCAGACATCTCACAAATAACTGTGGGTCCCTGGATCTCAGACATCTTACAAATAACTGTGGGTCCCTAGATCTTGAACAACTCACAAATAACTGTGGGTCCCTAGATCTCAGACATCTCACAAATAACTGTGGGTCCCTGGATCTCAGACATCTCACAAATAACTGTGGGTCCCTGGATCTCAGACATCTCACAAATAACTGTGGGTCCCTGGATCTCAGACATCTCACAAATAACTGTGGGTCCCTGGATCTCAGACTTCTCACAAATAACTGTGGGTCCCTGGATCTCAGACAACTCACAAATAACTGTGGGTCACTGGATCTCAGACATCTCACAAAAAACTGTGGGTTCCTGGATCTCAGACATCTCACAAAAAACTGTGGGTTCCTGGATCTCAGACAACTCACAAAAAACTGTGGGTCCCTGGATCTCAGACAACTCACAAATAACTGTGAGTCCTGGGTTTTCAAAAACTGAGAGGTAAATATGCGTCCCTGGATTTCTGACAACTGAAGGTTCCTAGATCTTCAACAACTGGTAAGTTGCGATTTTTGTGCCTTTTGCCCAACATCTCCATTTTCAGCACATCCTTAATTAGCTGCCTTCTACAATATCCTTGCCAGGGGCAGTGCCCCCCACCCCTAAATGTGGTCCCAGAATCTACACAGGGAAAGACAACACATCACAGACCCAACCAAACAAGCTTCACCTTGATAATCTGCGTCAGCACAGACTTGAAGTTCTCAGCGACCAGAGCCTGCAGCAAGCATCTGTGCATGTCTCGGATCATGGAGCCCAAGATGGTGGAAAACGGAGTAAACGCCGACTGGTGTGTGGAAATCTCTTCTGCTGCTGCCAGGTATGGCTTGGTTGATTCTAGCATGCTTGTCAAACTGGCAACTGCAGCCATGCGACACTAGACAATTCAATAAAAAACAAAAAGAATTAAAGGAAACCCTTATTTTTTTAAAAAATCCTTTGGCATATCAAGTATATGATCCCCTGTGTGGGTTCCGGGGCCCCATTGTGGGGAAAAACAAGAATAGACCCACTGCCTCCCCAAAAGCATGTCGTAAGAGTCGACTAATGGGGGAGCTTCCTTTGAAGTCGGAGTGCATCTGCCGGAGAGGCAAGGAACCAACAGTCTGTATTCAAGAGAATGAGATCTGTAAAACTGAAGCACATGCAACATTCAGGTACTGGGGCAGGACTGCAGTTCAGTAGTGGACGAGCAACCAGAACTTTCCCCCAGAATGTACAGCTGGTGAACGCGAAGAAGAAGAAGAAGAAGAAGTATATGATGCTATACCAGTGTTTCCCAAACCTTTCTTAGGCTTGGCGCCTTTTTCAATTACAATTTTTCCATATGGCCCTAACCTAAGTAAAAGTATGTCTATTTATATGTAAGAGATAACAACAAATAAAACTTGTGTATCTTCGAATACTTCGCGGTGCCTCTGTGAAGAGGTCGTGGCTTCAATGTTGAATTAGTCTTTCAGTGTATGGATTCCCCATTCCTTGCACTGTCTATTTGATATAATAAAGCCTTCACCATATCCGCTTTATCGTGAAAAATTCAAACTGACACTCATTGGTTGATGTAGTCAACATCAAGCCAGCTGCCTTTACTTCCCAGGTCATTACCTGATACTCAATGTAGGCTGGGTAAACTCGCTAAATTCAGTTCAATGCTTAAAAAAAAAAAAAATTAACAGCCTGTGGTCTCAGGTCAAATTGTCTAAAACATGTACACAGGATTTTTTTCCACCATGTTCAACCCGCTTCTATGTAAGCTTCGGTTATATTTGTGGTCGCTGGTCTTTGCAGTTTTTCTGGTCCCTTTCTGTGCAGCAAGTGGTTTTTATCTATGCATGCCACCCATACCTTTCGGGCTCCAGGTCAGAGAGGCTACCTGGTAGCCCTGATAAGGACTAGCCCTTGTCTGTATTTCTCCTGGGTTTGCTGCCTGTGGTGTGTAGTTCGCAGTGTCACCTTCACCTTAGTTTCAGTGTTGCCACTTTAGATGTTTTACATCCATATTTAGATGTTTCCCCTCACATTTAGATGGCATTTTTGACATTTAGATGGTAGATGTTTTTTTAGATGTATTCATTTGTAGTCAATTTATCAAATCTATCCTAAGAAACAGGATGAAATTTGACCTCTTAAATGCAATAACATTTTTGCCTGATAAGAAAAGGAAAAGGCTGTTCAACTTATCAGCTCCCTGATTTGGTTTTAAAATAAATTGGAACAGCTAAAACATACCAGTCATTTTGGATCTGAAGCTTCAACTTCATCATACAAGCTAAGTTTATCCTGTGGATCTTGTGAGGCAGACATCAGTAAAGATGAGGACATGATTCTTTAGGGTAAGTCATATCAATTGCTATGTAATTTGTGACTCTTTCCATTTGGATGTTTTTTCTAGATGTTTTCCATGCAATTTTAGATGTTTTCAACTCTATTTTGGATGTTTTTTGTCAAAGAAAAGTGGCAACACTGCTTAGTTTATTCTGATGTTTACACTGGGATTTTTTTTTTCATTACGCTGTTTTATCTTTTGCAGTGGTATCTTTTTGCTTTTTTTGTTGCATGCACATCTTTCACATTACCCACAGATGGTCTGTAAAAATATGGGACGCTCTGCCCATATGCCCGATGCGCCGAAAGGCGTGAAAAGGGAACTTTACTTTACTTTTTACATCTTTTTCTTCAGCTTGTATTTGTTGTTAAGTGTACCTCCAGTTTCCATTCACCTTCTTCTAATTGCTGCAAGTGTGGTACTTTAACTTGTAGCTCCCGCAGTTCCTTTAGTGCAGCGGTTCTCAACCTGCCGGCCGAGACCTTTTTTTGTGTGTGTCAAATGACCCTTTTACAAGGGTAGCCTAGACTATCGGAAAACACATATTCATTGAAGTTATAAAGGAAAATAATTGTATGGGGGGTCACCTTAACATGAGGGAACTGTATTGAAGGTCGTGGCATTAGGAAGTTTGAGAGCCTCTGCTTTAATGCATGTTTGGGTATTTCGATTACTGTTTTTGGGGTTTGCTGATTGCCATTTCATTTTGTCTTTTATCTCTCCATGTCTGGATAAATCTTATGTCTTTGGCTTTGCTATCGCAGGGTTGGTCTGAGCCACAGTTTTCATTTGAATTAATTTATGCTGCTCTCATATTTCTTTCGGAGCTAAACTTTGGAGAAAAAGTCCACCTCAAATATGCAACTTTGAACCTTTAGCTCAGCAGGTTAGCTGAGATCTAGCCACTAAACTACCGCGGCTCCCAGATAATACAAGGAGTGTTTATTTGAAACCCGTTCATGCCTCACTGCACGTAATTACATGAGCTGAATATGATTAAATAACAGTCATGTGACAAAGCACTGACCAATGAATAAAAGAGTTTAGCATCCCCCGATGTATGCATGTAATAATAATAAAGCCAATGGAGTGGGTTTTCGAATAAACGCTTCTTATGTAGACATAAGTAAAAGACCTTTTTCTGCCCCTTAAGGCGTATTGGGCACACAGGTCGAGACCTATATTTTATAGAACCAATCAGCACTATGTGGGTGGTCAGCATCAAGCCTGCACCTGGTACCCACTCAAGGCTGGATCAAATTAGGAGCCAAGGTCATTTAAAAAAAAAGGCCGGCTCCGTCAGGATCCAAACCCACAAGCTTCTGATCTGCAGGCAAGCATCTGTTACATCCCCGCGGCTCCCCAAACACTCCTTATAGTTGACTTTTACGATGTCACACTGACAACTGCAGCCATGCCACAATAAATAGATAACACAATAGGTGACTTTTACTAGAATGACTAGAGGGTCCCAGTGGCGAAGTGGTCAAGCCGTTTGGCTGATCTGAAAGTTGTGGGTTCATTTCCTAGCTGCGCCGTTCTGGTCAAGGGTGCAATTTTTACAGAGACCCAACACACCGGAGCTATGGTATTTGTGCTTATGTGATGATCTTGATGAAAATGAGAGTCAGTCAGAACAAGATAGGGAGAGTCAGAGACGTACACAGAAAGAGACTAAAACCCATAGACAGAAAGACAGAGGGGACAGAATTAGACAGTGACATGAATAAAATGAAAGACAGGTAGAACAAGATAGGGAGAGTCAGAGACGTACACAGAAAGAGACTAAAACCCATAAACAGAAAGAGAGAGGGGACAAAATTAGAGAGTGACATGGACAAAATGCGAGACATGCAGAACAAGATAGGGAGAGTCAGAGACATACACAGAAAGAGACTAAAACTCATAGACAGAAAAAGAGAGACCAGAATTAGACAGTGACAGTGAGAAAACGAGAGACAGGCAGGAACAAATCTATCATGAAGAGAACAGGCTCTTGGTCTTCTAGTACTCACCCGAGGAGAAGGATCCCTGAGGATGGTGGTGAACAGCGACTGCTGCAACTGCGGAGTACTGGCTGTGAACCCAACATCGGGAATGAAAGACGACCAGTAGCCAAACATGATTTTCTTGTCGATGATCTGGAAATGGGATGAATGAGATAATGTGTATAAATAAACACTGCATACTGTTTCCCATGAAAAAAAAGGGGGAGGGGGGTGCATTTTATGACAAGCATGTTAAAAGACAGAACAGAGGGAATTAAATGGTATGAGAGAATCACTAATGTAGAGCTTTGAGAGAGAACTAAACAGGTTCCAGAGGACCAAGAGTTGAAGAAAAGATGATGGCGTTGGATAGGACACACATGTATAAAAACATGAAAACAATATAACAAGAATGTCTTTGCACTGAAACCCACAGGGGCATAGAAATAAAGGAAGTCCAAAAAACACATAGAAAACTAGAGATGAACAAAAAGTGTCTTTGCATGCAATAGTAAACCCACTCCAGGGGGTTAGATAGAAATAAAGAAGAAGACCAAAAACACATAAAGTGCATCTGCCTGAGAGGCGAACTAGTCAGAGTGCACCTGCAAGGCAAGGAAAACAGTCAGAGTGAGCGAGGCAAGGAACCAACAGAGCTGCACCTGCAATAACCAACAGTCAGAGTGCACCTGTGAGAATGAACTCAGAGCGTGAGTTGGAACCATTTGTCAGAGTGCACCTTGAGGCAAGGAACCAACAGAGAGTGCACCTGTGAGGCAAGGAACCAACAGTCAGAGTGCACCTGTCAGAGTGCACCTGTGAGGCAAGGAACCAACAGTCAGACCTGTGAGGCAAGGAACCCAGTCAGAATGGCACCTGTGAGGAACCAATAGTCAGAGTGCATCTGCCTGAGAGGCGAGGAACCAATAGTCAGACTGGACCTGCAAGGCAAGGAACCAACAGTCAGAGTGCACCTGCCTGAGAGGAGAGGAACTAACAGTCAGAGTGCACCTGTGAGGCAAGGAACCAACAGTTAGAGTGCACCTGCGAGGCAAGGAACCAACAGTCAGAGTGCATGTGAGGCCTGTCAGAGAGTGCAACCTGTGAGGCAAGGAACCAACAGTCAGAGTGCACCTGTGAGGCAAGGAACCAACAGTCAGAGTGCACCTGTGAGGCAAGGAACCAACAGTCAGAGTGCACCTGTGAGGCAAGGAACCAACAGAGTGCACCTGCAAGACAAGGAACCAACAGTCAGAGTGCACCTGCGATGCAAGGAACCAACAGTCAGAGTGCACCTGTGAGGCAAGGAACCAACAGTCAGAGTGCACCTGTGAGGCAAGGAACCAACAGTCAGAGTGCACCTGTGAGGCAAGGAACCAATAGTCAGAGTGCACCTGTGAGGCAAGGAACCAATAGTCAGAGTGCACCTGTGAGGCAAGGAACCAACAGAGTGCACCTGCGAGGCAAGGAACCAACAGTCAGAGTGCACCTGCGAGGCAAGGAACCAACAGAGTGCACCTGAGAGGCGAGGAACCAACAGTCAGAGTGCACCTGTGAGGCAAGGAACCAACAGTCAGAGTGCACCTGCGAGGCAAGGAACCAACAGTCAGAGTGCACCTGCGAGGCAAGGAACCAACAGTCAGAGTGCACCTGCGAGGCAAGGAACCAACAGTCGGAGTGTCAGTGGCCAGCCGGCTACTGGCCATCTTCAGGAGTCACAATAGTGCTTGCCGGTCCAAAGGACATGAATAAGAACCCAGGATGAGATGGAATATTTCATAATTAGTCTGGGCTATCATGTCAACCCAGCCTAAAATGGGGTATTAGGAAACTACAAGAGACATAAAAGGCAGCAACGGTAGGGTTGAGCAAAAATAACATTTGATAATTCTTGTTTTCTTATGCATTCTTTACCTCATTAGATGTTTACACACACACATGCACACACACACACATATAATCTTTGGTAGAAAGTGAACAAAACAAAAACTTACCCTCACAATGTTGAGGAAACAATTCAGGGCCGACTGTCTCACCCTGACCATCTCTGACTTCTGCTGCCGAGCTTTGCCCCCTTCTGTGTCGGAGAACTCAGATTCTGAACTGCTTAACTTCAGCCAATCAGCCTCCCAGTCTTGAGCTTCGGCCTCGGGAGTTATATCACTCCAAGGTGCACCTCTCACTTCTGCAGCAATCACAAGCAGTAAAAAATTCCAAACACTGTTATCGCTTTGTTAGTCTAAGTAATGAGGACATGATTGATTTCACTGTATCTTGTTGGGCACATTGCAGGGCTATTCATCATCATCATTAATTTCCACTTCTGCCATTAGGCGTTGTGGGGAGGAACAGTTTGTGATCCACTGTTCGATTGACAGCATCGGCTATTGACATTCCATGTCGATGTAGAAGCTCTTTAATGTCATCTATCCATGTTTCCCTAGGGTGGCCCCTTGCTTTCACTTCAGATCTTTGCACGTGTAGCGCCTGCGTTGGTAGTTGTTTTGGCTGCATTATAACTAAATGATCAAACTATCTGATCTCCTCTTGTAACAGGGAGACATTATCCCTTGTTCGTTAGAAGGCACAAAGCTGAGATGTACCGGGATCAACAAGTTTTGGTAACCTTGACATTCCCTTTTCCAGAATCTTCTTTTCCCGCCAGAACTAGCTATTGACATCAAACTGATGTTGTCTGGACTTGGCCTTCTTTCTAGAAGTTTTGAAATGCATTTTTTTCATCATGTGACCCAACCTTGTCGTACTAGTAAATACCTTGTTGTCATGCCCTATCAAAGCAAACGCAATTGTACTTGTTTTCTAGAAGCTTCTATTGCTGTCAGCTGTCAATTTAACTACTATATTTGCACAGAATAGGATGATGAAATCTGATGCAATCGAGATATTTTTAGAAAATCCCACGTGAGAACGCACAAAGTAAACATGTTGAGACGTACTAGAATATTCTAGAAGCAGAAAAAGCGAAAAGAAAACAAATAACTAGCATTCCAGCATCCAAGTATAAATAATGAGTGAGAAACCAGTCATAATGATCCTCAAAGAATTCCTTCAGTCATTGAGACTCAGAGGACGAGCGGCTAGTCTTGATGATCCTCGCAGTTGTGGAGATGCCAACTCAAGACTTACAAGGAGAGGAGCCAGTCATATGGAGCCTCGAAGACAGTCACTAGAGCGCAGACATGAAACGAGACAATGAACTACAGAGACGACATAAAAGATACACGGATGCATGGTTAACAGAGACTCATTAGGTAGAAAACTATAGAAATATTAGCGTCAACGATCAATCCGTTAGTACCAAACAGCACTAGAAGCCAGGTGGCAGTTGCAGACACTAGAACCAGTTAACAAAGTAACTAGAGATGAAGAACACAACACGAACCTACGAGTATTTAGCCATAGGGAGAACACAGCGACTTTCAGAATATCACTGTTATTTTGTGACATTGTTGAAGTATCACAATAAAGACAGTACAGACAAGAAAAGTTGTTTCCAGACATTATATTATACAAGCATCGGAGTCACGTGAGATGCATGCAACAAGCAAGACATCATCATCACCACCACTATCGACATGACCATCTTTCTCCTCGTCTATAATCTTCCAATCGACTCCTCCTGTAGCAAAACTAAAGACGGACCTGGGTGTGACTTCAACGTACGCAACGAAGAAGAGAGCTGTGCTACACTCTTTATCAATGATTTTTGCTGCATGGTGTTGTTCCTACAGTCTGTCTGATAATATGATTTATAACTTTGTCAATGATTTTTGCTGCATGGTGTTGTTCCTACAGTCTGTTCCTAATAGTTATAACTGTCAATGATTTTTGCTGCATAATATGATTTATACAGTCTTCTGTCATATGATTTTGTCAATGATTTTTGCTGCATGGTGTTGTTCCTACAGTCTGTCTGATAATATGATTTATAACTTTGTCAATGATTTTTGCTGCATGGTGTTGTTCCTACAGTCTGTCTGATAATATGATTTATAACTTTGTCTCGGGAGGTTAACAGCTATTCAACTAAGTATAATCATGGGCCAAAATGTTGAAAATGAGGATCGTCACGGGTTAGAGACCTGAGCCATAGCATAAAAAGATCATTAATACAATATGATTGGCAATGATCCGTGGGCCATTTGCTAGCAGTGTACAGGCCGGATTCGGCTCACAGTCCGCCTGTTAAACAGTCTTACTATAGAGTTTACATCAACTTATAAAAAAAGCACAAAATATTAATTCCTGTAACAGAAATGCTCAGTTCACAGTGCCTCTTGTAAAACTGTGCATCGCATCAATGGAGTGGGTCTATCCCCCACCCCAACCTCCCAAATGGGACTCCAGAACCCACATATGGAAGCTGCCCATTTTAGGCTGGGTCAAACTGGAAGCCCTAAGTTAATCATTAAAAATATGTCCTAATGCAGATTTAAACCCAAAACCTTATGACTGGCATCTAGACACTATGACTCCACAGATTTTGCTTCGTTTTATGACTAATGCTTCATCTATAAATATGGAAATTAAGTAAGGTCTTGTTCAGATAGGACTTAGGTCAGGTCTTATTCAGATATGACTGAGGTCAGGTCTTGTTCAGATATGACTGAGGTCAGGTCTTGTTCAGGTATGACTGAGGTCAGGTCTTGTTCAGGTATGACTGAGGTCAGGTTTTGTTCAGATATGACTGAGGTCAGCTCTTGTTCAGATATAACTGAGCTACTGTATAACAGTCGTCAGCAGTCGCAACACAAATACACTATACAAAGTTAGACGGGCACAAACAGACAGTAGCAGTTCTGGGAGGACAGGACACATGAGAGAGGTGAACTGCAGGGTAGAACATTGGGCCACTCAAGTGGGAGAGACCAAGGTTTGAATCCTTGATAAGGCTGGGGATTATTTCTTGCAAAAAAAAAAATCCTAACCCGCACAGTCCATGGTGACAACACTAGCCTTTCAGTCCTAAATTCTCAGGCTCATAGACCCCCCTCCCCTCCCCCCCCCTACTTTTCACACAACAGTGATAATGCAGTAATTAGCAGTTTTTTTTCTTTCTTTGGCAGTGAAGCTATCAAGCTATCAGGAAAACAAAAATCAGTTTTTTAGGTTATCATCATTAGGATCCATCTCATACATACAACAGTGGTAAATACAGGCAGCAACTGGCAGTGGTAAATATCAAACTATCAGGCAGCAATCTCATTAGGCAGTCATACATACACAGTGGTTCTCTTTGTGCTTCTCTTTGGCAGTGAAGCTTTCAAACTATCATGAAAACAAAAATCAGTTGGGTTATCATCATTGCACTCCGACGACATGTCCACAAGTGCTTAGATGCTCCTCTCAGTATGAACCCCAACGACCGGTGGCTAATAGCACCAGTTCTATGTTGATTAACAAGTCCTCTGATGTGCCTGGTGTGCGTGTCTCGTTTCTTGCTACGCTAATCTCAACTCCCAAGTCTATTATTCTGGAAAGTGATGCGGTTTCACTGCTCCCAAAGTACCCTCCCGCCCAACCAACCCCACTTCCCATGAAAAACTATCAAAGTAAACAAGAATAAAAAGATCACACAGCATTACATCACAGTGAGCTTCTCACCCACAGCTGAAGACCAAGCTGGCCTCTCTTCCACGACACTAGCTTTCTCTTTGTCTTCTTCCAAATCTCCACTCCTTCCTCTTCCTTTTCTCTTCCTCAATTTCTTATTCTGGCTCCTATCGCTAGAGGCTGCTTCACTGGTCCCAAGGCCTCTGCTGGACTTGACCTATAGAGAACAAAATGAACATGATTTCCCCCGTACAGGTTCTAGGGCCCCATTTTGGCGGGAAGAAGAACAGACCAACTGCCCCCCCCCCCCTCCCCTAAATAAGCATGTTGCAAAAGTTGTAAATCAGGGGTGTATTCTTTTAAGTCAGAGTGTATTGAACCAACAGCCCACCTTTAAATAAGTCAGATCTGTAAAACAGAAGTGCACACAAAAACTCAAGTTAATTCGGTATGTGGGCCTGTCTTAGATTCAGTCCTACCAACCACTCATCAGCAATTGTATTTTATGTATCATGCATGCTAAGTTAATTTAGAAAGAAACAATATGCAAACTAAGTACTTCCACAACTCTTCTAATCTTCTTTGCGTCTACCAACAACAAACTATAGTCCTGTGATTGTAGTCACATGAAAGCTTATGTCACCATCATCACCTCCATCATCATGCTGCTGGTAGTCATGGAGAAGGCACCGCTGGCTTCTTGAACTGTTCTGTTTGCACAGCAAGCTATAAATGCCTATGTCCTCATGTTTGAATTAAAATAGTGTTGAAAAATATCAATTCGACTTACAAAAACCGATTCGACTTACAACCAAAATTGATTTACAACCAATTTAACTTAACATAACATAACCCTTGACCCCATTGGGGTGGTGGAGGTGTTTTGACGGAAATATTAGCACATAAAACCCGCCATCTTTCTTGTGTTCTGCTTGATGAATAAGTGTATGATAACTGTCCTGTTCATGTCTTGATGTTCTCATTCCAGGTTCTTGTTGCCCTCCTCTTCTTCGACTACCCCCCTAATGTTCCTTGAAGTACAGTCTTTGCAATCGAATCATGTCTCACTATGTGCCCAAACCAAGCTAGCTTGTGACGTTTCACCACTGCCAAGAGTTTTCCTGATGTCCCGCAAATTTTTATATGTTGTCTCTGACATATATATATAACCAATTCGTAAAATGCATCAACCATTTCGAATTACAACCAATATGACTTTTAACCAATTCAACTTACAACCTGTTAGTTCCTAGTATAAGCTCAGGGGGCCCATTTTGAGGGGAAAAAACCCACTGCCCCCTAGCAAGCATGTCGTAACGGTAAACTAATTAGGGGTATTTCCTCTGAAGTTGAAGTGCATCTGCCTGAAATGTGAGGAACCAACAGTTTGCATACAAATAAGCCAGACCTGTAAAATGGATGTGCACACACAAAACTCAGGTTCTGAAACAAGTCCAATTCCAGAAGTGGACAAACAACCAGAACTTTCTGCTAGAGTTTGCAGCCAGTGAACACAAAGCAGAAGAAGAAGAAGAAGAAGATAAAGACCACTTGTTAGTCAGAATGGAACCCGGGCGTACGCCGGGGAGGAGACACTGCACTGTCTTTGGACTAATCAACCAACGTAAGAAGAGTTGCAAAGAACCATAAAGTGTTAACCACAGACATGACAGGAACAAACCTCTCCACAGTTCCCAACCATACTGGTATCTGCTGATTTGTTGACTTCTCGCCTTCCAGCATCGCCTGCTGCTTTGGAGAGGGTCTTCGAGGAGACCAGGGGATCGTAGGGAGTAACCACATTGGGGTAAAGTTGAGATGGGATGTTGAGGGAATGGCTGGTCAGACCGTAGAACATGTATGCCTGGTTGAAAAAAAGAGAAATAATAATCACCTCAGTTGTGAGAAACTAATTCATCATTTCTTCGTTAATTTCTACTTTGAACACAAAAGACATAAACATCAACATTGCACAGTTTGTTGACAGCTTTACATCTTTCAGGTAATGATTTAAGTCAGAATGAATGAATGAATGAATGAATGAATGAATGAATGAATGAATGAACTAAGAAACTGACATTGCTGCACTCAGGACATACCGACACGTGCTCCGTCCCATTCTTCTGCATGCTAACTGTACCAGTTGCTACCTGATTAAAGGTAAGCCATAGTTTCTCCTGAGTGTTGAATATCTTCCAGAAACACTGTTTCCCACTCAGCAAACTGCTACTTACACCCCCGCCCTCCCCAACCAGTATTTGAAGCCAGAAAAGAACATACAAAGAAGAATAAGCACTCAATACAAACATTTTGCCCCTTTAAGCATACAAGTCAGAAAAGAACACACAAATAAGAACAAACACTCAATACCAACCCTTTTGCACAAGTAAAGATCCAAGCCAGAAAAGAACCCACAAAGAAGAACAAACACACAAAGAAGAACAAATGCTCATTACCAACCCTGTTGCCCTAATAAGGATACAAGTCAGAAAAGAACACAAAAAGAAGAACAAACACTCAATATCAACCCTGTTGCACAAGTAAGGATACGAGTCAGAAAAAAGCCCCAAAGAAGACTTAATATCAACCCTGTTGCTCCAGTAAGGATCCAAGTCAAAAAAAGAAAACAGAAATAAAAACAAACACTCAATATCAACCCTGCTGCACAAGTAAGTATCCAAACCAGAGAAGAGCCCTAAAGAAGAACACTCAATACTAACCCTGTTGCACAAGTAAAGATCCAAGTCATAAAAGAGCTCACACAGAAGAACATAAATCCAATACTAACCCTGACAGCCGCAAACAGGAAGCCCAGTTCGATGTTTGGCAGACGTTTGATCACAATGATATTTTGTATCCCGCTGAAACAGTGCATCAGAAGCTGAAAAAAAAAAGCAATGCATTTTTCAAACAGTGCACCATGAAAAAGAAAATATGCACTGACATTTTTTTAAATAGTGCATAAGGAGCTGGTAAATATGCACTGATATATTTTTTAAATAGTGCATAAGGAGCTGGTAAATATGCACTGATATATTTTTTTAATAGTGCATAAGGAGCTGGTAAATATGCACTGATATATTTTTAAAATAGTGCATAAGGAGCTGGGAAATATGCAATGACATTTTTTTTAAATAGTGCATAAGGAGCTGGGAAATATGCAGTGACATTTTTGTAAAGAATAATGCTGAAATGCTACAAAAAGAGGTTCCCAGAATACCATGGACAAACAGAGAAGAAATACTGACATTTTAAAATCAAGGAAGATTGGCAAATGAACAGCCTCAGAAGCTAAAATATTGTGGTCATTTAAAGCCTCACAGAAGATATGAAAAAATAACAGCAGAGGGCATGGTACCAGGAAGGAGGGGCAGGGGTCGACCAACATGAAGATGGGCGCAGGATGTGAGTGACTCCTTGAATATGAGGACACACGAGATGGGAGAGCTGACAAGAGTTGGTTTCTTCCAGGCAGACTGTGATGAGAGAGACGTTCCGCAAAAGACCTGCTACATGATGATGATGATGATGACTGCATCAGGAGATGGAAAATATGCAATGCATTTTTAAAAATAGTGCATAAGGAAAAGGAAGATATGCAACAACATTCTGTTTAAAACAGTGCATCAGGAAAAGGGAAATATGCAATTACATTTTTTTGAAACAGTGCATCAGGAAAAGGGAAATATGCAATTACATTTTTTTTTAAACATTGGATCAGGAAAAGGGAAAATATGCAAAGACTTATTTTATTTTTTTTTATAAAAGTGCATCATACCTTATCATTTGAAAACAGTGATAGGTAAGAGGAATGAGAGAAGAAGACATGTCTCACAACAGACGCCAGTCCTTACAGCTCTGGATAAATTCTAGTGATGACAGGTTGTAATTGTAATAGACACAGAGCATCATCATCAAGTGCCTTGCCAGCTGGCGTAGGGGTTCATGTGTCGAGACAGATCTCGGTCTATAATGTTCTGGATCAATTCCACTGATAATATTCCTCCATGCCTCTGTCTATAGTCATCCACCATCATTTCTCTTGGTCTGCGTCTGCTACCAGTGATCTTTCCAGTCATTACAATATTTTCCAGTGCTCCTTTTCTCATCACATGTCCAAAGAACGTTGTTTATCTTCTTCTCATTGTTGTATATAATGTTCTACTTTCATTAGCCATTTCCAGGCATTCAAATGTTGGTTATTCTGGCAGTCCAAGGTGTTGTCAACATTCTTCTTAAGTACCACATTCACAGAGCATGGTTCGAAAAAGAAACTGCTCTCCTATGTGCAGAGTGACTCAATTCACTTAATAAGACTCCGAGCAGGAGCATTAACTGGAATTTCTTCTAGGAAATTCTGGGTTGCAGGGTAATGAGCAGGCTGATTGAAGGGCTGCTTCAACACCTTTGAGCAGTAACCATACCTCGAAAGACCGATTCAGTAAGCAGAGGGTATGGACGGTCTTTTCACACAGGGAAAATAACAGGCGGACTTTTAGTCAACTTGCAGCTGGCACCACCTATATAAAAACTCTTTACTGGTTATCTTTTCAGTCAATACAGGTGTGAGACAAGGGATGTGTGATCTCCCCACTTTTATTTAACATTGATATAAACAGAATATCTAAAGAAGCAATTTCTAATAAAGTGCTTGTTCTACCCTGAAGAAGATAGACTGTAGGACCACACTAACAGGTTAAACTCAGCATGCAGCAAATACAATATAAAGATCAATGCAAACAAAACCGAAACAATAAAAGTTAGTAAAACCCCTGGCCCACTACACACACAGTTGAATGGTTCTGGTCTGAATTAGGTTAGGAAGTTTAAATATCTAGGAAGCATGATCACGGAAGATGGTAGAATTGATAGAGAGATGGAAACCAGAGGTCAGAAAGCAAGTGCACTTATATACCAATTGTCACCATTATTAAGACATCCAAGCATAACCATGAGTGCAAAGAGACAGATTATAAACAGCATATTCATTCCAACATTAAGCTACCAGTGCCAAACATAGACACTATCTAAATCCTATATGCACAAAATCACCACCTGCGAGAAGAGATGCCTGAGAAAAGCAGCCAGTCTAATCATAAGAGATGAAGTGAATAATGATACTTTTAAACTGTGGGAACGACACCTTGTACTAGATTCACTGACAGTAGAGTGGTTTGGCCATCTCGTTAGAATGTAGCAAGATCAAATAACATCACAAGCACTACATTCCAGAAGATCAGCTACAAGAGCAAGAGGATGGCCGCGAAAAATATGGATCAAGAACATTAAAGACACTCTACACCTTCACGGCATGACAATAGCCAGTGGCAGCCGGCGTGCGCTGGATCGCAAATTATTCCTCCCCATAGCACTTAACGGCAGAAGTGGTTTATGATGATGATGATGCAGAAACCAAACAAGAGAGCTGGACACACCAGTAACCTCCAGGCAAGTCAACCAGCCCAACATACTTGTGGACGAAAAGTGACCTACTCTATTTGGGGAGACTAGTGTCAAACTAACCCTTCTGTCTTTTGCAGCACCTACCTTGTTTCGCATGTGTGTGTCCATCTTCATGTGAGGTGCTCGGTGTAGCAAGTGTACAAATGTGTCGAAGCTTGCAGACAGGTGCCTGACCTCAATACAGTCAGCATGACTGCGCCTGAAAAATACAAATGCTAATTAATGAACAAGTATAACAATGAAACTAATAAATTATGCATGTAGGAACAAGTATAAGTGACAGCAAAGTTTTGCAAAATACCTGGTTCACAAAGACGCAAACAGCTGAGACTGGAGAATCAAAAACAGTCTGAAAAATCATGAACTGTTTAAATCACCATTCTTTTTCTCCGCATTGACCTGCTGTAAACTCCGGTGGAAAGTTCTGGTTGTTTGTACACTTCTGGTATCTAGTCTTGTTCCAGAAACTTGAGTATTGCGTGCACATTTGTTTCACAGGACTGACTCATTAGCATGCAGACTGTTGATGTACTCTGACTTCGAAGGAAGCTCCCAATTAGTTTACTCTTACGACCTGCTTCTGGGCAAGCAGTGGAGTCTATTCTTATTCCCCCCACAATGGGGCCCCGGAACCCACATGGGGAAAATCATCATCAATTACTGTCATCACAAGGGCTATTTAGACTGCAATGACTGAGGCCCTACAGATAGAATGACCAACAACAGAGACAAAAACTGCAGAAACAATAGAGTTGAATGGGACCAAGAAGACAGTGGAAAGATAATATACAGGCAGAGCAAAAATATACATGCAACCAACAGGTAAGAGAAGACAAATCTCAGAGGTGAATGGATACGGGTGATATCTGCAGCTATAAACCTTAAGAGCTTGGAATGCTTAGGGAAAAAAAAAAACTTTTTTTTCTACATTCCTCCACTCATTTTTGAAACGGAAATATCAAAAACGAGAATAGGAATGGCTAAAAGTATCTTCAACAAGATGTGAAAATTTACTGATGGCTAGACTGGCACCATTAGTACTGGAACTCTCCGCTGGCTGCTGAGGATGAGGACGGAGTGCGTATAGAAATGCCCCGAGTGCTGTGATGTCAATTCTTAACTCAACTCAACTCAACTGATAGCTAGAGAGACAAAAAATACATTAAAAATGAGAATCATCAAATTTTATATGAACCCAACCAGGCTGTGTGGTGTAGAAACTTGACAATGAACAAGCCTCTAGAATATCACATTGAGTCTCTGCAGATGTGAACACACAGCAGAATGGGGTGTATTTCATAAAAATAAAAACAAAATCAAATAGACAGGTTCTGGTCAGAATGTGAAAGAAAAGAGTGCTACTGAAATAAATAAAAAAGAGACAACTGAAATACTTTAGCCACATTAAAAGACATAACATTAAAAAAAATTACTAGAGGGAATGGTCGAGGGCAAGACAGCAAGAGGTAGACGATACAAGTGGGAAGACATCACCAAGGGATGGATGAGAGAGCGTACAACTAAGATTAGACAGTGTTGGAGATGGCACATTACTGATTGATTCATCAGCAATAAAACATTAACACAACCAACCATTCCTCCAGACATCTTAACTTGAAACACAGTTTAAAGATTTGCCAACAACTCACCCGACGCCAGTGAACAGAGCCAGGCACCTGACGGCCTCCACCACCACGTCATCGTCGCAGGTTGTGTCATCAGTCAGTTGCAGCAGCAAGCCCTTGCCCCCCACAAGAACATCGTGGAATTTCTGAAAATTCCAGAAGTGTGCATGAAGCACCAGTCATGAGACACTGTAGGCTCAACTATGCTGTACCCAGGGTGTAGCAGAACTGGGTGGGGGGGGGGGGGGGAAGAAGGGTTTCAGGCAGCCTGAAGAGCCCCCACCCCCTTTTAACTAGGCTCCAAGGACATCTTCTTCTGGCTATCCTCCGAATAACGGTCCCAAATTATGGAGGCCGAAAATATACCCTAACAGGGCCTCAGTCACCTGTAAATTGCAGACCTCTTCCGGCAACTACCGCCAAGTTAAAGTCACTGCCGAGAGTATCTCCCTGGCACAGAGTAGGGCTAAACTAGATGGCTGGGACTCACGAGCATCAGCTACCGCATCTCATGCAGCTTCCTCCTCCATTTTATTTGCTCGTGAGTCCCAGTCATATAGTTTAGCCTCGTTCCGCACGTAGCGGCGCGGGAGATACTCTCGGTGGCATGCTGTATAGTCGCCGGAAGAGGTCCACAATATACATGTGAATGAGGCCCTGTTAGGGTATATTTTCAGCCTCCATAATTTGGGACCGTTATTCAGAGGATAGAACTTCTTCTTCTTGTTCACCGGCTGTAAACTAATCTGCTGTCTGTCTTCGGTAATACTGTAGGTGAGGTTCCAATATCTTCTACATTGTGTTTCTCATACCACGTCCTAAAAGCCACTAATCCGCTGTCTTTTCTGCTGCTGTCTTCAGTAATACTGTGAGATTCCAAAATCTTCCACAGTGTGATTCTCATACCACCACCCCTGAAAACTATGAGAATGTTCTTTTTCTAAACAACCCCACATGGAAATTGAACCCAGTATGTTGACGTTTATAAAACACACTCACTAACCAACAAGAGGCATCAGTTAAGATTGCACTGAAACATCACCTAGAAGAGGTCAGTCTTACCTCTATACGATGTGTGTTGTTTTCACAGACGACACACAGGGCACTGAGGATTTCTGCATGCACAAAACTAGGACACTGGGTGAGTGAGTCTGTTAGGAACTTCACAAGTGTATGTAGGTCATTTGTCGCCAGGGCAACCTTTGGAGATAATATCAGGAGAAATTTAGAAAAGCAATCCAATAGTATAGAACATACAATATATTTATATATGGCAGTGTCCCAGAGTCTCGGATCACGTCTGTGAGTTCTTGTCCTAGTTATACCATAATTATACCACAAAACTGGCAGATGCGTCCCCGACTTTGAAGGAAGCAACCCTAATAAGTACTTTTATGACATGCTTGTCAGGAAGACAGTGGGACTATCCCCCCTGCCTCCCACAATGAGTCCTGGAAAACACCAGGGCTTATCTGACCAAGGCCTGGCAACACAGCCATACCATGTGGTAAAGTATATGCATGTACTGCTTGTCAGTTATGCTTGTGTAGTGATCAGTTGCTTGCCTGCTGGCCAGCTCATGGCTTTCAATCTGCAGATCCCTGTGTGGGTCCCAGGGTCCCATTGTCAAGAAAATAAGAACTGACCCACTGCCTCCCCAACAAGCATGACGTAGGAGTCAACTAACTAGGGGGTTCCTTCAAAGCCGGAATGCATCTGCCTAAGAGGCAAGGAACCAACAGTCTGCATACAATTAGCTAGGTCTGTAAAACAGATGCACAGGCAAAACTCAGGTCCTGAAACAAAGCCAAAGTCCAGAAATGGAGAAACAACAAGGTCTTTAAGCCAGGGTCGACTTCACCAAAAATGGCTACCAGAAAATGTTTTTGAAAGTAGAAGCGGTCAGTATGATGATGACTGTATCCCCCATCCAGTGCTGATTGGTCGATAAAAATTTGAATCTAACATCATCATCATCACAATGATTGGTTTGGTGATCACGCCTCTCCACAATCTGCGATCCACAACTGCGTGTATCAGTTTGTGTGGTGACACCCCCTCCATACCATGACAAAAGACTGTCAAGAATCTTCACACGCTGTCTTGGTTAAAAGGCATGATTTACTAGAGAAAAAACAGCTGTGGTTTCCCCTTGCCTTCTGCCAGTTCATGGTTTATCTCAAAAAGCCTTTGTCTAAAGAGACATACCCTGCAAGGCAGTAAGGGCGAGAGGTTATAATGGCGCCAGTCTAACATCATATGCGTCATAACCCACTGGTGTGAAAAATACACTAACGTTTTTTTTTAAAAACATGGATGCATGCACACTCGCACACAAACTAGGAAATAACAGAAAGGTAAAGTAAGTTTAAAAAATGTTTGGTACATAGAATTCCCTCCCCCCGCCTTTTTTTCTTCAAAATAGCAGATATACAGGGACAGAAAAAAATGTGAGACATAAATACATATATGTAAATATTCTTTATCTTCTTCTTAGCTTTCATTGGCCAAAATGTGACAGAAAGTTTTTTTTTGTTTGTACACTTCTGGACTGTAATCCTGGTCTAGAACTTTAAATTTTTGCATGCACACCTGGCTTTTTGCTGCAGCCTGTTGATTCCCGTCTCTTGGGCAGTTGCACTCTCATTATGAAGTAAACCCCACCCCACGCTGTGGGAGCCACACAAGGGACACATCTACAAACCACGGAAGAAATAGAAAGCAAAGAAATTGAAATGTTTGGTTCAATAAAAGGACACAAAAAGTAGACAATACAAAGAAGAATGTGAGAAACATACAGTGCAACAGAATTACCAACATTTTTGTGGGCGCAGAAGTTGACAATGAGATGGCAGACTTTGGCCACGATTCGGTCCAGATGAAGCGGTACAACCCGAGCCAGGTATGCCAACACTGCACTGCCTTCCTAGGATCAGAAAGAGATTACAAAATAATATTTTTTTTCCCTTTAAAATAACTTTTATGAAAGGTGAAAGACACTTCTCACACTAGTGGTGTGTCGGGTATATGACACAAGACATATTTTTATAGATCACTAAACGGTCAATGGGTGATGATGTAAATGGCAAATCAGCCATCTTTACTTCCCATGACATTACCTGGCACTCATTTACAGTTGGGTCAACCTGGCAACCAACACAAAATCTGACTTGCTGCAGTTTCGAACCCAAGACTTTCTAGTCAGCAGGCGAGCATCTAGCCACTATATATATATATATATATATGTGTGTGTGTGTGTGTGTGTGTGTGCGCATAAATGTGTATGTTTGTGTGTGTGTGTGTGTACACACGCACATCATATTTCCTAAGTTTAAGATACATTTAATTTCCCAAAATACAGGGTCTAAAAACACTGTGTGTCTTTTACAATGTGTGATGAGGTGCTTTGCATGGTCTCCACGATCACAGCAAGTCAAGCAGAAAATCTGTGCATACACGAACCAACGAGATACTTGGGGCTGGAAGGCTAAACGAGGGAAAGTCTGAGGTTGACTCGTGGTCAGTTGTGTACCATAATTGGAAGAAGACAGTCGTGATGTTGTCAATGTCGTTTTAATCAAGTGTAGTCGATGTTGAGTAAAATGATTGTTTTGGCATATTTGTGGAAGTGAACAGCGATGATTGTGGTTGAGTAACTGTTATGGAATAGGAGAAATAAACTGGCAAAATGTTTAGTGGAATTTGAGCGGCGTTCCAGTGCTGTCAGTTGTAAGAAGCTGAGAAAGAGGAACACAAATGTTTATTGTCTGATTCAGTCTTCAGACTGACCCAAAGTGGAACGTGTCAGCTGCTGTAACTTGTAATTTATAGTATAGTAACCTTTTTGATTGTTACATCAGGTTGCAACAAAGAAAAAATTGACATCGATAGATTAATATCATATAAATTGAGTTGTTATGTAACGATTATGATAAATGGTGACCATTTTGAATAATAATTAGTAGACATTACGTAACTACTAAAAATGTCATGTTTATTCAGTTAGGCCTTGTTGCCCCGAATACAAAAATATATGGTTTCTAGGGTCTTTTTAAAATAGTTAATAAGTTAGAACAGTTTTAAATGCTCCTGAACTCTTTGAGTCCCAAACATCATACGTTCATAGGTTCCTACCTAGAAGCCCAATGAACGCAAGATGCGCTGATTTGATGACTCTCTTTACTACCCCCTGGGCCTGTGATGCTAAACATCCTGGGACTCAAAAAGTTGGTTCTCCTTAAAACTATGGCCACTTATTATGGAGTACGCCGGAGTTCAGTCCCCTGGCCGCATTGCAATTACGGAGTGGTACTACTAGTTTTATGAGGAAAAAATGATTTTGAAAATTTGACTAAAATAGGCTGTCCGATCCTGCCACCACTACATGCCTTTAATTATCCGGCTCTCCTTTCAACTACGGCCGGTAGACAACAGTAGACGGCCAGTTAGTCGGAGTTCTGTCCCCTGGCTGCAGTGCATTTTAATTTGACTAACCGGCCGTCTACTGTTGTCTACCGGCCGTAGTTGAAAGGAGAGCCAATTATCCTAATTCTCTAGTGGTCAATTTCTTGCTTACACGGCCATTTTAATTTTAAAACTCGGACTCAAAGGATGACAGGTTTGCTGTCATATCATAAAAATGAGTCAGATCTGTCAAACGGATGCACACGCAAAACTCAAGTTCTGCAGTCCAGAAGTGTGGAAGTCTAATCTACTGTAGTGAAGTGGTACCAAATACAGAACTTACATGTTCACTGTGAAAACTACACACGTATGATTCAACAGCCAGCAGCTCATCTAACAGAAGACTCAGACTACTTCTTGATTTCTCATCATCATAAAAAGCAAACTTTTGTAAACGTCCCACACAGTCTCTGAACTGTCTTGCTTCTGTTTCGTCAAACGCCAGGCTTGAGGCCGCCATTGTTTTTGTTGCGACCGGTAGTAACGGGGAGGCTTTATTTTTTTTCTAAAACATCATCATCATCTTGTGCCGACTGACTGACTTTCTACCCCACCAGGACATCACACAAGCGATAAACACCTGATGAAACAATGTGCCACCATGCGGGTGAGGATCACTGTGGAGAGGTCCCAGAAACCACGTTCAGCCTTTAGGCCATATTTATGGCCAGGTTATATTGTGGCTCTGGCAAGAGCCAGAGTAGGGCTTCAAATAACAAAAAACTTCATTCTAAAAAGGACGAGGAGTATAAATAGACATCTTGTGCCGTTGTGTTGATACATTTAAACACCGTTAACAATAACTCGAAGAAGAAGACACAAATATATACTCCGAGAACTCGATATATTCAAGTTATAACTCTGAGGGCTGAACTTGATATTTTTGTGAAAATTACTACTAAATGCTATTTAAGCCTCAGTAATTTCAGCATTTTAAGCTCAACATTTGGGAATAGGAGTCAGTTAACAATACAACTTTTTGGAACTTAAACAGTTAAGGATGCTAGCAAAAGAAGAAGATGAATATAATTTATTTAAAACTGCTATATATCCCAATTATAAAACATTAGTTAGTTAGTTAGTTAGTTGGGTTATCGTCATTGCACTCCGGACATGTCCATAGGTGCTCAGATCCTCCCCTCAGTATGAACCCCAACGTCCGATGGCTAATAGTACCAGTTCTATGTTGATTAACAAGTCTTCTGACGTGTCCGGTGTGCGTCTCGTTTTTTGCTGTGCCGATCTTAATTCCCAAGTCTGCCATTCTGGCGAGTGATGTGGATTCACTGCCACCAAAGTCCTCTATCCTTCCCATTTCTCTGAGGGCATTGATAATATCAGCATGATCCAAAGGCCGACCGTCGGTAGTGATAGCGGATCCAGCCAACCTGTCAGCTCTTTCATTTCCATCGACGCCTGCGTGTCCCGGAACAAAAATAAAGGTGACTCCACGCACAGTGGACTTCTGTAATGATTCAAGCCATTGTCTTCGCACTGAACCTGCCTGAACCCTCCGGATCATACTCATTGAATCACTGAGTATACATATGCGGGTGTATTTTTGTGTTTCAAGCCAGCCAAAACGCTTGCGTCACTGCCATCACCTCCATCGTCATGCTGCTGGTTGTCATGGAGAAGGCACCATTGGCTTCTTTGACTGTTCTGCCCGCTGAGCGTGCTGTAAATGCCCATGCGCTTCTTCTTTGGCGTATAACGGATCCGTCTGTGTAGATTAGTGCATCTGCTTCGTCTGAATTTTCACCGATGAGAGCGTTGACCTCTGCATTAACAGCTACAGGATTCTCTTCTCTACATCGCCTGTTGAGTGTGACAATACAGGAAAATGTACAAATAAACGCCTGAGGCACAGGTATCCATTCTGCACCAGGTATGATGTCGGTTAGGCTGCATATTTGCCTAATAACATCTTCTGCCCGACCTAGCCACGATTTTCCCCTCTTCAGTCTGTCGCCCTTTTCACTAAAAAGCGCTTGATGCAGTGGGTGTTTCTTATCAGCACATATTTTGAGGTATGCCCGAGCCCTCCACATTCTGATCCTTTGGTTCATTGTTGGAAAGTCAAGTAGATACCTCATTGCTTCACAGGATGTGTCTCTTGTACATCCCAAAATAATGCGCATGGCTTCATTTTGCACCTTTTCGAGTCTTTCAATCTGGGTAGCACTGACAGTGAGGATGGCCAGAGCGTATTCAATGGGTGAAAGGACCAGACCGTAGAATAGAAGTATTAGTAGTCTTTGCTCGATATTGGAAGCAGCCATAATCCTCATTGCAGATAGACCTTTGCGTGCTTTTGTTATCACATGGTCAACGTGTTCCCTGAATGACAAGCTGCGATCGAACCTCACCCCGAGAAACGTCATAACGTTGGTTCTGATCAATATATTATCACGCATTTTCACTTCTGGTAAGTCCGACTTGACAATGTGATTGTTCAAAGAGAACCATGACACTGATGCCTTCGAAGGATTGACATAGGCATTGGAACCATCACACCAGGCGGCAATTCGATCGAGTTCTTTGTGCATTGTGCTGGCGATCTCCTGTCTATCACGCCCTCGTCGATAAATCAAAATGTCATCAGCAAATGACAAAGTCCTTCCCTTTCCATTCAACTGCTGCTCAGTGATCATCACCGTATAAACGTTGAATAAGACTGGTGATAGCGGTGATCCCTGTGGCAAGCCTGGACATATCGTTTGCGGTTCTGAGGACCAGCTACCACATCTTAGTACAATCTTTCTCTGGAACAGGATCGCAGCAATCCAGCGGATCAGAATAGGATTGACTTCTAGTTTAAGCAGTAATTGCATTAAATATTCGTATGGTACTTTATTGTAGGCATCTTCTAAGTCCAACACTGCCGCACAATTATAAAACATATGGATTGAAAAGGATATCGATGCTGAAATTACTACTTACTACGTGAAGAAAAGGAAGAGAAGGAAGAAGAAGCAGAAGAAGAGGAGGAGGGAGGAGGAGAAGAATAAAACTACTGAATAAAATATTTTATCGAAATAATCGAAGCAATATATTATCAACTTGAATAATAACTTCATTCTTATAATATATTCACTGCTTCAAAAAGAAAAATGAAAGATCCCTAGACGTAACAAAAATGGCTGCGCCCTTCAGCAGACGAGTATCTTCAACTTGTAGCAGTCTTCGTTTTCGAACTGGTTGTTTGAAACCCAGACTGACTCGAATAATTCAGTTGCTGGTGCCTAAAGCTGGTGAATATAGCACGCAGTCAAAAGAGTTTAATGGAGCAGAAACGCATTTTGGGTTTCAATCGGTGGCAGAAGATGAAAAAGAAAATAAAGGTCAGTCATGCATCAGTCATATGTAGGTACTCTTTGGTCAAATTAAAATGCCCTCAACACCAATAAAACCAGCACAGTTAGATAGCTGTAAACAATCTCTTTCCAATGGTACCTCATTTAGCTTTGTATGTAATTTCTGAGCTGAGATATGTAGGTTTTTGTGAAGATGAGATGTAAAAAACAGCTGCTAAAACTTGTGTCTGAGAAACAAGTTTTCTTTGCGCAACCAAACTGCGCAACTTTCGTTTTGGCTTTGTTTTCATTGGACAAGATGGCAGACAATTTTTCTCAGACACTGCCACATAATAGCGATTGCCTAAAAAAATGTCACTGTAAATCTAAACAGCCACGGACAAGAAAGAAATTTTATACACAAAATGTAAAATTGGATGGAGAATTCAATTATAACTAGCATTACCATGTCTGGTAATGTTTAAGCTAAAGCCAACCGTGAATACTTATCGCTATTTAATCAAACGCCGGATGTAACAGAAAAACAGAGGACGTCTGGCTGTCGTAGACATGCGCTGTTAATCGGGTTCCTCCCGCCGTTTTCAGCTTTTTATAGTGGGTGAAAATCACACCAATCGCAAAATTTCATGAGAGATTAGGACCCATCCCAAAACCCCAGCCGACATTTGCGAAGCAAGTTTTGAACGGTTTCCATGCTAACGGAAATTTCCAAAAGACCGCCAATTGCCGAACACTGTAGTCGCTAGTCATATGCAGGATAGCTGGGGTTGGAATTCCCGGTAAGGTTATGGGTTTATTCAGTCAGGTCCTTGTGTGAATTCGGCGTCCCTTTGTGGGAAAAACAAGAATAGATCCACTGCATGCCCAACAAGCATGTCATAAGAGTCGACTAATTGAGGGTTACTTTTGAAGTCGGAGATCATCTGCCTGAGAGGCAAGAAACCAACAGTCTGCATACAAATAAGTCAGATTTGTAAGACTGATGTGCACGCAACAACACTGAGGTTCTGGAACAAGTTTAAAGTCCAGAGGTTGAAAAACAACCAGAATTTTCCGCCGGAGTTTGCAGATCGTAAACGCGGAATAGAAGAAGAGGAAGATTAATTATAATAAAATCCGGCAATTCTCCAAATAACGGGCAGACATTATTATGGCGGCCAAAAACACCCTAACAGGGCCTCAGTCACATGTAAATTGCGGACTTTCGGCGACTACCGCCACCGCCTAGAGTATGTCCAACGCCGCTACACGCGGCTTGGAGCTGGGCTAAACTAGATGGCTGGAACTCACGAGCAGCAGCTACCGCATCTCCTGCAGTTTCCTTTATTTTTTTTGCTCGTGAATTCCAGCCATCTAGTTAAGCGGTAGTCGCCGGAAGTCAGCAATTTACATGTGACTGAGGGCCTCTTAGGGTGTGTTTTTGGCCGCCATAATATGTGCCTGTTATTCGGAGGAAATATTTTCAGCCTCAGTAATTTGGGACCGTGATTCGGAGGATAGCCAAATATGAATGCAAAAGGCAAGAGCACTAGGAAGATGAAAAGAAATTAATACTAAACTAAAAATTTTTAATTCTAGTGTCAAATCAGTACTGTTGTATGGAGCAGAAACAAAGAGAACAACTAAGGCAATTACTAATAAACTACAGACATTCATTAACTGGTACCTGCGCAGACCAGAAGGAATTAAATTCTTCTCTGCACTAATGTAGAGCTTTGGGAGAGAACTAAACAAGTCCCAGCAAACAAGAGGTGAAGAAAAGATGCTGGTGCTGGATAGGACACATGTTGAGAAAACCTGAGAACAATATAACTAGAATATGTTTGCTCTGGAACCCACCGGGGCGTAGATATAAAGGAAGAAAAAAAAAAACATGGAGAATGGTGCTACAGAGTGAAGTTGAAAAGATGGGGAGAGCTGCATGCAATAGCGAAGGATAGAATGACTTGGCGTGAGCTGGTTGTGGGCCTATGCTCCGTTGGGGGTCAGAAAGGCAGAAGAAGAAGAAAATGAAAAATGATAATTAGCCGTTCCTTTGGTAATGAGGATGTTTGTTGCATTTATAAACATATGCTTCCATTTTTATTTGTTTTTCTTTGTTAGTGTACGAAGTATTTGAGAATGTGGCCTCTAAATACGACATGATGAATGATGCAATGAGCGGGGGTGTTCACAGAATATGGAAGGACATCTTCTTGGAGCGGTTTGCACCATCGCCAGGGACCAAGCTACTGGATGTTGCTGGTGGAACTGGCAAGTATTTAATTCAGAACAAGGTTTTTCCTTTGTTTGAGGTTTGAGGTTTCAACAATTAATCAACATCATGACAAACGGGTAGTAACCCATAAGTGCTCTGTTCTTCTTCTAACTCAAGTCTTGAGTCCGAAGAAGCTCAGCACAGTGCACAGGCTGTGTAGCACCGGCGAGGATCCTGAAATACTTTGTATAGATTTTTTTTTCTGATCGATTAAGGTCCAAAAGGATGTTCTGCTGACCTTTTGCCATGTTCTTCAGCATATTTTATCACCTGGAGTTTAGAACTCACAGCATGGGAGAGCCAGTTACTATCTTTTTCCATATTGTGGGCAACTATGAAACAAAATGGTACATGCAGGCCTGTATTTGTTGTAGAAGATGCAGCCTTATTAAGGCCTATTTGGAGAACAAAACAAAAAGTGCATCTTATACACCAACAAATAGGGTATGACATGGCAACAGTAACAATGAGGGGAAGAATGGGTGGATAAGGAGTAAGTCCAGGACAGAAAATCTTAAACAATTTGTCTGGAATAACATTTCTATGAGAAATGTTTGAGGTACAAAAGTCTGTGGACAGACATGAATATCAACACCAAACAGCATGGACTAAAAAGGTCTTCACTGATGTCTGCTTCCCCCCTCCACCACACCCATTTGGATTCTGGGGCCCCATTTTTGTGGGGACAAAAAAGATTAGACCCGCTTCGCCCCTAATAAGCACATCCAACAAGCGATACAAGGGGACTAATTAGAAATGTTTCTTTTGAAGTCGGAGTGCATCTGCCTGAGAGGCAATGGACCGATGACAGTCTGGATACCTGTAAACCAGATCTGCAAAATGGATGTGCATGTTTTGAAACAGGACCAAAGGGCAAAAGTTGACAAACAACCAGAACTTTCTGACTGAGTTCACAGCTGGTAAACACTAAGAAGTAATAAGAGTTGTCCATTGACTTCTGGCCAAAATGGAGAAAAGGCTAGGCAGAATGTTAAGCTTCAGAGTTATTTTTGCTTCCCACAGTGCTTTGCTAATGCAGTTTTTACATAAAAACGGTAGTCTACGGTTTTGCTGCTTGAGCTACTGAGGGCTTGGTTGCAGCCCTATGAGCTGTGTTTTTCATTTGCACAGCTGTTGTGTCATTTTGTTCAATATGGCCAGTGGCCAGTTTAAGTGTGAGCTGGTGAAATACCTTAGGTTAGAATTCTACGTGTGTATAGAAACCAACTTATCGTGCCCGACTAGTTCCATCGACGGCAAACTGCATTTCTGGTGGAAATTGTTGACTTTTCCGCCTCAAGCCACTGAAATATGCATTTACTGCATGCACATCTTTCTGGATTGTTCCGGGACTATTTGTTTGTTTACCAGTTTTTCATATGCGACAGTGAGGGACATTTCATTTGAAAGGCACTGGCACAGGAAACGGGCAGGTATGGGGAAAACCCGATTGTGGTGATGTTGAAACCTCGACTAACTAACTAACTAACTAACTAAGAGTTGTCCATTTAGCAAGATCCTATTTAATGAATGAATGAATTGATCAAAAATTGACATACCTGCACTCAGGACATTCCCACACATGGTCTGTCTCCTTCCTCAGTAGCCAAGAAAATCATGCTAACAGTAACGGTTGCAACATGATTGAAAGTCCACCTTTGTTTCTCCCTCTGTGTTACATATCTTCCAGAATCTCTTTCCTTAGCCCCCCCCACCCCCCCCCCCCTTAATTATTCTTTCACTGAATGGATTCTCTGTCTTTTCTCTTGCACTATCTTTTGATCCCTGAGAGTCTCTACCGCATCTGCCTTATCATAAAGCCCAGAGGTGCGGCAGCAGCCAGCCAGTCAGACTGCTCATTACCCAGCACACCAGAATATCCTGGGCAGAAAGTCTATGATGTGTTCCTGACGTGAGCTTTATCCAGTGATGCAAGCCTCGCTACACACAGGACACCATTTTCAATGTTCCCAAATATGCTCTGTGAATCTGTTACAGTTACAAGATCCTGTTTAATGAACTTGCACTGTTTTTATTTACACCAGGTGACATTGCTTTTAGATTCCTGAAGTACGTTGATGCACCGGCTCACATTTCCACACAACAGGACTTTGGAATTCCCAAAGATGCAGCATCTCGAGTGAGTGCTACAGTGTGTCTTGAAATGTATGAAATTGTCTTTACTGGAGACTTCAATAGTTGACAGAAAAACTGATATGGCAGTTTCATTCCTTTGCTAATTCCTTCCTTATTTCCTTCCTCTGTTTGTTCATTACTTCATTAATTCCTTTCCATCTCCTTTCATTTGTTCCTACCTCTCTTCTTCCTTTCCCCTCACTCCATTTCTTCCTTCCTACTATTCTACCATCTTTCCATTCTTCTTGCTTCTCATTTTTGTCATCGTCCTCCTTCATCTTATCCTCTTTCTTCTTCTTCTTCTTCAGCATCTTCTTCTTATACTTCTTCTCCTCATCCTTATTATCCTGCTTCTTCTCATCTCACACTCCTCCCTTCTTCTACATTGTTCCCCCTTTCAGTAAGTCAAGGTTTTAAAAGACATTCTTGCACGCCTTGAGACAAGTTGGGTTTAACATAACATAACCCTTGACCCTTCAGTGTCGTGGAGGTGTATCATTGGAAGCACTAACACACAAAAACAAGCATCTTTCTCTGTTCTTCTGCTTGATGAGCAAGTGTGTGATAACTTAGTTGTATCACTTCCTTATGTTGTCATTCCAGATTCTTCTTTGTCCTCCTCTTCTTCGAATACCCTCCATGTTCCTTGAAGTACAGTCTTTGCAGCCAAATCATGTCTCACCATGTGCTCGAATCAGGCTAGCTTGCGATGTTTCACCACTACAGAGAGAGCTCCTGATGCCCTGTTGGGTTTATATATATATAGTTCCATATTTTTCTTGATTGATTTTCTCCTGATAGGTAATGCACTGACGGATCAATGTTATTTCATCTGTCTTCACTGCCAGAAACATTTCTTGTTGTCTGTTTTACTCTGTATCGACCTTGGAGCCAAACTCTTACAAAAATTCCCCGCTGTGATTGGTTTTAAACCAGTTATCAGTGATGTGGTCATATTCACAGTGGTCTTCATTTCTCTGCAAGCTTCCCATTGAATGTTGAATTGAAAATCGACATCATAGCACCCAGGACACTCCCATAAGCCCTCAGTCCCCGTCTTCAGCAGCAAGCGAAGAGTTCCAGTTGCCTTGGCACTAGTAACACTGTCAAAAGGATTCCTTTACCCATTTAATCTGTTCGCCCTGAGAACTCTTTAAAAAAAAAAAGTCATGATTTCTGGAAAAAAAAATATCTGTAACCACAACAATTTTTTTTGCACAAATCACTAATAAATTCGTTAAAAATTTATTGATGGACATAACACATTTAAAAAAAAAAAAAAATATATATATATATACATATATATATATATATATATATATATATATATATATATATAAAGGGAGTAATCAATAAGCACGAACAGCGCAAAGCATTAACTTGAATAAATTCCCCGGGGACTAAAAATACACGTGTATCGGGTGACCATGTCATGACCCCCGTGATTCCATGACCTCTGTCACTGAGGCTTATAAGAAAATCTGATGTCATCTTGACTTTGAAAAAAATAAGCTATTTTGCACAAAGGAAAATCCCTCTAAACACCATTGTGAGTTAATTTATTGATATCCTGACCTCCCAAAAGTTTGCGCAGACGTGAAGTCGGCCAAATTGTATTAATTATACATCTTTAAAAGAGGTCATGATAGGCAAATTAGAAAGTGATATTTACGGGGATCCGGACCTAGTTGGTAGTGTCATTTTTTTGTGTGGCTTCTTCTGGCAAAAGGGTTGAGGCTGGGCCACGATGGAAGCCCAGGTTAGTGAGAAAGAAATGCCAAACACATAACCTCTATGCTGGCAGGCAGGTGTACTTGCCACTGCAGCTCTCATTTGGCTTCTCATTATGGTAGTCTTCTCTGTCTGTCTGTCTGTATGTCTGTCTGTCTGCCTGCCTGCCTGCCTGCCTGCCTGCCTGCCTGCCTGCCTGCCTGCCTGCCTGTCTGTCTGTCTGTCTGTCTGTCTGTCTGTCTGTCTGTCTGTCTGTCTGTCTGTCTGTCTGTCTGTCTGTCTGTCTGTCTGTCTGTCTGTTTCTCGCTCCTTTCTCTTCCCTCACTCTCACCCTCTTTCTTTCTCTCTTTTACTGTGTCTAATTTCTGGGATCTTTTTTTCTCTTTCCTTTTTTTTCTCTCCTTTCTCTTTCTTTCTGTCATTTTTTTTCTCTCTTCTGCTCCTTTCTTTCCCTTCTCTCTAACCCTCTTTCCTTCTCTCTCCTCTCTTTCATTCTTTCCCTTCACTTTCTCTGACTTCTCATTCTGTCCGTCTTTTTCTTTATTTGTCTCCTCCTTTTTCTCTTTGACAGAAATGAAATTTTATTCTTTGTTGAAGTTTCTCATAAAAAAACATTGCTTTGTTTTTAACTTTTTCCTTGTTGTAATTCTCCAGGTGTTCCTAGGTTCTCAAGAAGATTTGTCGTCAGCGTCATCATCATCTGATGATGAAAGTACAAAGGTCTAGTCAGAATCATCGTTTAGACACACCTGTACTACCAGATGACGATAGCAGCCACGTAATAGTGTGTGACATTAATCAAGCTATGTTGGATGTGGGCAGACAGAGGGCAAAACAGTTGGGCTTTACGTCAGGTAATTTGTATTGGCATGAGAACTTGAAATTTTCTAAAGGTTATGCTGGTGTGTTGGGAAATTAGCAGGCAGATAGACTGGCCGATTCTGCACCACTTTGTGGTGAACAGATGTATGACAAGCTGGATGTCGTGAGGGCCCTTTAGGAGCGAGTGAACAGTACGGAGGAACAGATGGATCATTACGGTCTGAGGAGAATGGCGCTGCAAGGAGTTACCAGGGAATCTGGCCGATGCTCAACACTCAGGGGAAAGGCGAGACGGATATACAGACAGTTACTGGCACCATCAGAATTTTTACTCTCCCCTTGCTGCTGGAGATGGGGACGGAGCGCTTATGGGGATGTCCCAAATGCAATGATGTTGATTCTTAATTCAACATTCAACATGAGAACTGAAAGGGCAAAGGAATTAGAAAGAGGCTTAACCCTTTCACTCCAGAAACCCTTTGGGAAAAAAAAACCCAGAACCGGGGAATTCACGGAAAACCCTTTAAAAAAAAAAAGCATTTATACGCACGCACGCACACACACACACGTGTGCACGCATGCACACACACACAAATGCGCGTGCGAGCATCACAGTATATTCATTCACACATAAATTATATATACATTCACACACACAGTTCATATATTCATTCACACACAAAGTTTATATATTTATTCACCCACAAAACTTATAAATTCATTCACACAAAAAGTGAACATTTTCATTCACACAAAAAGTTTATATATTCATTATTATCCTGTTGTGCCTTTATATGTCACATGGGGCTCGCAATCTATTACGTTAAATCTAAAAAAAATTTATTGTGTGGTTTATACCTTGAGACCATGTCACATGACCATGCAAACGCTAAAGGTTAAAGGTATATTATGATGCTGTAATTTCCAAAACAGCCCAGCCAAACTATTCACAAAGGTAAAGTAGGAAGATGTGAACCAAGCATTTTTGCACATGGGTATAAACCATAAGTGCTCTGCCACCAGTTGATAGGAAACTGTTCGCCTATATCACCGCCTGCAGGCAACTCCGTAGCTACAGCGACGTTTCTCAGTTTACCCCAGAGTGTTAACTCTGGTACCCATTTCCTAGAGGCTGGGTGAATCCCGGAACTGCCCGGTTTCGAACACCGGCCATGGGCTACAGAGAGTCGCAGCTGGATTTGAAAGTGAATCTTCTATCAACTGGGCTAACGCGGCCCCACTTTTCACAGTGTAACTGCTATAAATGCTTTTTTTAGTAAATGTAATCAAATCAGGCCCTCCTAAACACTGGGCAGGTGCAAACAGAGCCTGTGCCATTAACTAGGCTTGTCATGGACAGGTCGACGCAGCAATGCCTTTTGTGGGGATTGGCAACAGATGGGGAAGCCTTCTACCACATCAGTGTCCCAAGAACCTTATCATGGAAGTACTTAAGGACAAATATAGGGGCTATTGAGCTGAAATACTGTAGAAAGATTCTCAGAACACCATGGACAAAGAAGAAAGGAAATACTCACATTCTAAAACAGTCGTTCTCAACCTGTGGGTCGCGACCCCTTTGTGGATTGAATGACTCTTTCACAGGGATCGCCTTAGACCATTAGAAAAAAACACATATTTACTGGTTATGGAGAAGCAATGAAATTAATTTTATAGTTGGGGGTCACCACAACATGAAGAACTGTATTAAAGGGTCCGGCATTAGGAATGTTGAGAATCACTGTTCTAAAAGATCTAAACATCAAAGAAGACTGGTAATAGACAGCATCTTGTGGCAAAATGGAACAAATAATAGCAGAAGGCGTGGTACCAGGAAGGAGTGGCAGGAACTGACCACCACGAAGATGGGCACAGAATATAAGTGACTCCTTGGATATGAAAATACACAAGGCGGGAGAGCTGGCGAAAGGCAAAGTTTCTTTCAGGCAGACAATAACGTTGGTGTTGTGCCTATGCTCCAGAAAGAAATAACGGGCAAAAAAAGAATAAATCTTGGTGTCATCAAATATCATCTTGTTTTATCATACCTATGTGTCTTTATACACCTCCCTCAATATCCACATGCTATCACACACTCCGTGGTGTTAATAATCTGCTTCACACACACACACACACACACACACACACACACACACACACACACACACCCACCCACCCACACACACACACCCACCCACCCACCCACCCACACACACACACACTCACTCACACACAATCACACACAATCACACACACACACACACACAATCACACACAATCACACCCCATTCACCCACATACAAAGCTACATACCCACACAGACACGCACTCACTTAACACACCCACGTACCTTCACACACACATAAACACACCCCATTCACCCACATACAAAGCTACATATCCACACAGACACGCACATTCCACACACATACAAACATACAGATATAAACACAGAGACACACCCATATGACACACCCAGAGACTATCTTTTTGTGGGTTTTCAGATATCTTTTCATGGGTGTTCAGATATCTTTTTGTGGGTTTTCAGATATCTTTTCATGGGTGTTCAGATATCTTTTTGTGAGTTCAGATATCTTTTCATGGGTGTTCAGATATCTTTACATGGGTGTTCAGATATCTCTTCATGGGTATTCAGATATCTTTTCATGGGTGTTCAGATATCTTTTCGTGGGTTTTCAGATATCTTTTTGTGAGTTTTCAGATATCTTTTTGTGAGTTTTCAGATATCTTTTTGTGAGTTTTCAGATATCTTTTTGTGAGTTTTCAGATATCTTTTTGTGAGTTTTCAGATATCTTTTTGTGAGTTTTCAGATATCTTTTTGTGAGTTTTCAGATATCTTTTTGTGGGTTTTCAGATATCTTTTTGTGGGTTTTCAGATATCTTTTTGTGAGTTTTCAGATATCTTTTTGTGAGTTTTCAAATATCTTTTTGTGAGTTGTCATATATCTTTTTGTGAGTTTTCAGATATCTTTTCATGGGTTTTCAGATATCTTCTTGTGAGTTTTCAGATATCTTTTTGTGGGTTTTCAGATATCTTTTCATGGGTGTTCAGATATCTTTTTGTGAGTTCAGATATCTTTTCATGGGTGTTCAGATATCTTTACATGGGTGTTCAGATATCTTTTCATGGGTATTCAGATATCTTTTCATGGGTGTTCAGATATCTTTTCGTGGGTTTTCAGATATCTTTTTGTGAGTTTTCAGATATCTTTTCACGGGTTTTTAGATATTACCTTTCATAATCTTACATCTCTCTCTATTTTCACATACTACCACTCACAGAGTGGTGCTAACTATGTGGTTTACTTGCCTTCTTCTACACAGGAATATCCTGGCTGCAAGCGAATGCTGAGAATCTACCGTTGCCAGATAATCTGTTTGATGCCTACACTATTGCCTTTGGAATTCGTAACTGTACACATGTACAGAAAGTTAGTATTATGTTACTCAATGTTGTTTTGTGTGTGTATGTGTATTTTAATATCTAAGGGGCTGTGGTAGAGCACTGGATGATAAACATTGTTGTAGGGCTGACTCCCCTTTGAGGTGGATTTAGAAATTGAAATAGGCTGCTTGTTTGTTCCAGCTTGAAAACTGGTATTGATTTATTAATGTTTTACACACCGCAAGCCAGATCTGTAAAATGGATATGCACGCAAGACTCAGGTCCTGGAACAAGATCGAAAGTCCAGATGTGAACGAACAGTTTTACTAATAATTTTCACAGCCACAGGGTTTTGGATGGTAAATTGTTGTGTATGACTTTTTTTGGTGACCCATGTAAAATGACTGTATTTCTGATTCATTTAAAAAAAAAAAAAAAAGAATTTCATTTGCTTGGCTTTGTTTTTTGCTAGGTCACCGGGTTCTTCTTTGTTTTTCTTCTTTGCGTTTGGTTTTTTAATGCTCAGATCAGACCACCAGGTGGGTTGCCTCTATGAACTTGCATGTCAGTAGCAGGTCCTTCATCGTTCCCTATAGCTTGCTGTGCACACTTTGCTCTTGAGTCCAGGTGTCTTTTCGAAGTTGTAGATAGAGTGGGCAGGTCTGCAGAATGTGCTCAGGTGTTTGTGGTCCTGTTTGACATTCACATTGTGGGGACTGTACAAGCTTTATTTTATGTGTGTGGTAATTGAGCCTGCAGTTTCCTGTTTGTAGACGGAAAATTGTTGTATGTTGATTTCTGTTGAGTCTGTTGATGTGGTCTTGTCTTCTTCTTCTTCTTTGCGTTCACCAGCTGTAAACTCTGGCGGAAAGTTCTGGCTGTTCGTCCACTTCTGAACTGCAGTCCTACTCCAGAACTTGAGTGTTGCGTGTGCATCAGTTTTACAGATCTTATTCACTTGAATACAGACTGTTGGTTCCTTGCCCCTCAGGCAGATGTACTCCGACTTCAAAGGAAGCTCCCCAATTAGTCGACTCTTACGACATGCTTTTGGGTAGGCAGTGGGTCTATTCTTGTTTTTCCCACAATGGGGCCCCGGAACCCACACGGGGAATGTGGTCTTGTGGATGTTTACTGTTAGTTTGTTCTCTCACCAATTCCTTATATTTTCCCTTGATAAGTGTTCTGATTTCTGGTAATGACAGTGAATGGGCGTATTGTTTCTTCTTTGTTCCATTTTTTGCAAGTCTGTCTGCTAACTCCTTTCCTGGTGTGCCGCTGTGAGCTGGGATCCACTGGAGAACGATTTGATTTTTTTCTGTGAGTCTGTTTAGCTGACGTGTCAGTTCTCTCTCTCATGTTATCTCGTTGATCCCTCTGTGTCACCTGACATGCAGTCACAAAGGAAAACAATTTTGCTGTTTTCAATTTTTCTTTCCTTGAGCAGTTTGGCTAAATCAGTAATTGGTTGCTGCTCTGCTCTGAAGTTTGTTGTCTTCAGGACGCGCATGACTTTTCTGTTCACCGGGTTGAAAGGTTAAATATATGTTTAAATTGATAAATACTGGATTCATTGCTTGGTACTAAAGGAGTTGAAGTATCACATCATATAAGATTTTATTTTTTATTGTCTGAAGGTTCTGGATGAAGCCTACCGCTTGTTAAAGCCTGGGGGACGGTTCTTGTGCCTGGAGTTTAGTGAAGTCAAGAATCCTTTGTTGCGGAGGTACGTTATCATCATCATCAGTTGCCTTGCCAGCTGTCGTGAGTGTTCATGCATCTCCACAGATCTCGGTCCTTGGTGTTCTGGATCAGTTCAGTTCCTTAATTTTATAGTCCCAAGGGACGGTTTCAGAAAGAGATGCATACTTTGTGGTAGGGTAACATTGCTTGAACAATGTATTCTGCAAGCCAATACATACAGAATGGATATTCCTCCATTCCACTGTCTTAAGCCATTCTAAATTACATACAAAGACAGCAAATCAAATGGTTTGTACACTTAAAGAGAATGCCTTTTGAATGTGTATTCGAAAAGAGGAGAAGGACATAGAGCATGAGGTAGACCAAGAATAAGATGGACAGATAACATCAGACAGCACAATGTGTCTGTGGTCTAGGGGGCCAGAAAAGCAAGAAACAGAACCTTATATCTCCTTCAACACCAGATACGCTAAAAAGTGGAAGCGAAAGAAAAAAAGATGAACAACAACAACAGACCGCGGGTACAACAGAAAAAGCATTCCACACGGAATCTAAAGCTGACAGTGTCACAAATTACTCAATAGCTGAGTGATGGAATCTTTGGACTACCAGTCCAGAAATGGAGAATTTGCATCAAAACCTAGCTGGAAACATAACTTTTCAGATAACAAACCAACAGTAAACATTCACAAGACACCATCAGCTGACTTAACAGAAAGCACCATACAACAATTTTCCATCTATGAACAGGACACTGCAGGCTCAACTACCACATGCATAAAATAAAGATTGTACAGTCCCCATAGTGTGCCTGTCAGACATAACTACAAACACTTGAGCACATTCTGCAGACCTGCCCGCTCTACCTACAACTTTGAAAAGAAACCTGTCTCGAGAGCAAAGTGTGCAGAGCAAGCTATGGGGAACGATGAAGGACCTGCTACTGACATGCAAGTTCATAGAGGCAACCCACCTGGTGGTCTGATCTGAACATACAAAACCGAACGCAAAGAGGACAGAAGAAGAAGAGATAACTTTTTTCAGAGCACCAGCGGCCAGCCGGCTATCTGCCATTTTGGCATAAAGTGTTTATTATTTACTGCTTGCTTATATTTCATGATTCCATACCAGATTAAGTTTATGCTGCCTACAGCAAGTCTATGTAGTAACTAGATGCTTGCAGCCGACCCAACAGTCGTTGGTTTGAATCTCCTCATCCCTGTATGGGTTCCAGGGCCCTATTGTAGGGGAAAAAATAAGAATAGACCCGCTGCAACCCTAACAAGCATGTTGTTAAAGGTGACTCGTTAGGGATGTTTCCTTCGAGGCCAAAGTGCATGTCCCTGAGAGGTGAGAAACCAGCAGGCTGCATACAGATAAGCCAGACCTGTGAAATGGATATGCATACAGAACTCACATTCTGGAACAAGACTAAAGTTCAGAAGTGGACGAACAACTATAACTTTTCACCAGAGTTCACAGCCGGCGAATGCAAAGAAGAAGAAGAAAGGAAGAAGAATCCAAATAGAGGGGGAATTTGTTTATAATTGATCCTGGCTTTTATGTTGGGAGTCGGTATGGTGTGGTGGCTAGACTACCCCCCTGCAGATCCAACGGTCATGAGTTCAAACTGAAATAAGACCAAACATTGTTTTGTTTTAAAAAAAAAGGACCTTGGCTCTCCAAGAGCGACCCAGCCTTGAGTTGGTATGATGTAAAGTCCTGGGAAGTAAAAGCAGCCACCGTGGTGTTGATCACATGGCCTACCTAGTGCTGAGTGGTCTATAAAATATAGGTCTAGCACTAAATGCCCAATGTGCCTGAAGGTGCAAAAAAGGATCATTACATCTAGGTCGACCCAGCCTAAAATGAGTACCAGGAACTGTCCTGGGAAGTAGAAATGGCTGGGGGGATGTTGACCACAATGTCTCTTAATTCTTGTTTGGTTATTTAAACTGTGGGTCTAGAACCATAGGCAAGACGCAACAGTGGAATGAAAAAAAAGAGTGTTTACTTTGTACTTTACTAGTGCAAATGGACAGTTAAAGAAAGTTCTAAACTTACAGTTTACTTTGTACTAGTACAAATAGACAAATAAAGAAGTCCCAAACTTTTAGTTTTCTTTGTACTTTAGTAGTACAGATAGACAATTAAGGACCCCCGTGTGGGTTCCGGGGCCCTATTGTGGGGAAAACAAGAATAGACCCACTGCCTCCCCAAAAGCATGTCGTAAGAGTCGACTAACTGGGGAGCTTCCTTTGAAGTCGAAGTGCATTCAGTGAGAGGCAAGGAAACCAGCAGTCTTTCAAATAGTCAGATCTGTAAAACGATGCACATGCAACACCCAGGTTCTGGAGCAGGACTGCAGTCCAGAAAAGTACGAACAACCAGAACTTTACGCCAGAATGTACAGTTGGTGAACGCAAAGAAGAAGAAGAACAATTAAGGAGAGTCCTAAACTTATCAGAACAGTTGGATAAAGACATTCAGTGTTTTTGTGTGTGGACATGTTATGAGAATAAATAGCTTTGAGAACTTGGTAATGTCTGGCAAGACTGATGGAGAGAGAGCAAGAGGAAAGCAGAGAGATAAATACCTGAATGGCCTGGTCACACGGGGGAGGGGGGGGGGAGAAAGACATTGACCTGATCACTGATTCTGGTGATCGTTTGATATGATGAAACATGGCAGTCTACGCTTATCGGCACGGCACATGATGATGGCGGTAAAACTATTTCTTGAGGCCTCAGTGATATTGTTTTACAGAAGAATCCTTAGAATTCCTTGGACAGCCAAAAACAGAGCAACCCAGATGTCATGAAAGAGGTGAGGTCCCAAAGACAGCTGATTGCATACATAAGAAAGAGGTAGTCTCTTCATTTTTTGGTCATGTTATGACAAGAGGGAAACTGGAACATGAAGTCACCACTGGAAATATCTGTGGTAAAAAGGGCATGGAGAGATGCCACACACACACAAACTGATACATGCAGTTGAAGACTGCAAATTGTCGAGATGTGTGATCATCCACGCCAGTCAGCAAGAAACTTGATGATGATGATTAAAAATAGCAATTAGTGATTCAGTCTTTGGATTAAAATTTTTTTCTCTTATCTGAACATTTCATATTTACTCATTCCTTTTCAACTGGTTTTGTACTGGGCAGTATCTATGACAGTTACTCATTTCAAGTGATTCCTGTCATGGGACAGCTGATTGCTGGTGACTGGAAGTCATACCAGTATCTGGTCGAAAGTATACGACAGTTTCCCAATCAGGTAAGAGTTTGTTGTGGACCTCTGTAATTTCTTTCTTTTTCTTCTTTATTATCAGAAGTCCCAGGTAGTTAGCATCCTTTAGATATTTTCCCCAGGATATGCTGGTTTATTAGGAAATGAACAGGCAGATTGACTGGCTGGTTCTGCACAACTTGGTGGTGAACTAATGCATGACAAGTAGATGTTGTTAGGGCCCTTTAGGGGCGAGTAAACAAGGCGGAAGCACAGATGGATCCTCATGATCCGAAGAAAATGGTACTGCGAGGAGGGACTAGGGGATCTGGTCGACGATCAGCCCTCAGGTGAAAGGTGAGACAGATGTACAGTCAGACTACTGTTAGTACCATTGGAATTGGAACTCTGCGCCTTACTGCTAAAGATGGGGATTGAGCGCTTTTGGGAATGTCCCGATATCTGTGATGTTGATTCTTACTTAAACGTTAAAACATTTCTTTGTTTTTTGTCTCTTAGTTAAGCATTAGTTGCTGTGCTTTACCAGGGCCCTCATAGGAACCAAAGAACAGTAGTACTGCACTCTACCGGACATGTCATTAGAGGCAACTGGGGTTGAGTTTGGCTCAGGCATCCACACTCACCTGGTCAACCATATCATGAATATCGTGTACTCCAGCACCCTTTGACCTCTGGAATACTTACATACTAAAATGAGGTAGCATAAAACAGTGACATATAATGGCAAAGCAAGACAATGAATGAATAAATTCGGCATGGGCATCAGTTGTTTCAGTTTATCTTGATGATCTGTATAAATTTGTCTTTTCTTTATAATTTTGATAATTGATCACATAACACGTGCAGTTATAAATATATAATATTTTTTTTTCTTTCAAAACACTGTTTTTCGCAAGGGGACATTTATTTTCTTCTCTAGGAGGCTGCGTGGTCTCAAGGCATGGTGTCTATCTCGAGTGCTAGAGGTTCCGGGTTTAATCCCCAGTAAGTGCTGGGATTTGTCACGTGGACTTGGACTTCTAGTTATTCCCCCTGGTCTCTGGCTAGTGAGATCAGACACCCGTGTGCATTGTTGTGTACGTAAAAAAAAAAAAAAAACACCTTGGCAGATAGAAATCGAAAAGAGCAAAATTTTAAGTTAAAAATCTGCCTAAAGTATTGGTTGATCCTCGTCGGTTCTACAGAGCCTGTGCACTGTGCTGAGCTTCTTTTGACTCTGACTTGAGTTGGAAGAAGAACAGAGCACTTATGGGTTACTACCCGTGTGCCATGATGTTGATCCGTTGTTCAAATCTCAAACTTCAGCTCTTTTTCTCTGTAAACAAAATTCTCAACCTCTTCTTTTTAGTATTCACTTTATTCTCCTCCTTCTCTTCCTTCACTTCTTCTTCTGCATCATCCTCTTCTTCTACTTCTTCTTCTTCTTCTTCTCCAGTCACTCTTAGAAGGACGGTTGGCACATTGTGTTGTGGTTTACAGCATGGCAGTAGCTAAAACAGTAATCTGGTAATCTTAGTTTCAGCTTCATATCAAACAGGTCACCCCATAGTTGCTCCGCTCCTGTGCCAACTAAAAACAGACAGAATGTTTATCACAGTAACTTTGATGGAGACTTGCCTTCGCTCAGGCATGCTCTGGGGTGTCCCTGGGGTAGTCACAGCTGACGAAGATCTGTTTAATTTTCAGGACATGCAGATGTACAAGAGAATGAGCAAACTGATAGGTGTGCAGGTGAGGCTACTATGACCTGGGGTTCGGGTGTGGGAGGGAAAAGGGTGGGGGGGGGGGGGGGGGGGTAGGGTGAGAATTGAACTATAGAGGCTGATATACTAAACATACTGAATTCATAGATCCGAACAAGTATAGACTGAAGGATTCGATGTGAGTGGGGTTGATACTGTTAATTAACATTGAGACCGGCACATCAAATTTCAGCTAACTCCTTATTAATATCTGTTTATCTTTGTTAGGGGTGCAGTGGTTAACCCCCCCCCCCCCCCCCCCCCCCCCCCCCCCGACCATTCAGAGGGGTGGACCCTGCAATATAGGAAAATTTTCAGCAAAACATTACTAATAAAATTAAATGTAGTTTTGTTATTGCAACACCGTAAAAATAATTCTCTTCATTTGTTTGTAGGAAGATTTTGCGGCAATGATCAGAGCAGCTGGCTTCAGAATGGTCTCCTACGAAAACTTGACATTTGGTGTGACTGCAATTCATTCGGGCTTCAAGATCTGAAACAAACCAAGATGTGCTAACCCAGGCACAGATACAGAGATCAGTGAGTCACCTCATAGCCATTTTATGCTCCAGTAAAACTGTTTGATGCGGTTGAACAGGGTGCCTTGGGTTTGCTTCTTCTTCTTCTTCTCCTCTTCCTCCTTTTCTTCTTCTTTTTCTTCTTCTTCTTCTTCAGCATTCTGAGACCCTAGAGGTTCATTGGTGCAGGTATCACCTGCCTTTATTCATCTCTGTTGGTGACACTAAGTGTTTGTGGGTCTGTCTGGATATTATCTCTCCATCATAATCTTGGTCTGCCTCGTGGTCTCCGAGCATTCAGCTTCTGTGTGTATACAGTTTTGACCTTTCTGTCATCTGATATTCTTTCAATATGCCCCAGCCATTTCAGTCTAGTAGTCCTCATGATACAAGTGATCACTGGAGTTTTAAACAGATTAGGAATTCTATTGTTGCTTCTTGCTCTCCATTCCCTACTGTTTGCATCTTTGATGGTTGCAAAGATTCTTCATTAGATGTTTTCAAACATTTGTAATGAAGCTTCAGCTCTTTTAGTTGCGCTCCAAGATTCAGGGTCATATAAAACAACTGTTATGCGCATCCAAAAATTGCCTGTTGTCAGTCAGTGCCTGATTTCAGAAAGCAATCTTGTGGGTTGGGTGGGTGGGGGGGAACGTTAAAATTATAACTAAGTTATTATGTTGGCGCCTGCCAAATGTTTTCTTTAAAATTCGTACTTTTTCTTTTTAATGCCAGCAGACATAAAATATAGTGTAATACAAATTTTGGCTTAAATTGTTTCTAGAGATGTGTGTTTTTCAAAATCTCTTCCGCTTGAAATGTCTGAGTGAAGGATGAGATTCTATATCACTCTTTGTCTTGTCTGTTCGCTCTTTCTATCTCTCTCACACTCTTTTCCTGTCTTTGTCACACACTCTCTCTCCTCACTTTCACCTTTTTCCTCCAATCTCTATCTGTCTTTACGTGGTCCTCCATCTCTTTCTCCTCCTATTCTACCCCTTTCTCCCCCTCTCTTTCACCTCTCCCCCCCTCCTCCTCCTTCTTCTATTCTTTTTTTTCCCTCTTTTGTCTGTCCGCACTTTCCTTCTCTCTCTCCCCCCCTTTTTTTCTGTCCTGCCCACTCTCTCCCTTTCTTCCTCCTCCTGTCCCCCTGCTCACATCTTTCTGCTCTCTGCCCCTGTTTCTGTTAACATATGTGTGTGTGTATAGCATTATTGGTTGACTTTATTGGCTTTTACCAGTTTTGGAAAGAAATTGACCAATACTTAATGACGTTAGTCTCCCCAAATAGAGAAGGTCACTTTTTATTCACAATTTTTTTGGGGCTGGTCGACTTTCCTGAAAGTTACAAGTGTGTCACAGTCTGTTGTTTGGTTTCTGTGATGTCTTGCATTTTCGTTTTCATTCCGAGAAAGAGAATGCCTGTAACTTAGGTTGCAGCACTCTCTAGGGGGGTTGTGTTAGACCCAGTTTCTCCATGTTTTTGGAGGGTTAAAAGCACTGGTGTGCTGAAATATACAACATGCGATATCAACAGCATTGCGGAACACCCCCCTAACCTTGTGCGAATGTCATGGGGCTCAGGAAGTACCAATCAGAAGTGAGCTTGTGTGTATATGGGCCGGGTGTGGGGAGACTAATGTCAAACTAACCAAAAACATATTGAATTATTGTTTTTTTTAAGGCAGAATACTGTCAATTCTTTCTTCTTCTTTGCGATCACCAGTTGTACACTCTGGTGGAAAGTTCTGGTTGCTCGTCCACTACTGAACTGCAGTCTTGCTCCAGAACCTGAGTGTTGCGTGTGCATCAGTTTTACAGATCTCATTCTCTTGAATACAGACTGTTGGTTCCTTGCCTTTCCTGCAGATGCACTCCGACTTCAAAGGAAGCTCCCCAATTAGTCGACTCTTACAACATGCTTTTGGGGAGGCAGTGGGTCTATTCTTGTTTTCCCCACAATGGGGCCCCGCAACCCACACGGGGGTATACTGTCAATTTTTTTACAACATAGTCAGGGTATAAATAGCATAAAATTGACATTGTAACGACAAACCCTCAACAATGCCAGACCACCCAGCAGAAACAAGACAGTCAATAGAAAACCACCCAAAGAAAATTTTACCCGCCTATTCAGCAAAAGACAGACGGCACAAGTCAAAACCTGATGAAATACAACCTAACTCGCCACCACAATAATCAAAAGGGAAGGAGGGTAAGCCACTCTGGCCCTGGTTGAACGTGGTATATTGTTATTATCGAATGGAATTGAATGTACGGATAGGTTAATTTAAAAAAAAAAAAAGCATAACACTGTTAAGATGAGAAGCAGCAAAGCTGACTCTTTCGGTTGGGTCTGATCTTTCATGAGAGTCAATTTCCTGACTTGACTATATTGACTGGTTCATGAGACATCTAGCTAATTGTGCTGTTATTGCTTGGAATTATTATTTTTACTAAAAATAGCATTTAAAGGAGTTTTTTGTGTGTGTCAAAAATAGCATTATTTGTTATAAGTATGAGGCCGTAATTTGTCCATTGGTAGGTTTTTAACCTGTGACCGAATCACAGGGTCAAAATTAAGTCACCATAAAAAGAAAAATTATTTTTAGGCCCACAAATGTGTAATCCAGTTAATTTTCTTCTGGATTCGTGTTTGTTGATGTTTCCTCGTATTCTATATGGAATTTAATATAGTTTTCCCAGTTCTTCTTCTCGTTCTTCTTCACGTTCACCAGCTGTAAACTCTGGCAGAAAGTTCTGGTTGTTTATCCACTTCTGGACTGCAGTCCTGTTCCAGAACCTGAATATTGCGTGTGCATCCGTTTGACAGATCTGACTCTTGTGCATGCAGGCTGCTGGTTCCTTGCCTCTCTGGCAGATGCACTCCGACCTTGAAGGAAGCTTCCAGTTAATCGACTCTTACGACATGCTTTGGGTAGGCAGTGGATCTATTCTTGTTTTCCCTATGATAGGGCCCCGGAACCCACACGGGGAGTTTCCCCAGTTGAATTGTTATGATTTGTATGTGTAACCTGTGTAAAATGATTTTTTTTTTTCAATTCTTTCACTCCCAAGGGGAGGCATCATACATTTTATTAATATTTCTACCCAGCAGCCCAATGAATGCAAGATGCATGTATTGTAGTTTCCCTTCGCCACCCCTTGGGCCTCAGATACTAAACCCCTCCCTTGGGACTTTAAGAGTAAAGGTTTATTTGAGAATTCTAGGGTGACAGGGTTAAAATCTAATGTGACGAAAGTAAAACACCTGTAAACTTTAAATATAATTATAAATATAATAACTTCGGTTTTTTAAAGCTGTAAATTTGAACAAGAAAACACAATCACACCACATAGTTTATTTCTTGGCATATTTTACTGCATCTGATCAGGTACAGACGACAGTCACTGTTGCATAAAATGGAACAAATAAAAGGATTGTTTCAACTAAAATAGAACATTCACCACACTGAGTTGTGTAATCTGTTGTTATTGTGTTTTTAAGATCACATATCCTAATGGCGTGCATTTTAAACAGAAAAGATGCTAAATCTGCATCTCTTGCTTGTTTGTCTATTGTTTCTGATAGCTGTTAAAGGAAGGTCTGTTAAAACCAAGTTGTAAGTGTATTCTACCTGAGTAACTTTTCCGATTTTGAAATTTAGCCTGGACGAGCCTGTCCTCCTACCATTTGTAATTTTCTAAAAAGTTTTTTGTTCACTGTTTATGGATCCTTATCTGAGAAAGCTAGGTGTCCAATCCATTACCCTGGATCATTTGGGAGATACTATGATTTTGTGTCTATGAAACTCCATGAACCCTAGTACTCCAGGGTCATCAGATTGTTAACTGCATTCACTAATCTTTATGAAAGCCATGGAGTCGCACAAGTTGGCTTAAGTGTGTTTATGCAGAATTGTTTCAAATCAAACAGTGTTTTCTCCACGCACGTACAGAAACTCTTGTTTGTATGTAGATGTACGAAAAAGCTGAATATAGAATGAAAAAGGTACAAGTATCTAAAAACCACCTGTAAATAAAGAGGAACACTATGCCTAAAATTAATCATAACTGTCAGACCAGTTGGAAAAGTAGAAAGAATATGCACCATGAACATGATGATAAAGAATTTAACACTTTTCGTCCTAACTGGCCTGTTTGCTTGTAACATTTTAACAACTATTTTATTGGTTGACAAGCGTCCAGAAGTGGCTGATTTTTTACGTTTGAAAGCCAATTGTGAAATTTTGAAATAGAAAATGAAAATAATAATACAGTTTATCATGTACATAATGGCGAGGGGAAAAAAGTATTCTTTTGGAGGGTGACGTAAAATACATTGTTTATGGTAAGTGCTATCTGTATAGACGAATACTGGAATCAATGCACATATGATAGCTACCAGCCAGAAACATAATATGATTACTGAAACTCGTCTGTGAGTAAAGTTTTTCATGTAGTAAAATGGATGGGCTATATAGATATATCGGTCAACGGCGATGACTCCCATCTGGTTCACGGATAACAGAAACGTGGCGTAAGTTGCTCCCAACATGAGAACATCGACTATAACATTGTGCGATAAATTGTTATCCGTCAGTGGAACATGCATGAGCAGGTTGACAATGTGTGACAGTGGCATCAGAATATCTGCAACAGCCACAGATACAATAAACACATGGGCGTTTGTGTGAAGTCTGGAGTGTCTTTTGATGGTGGTGATGGTAAGAAGGTTCAGGCAAATGGCGATAAGACACAGGGGGATTACCACATATCCTAAGTAGACTCCCTGAAGCACGTAATCATTGGCACATGTGAATGTTTCGTTAGACACCATCATATGTGTGTTAACTCTTTCCCAGAGGTCGGAGCTGTAGCCTGTGAAAAGCAAAACACCTCAACTCATACATTGGAGGAAAAAAGCTCTTATTATTATTATTATACATTCAAACCAAGCTAAGACCACTTGGGTCAGG